ACCGTCGTTGTCGTACTTATGTACGCGTACTTATGGTTGAAGCAGTGTTATTATGGCAAAAAATAAAACAAAACTCAAGTTCAAGGTTCCTCGTTGGATTTACAATGGGTAATGAATAGCATTTAACAGGTAGTTTGTCCAGTTAATGTGGATGAGAAAATATTAATGAGTTGGAAACCATACATGCATGCAAACAAGGCTGAAAATGTGTACAGTGCTAACAAAGATCGTATCTGGTGCAGGTGTAGGCACACAAATGGTGGCGATGCGATGATGATAAAAGTAGTTTGCACATGGATGAGCTGGATTGATGAGCATTGATTTGAATATCCAATCACAGAATTAAGTCAACCGTCGTAATTTCAGTGTCATTTGGAGGAGAGAATAAGAGATTTGACTAAATGGAAGGTTGGAGATGGGGTGGCAGAGATCGGCCCAACTCTCCTCCTTGAATGGGCGGAAACCAAATCCAGTTTTTAATACTCACAAAGTCCGTGCAGATCGGCCAACAACGAGCGTTGCTTAAATAAAGCAGTACTCGGTAGTAGTTCTCTCCGTTGTAGTGCTCAAAGTTGAGCTGCTTAATAACCATGATGTCACCTAAAACATTAGTCGAGATGAAGGATGAAACACAAAGAATGTCGACTGAATTGGAATCAGATTCTCCAACTCGTCTCATCTTGGTGCATGGAGCAGGTGAATCTGATGAAACGACTCGAAGTGAGACATTTTGAAACATTTCGATATAGTTTCCACTTGAATTTGCCAAAAAAATTTACATGCATCCAATTGATCGCGGTTTTTACATGGCTCGTAATTGTGGAGATGATCTCGCAAAGTGGGTGGTGGATTAGATCAAGGAGCTGTTGACTACAATTGTTGAATACTCCTTCCTATAAGCGAGTGATAATCCACTGTGTGAGCCCAAAATGTACATAAGCTTGTAAAAGCGATGATACAACTTTTTTCCAAGTGAGACTGAAGATCTGTCGGTCGGGGTCTGCCACTGGATGATGATGATGATGATGGCAGTTTGTTACTGCCTCTGGTCATATCTCGACTTGCTTTAAACTACTGCTTGGGCATACAAGGCTTATTAGACGGCTTGGTTACGTGCGATTGGACCCCAACTTGAAGTTTTCGAAGTAGTTTTGGACTTGCTCTTGCTACCAGCACCACCACTTCCAGTTGAGAGTGAGTGGTGTAAGCAACATGTGAACTTGTCTCTGACTCTTCTGTGGTCATCATCACAGCGCAGTGTCATATCTCTTCACGTGTTTTGCCAATTGTTGACCACAACAGGAGCTACATATTGAACACAGCTTACGATTTGGACTAATTTGTGGCCTGTTCAAAGCAAAAAAATATATCGTGTGTTATTTAACATTTATTAAGGATTTGCATTACTTGGTGGTATTATTATTCCTTCTCTGACTGATACATATTTACGACTCATGTGTAACGTGGCCAAACTGAGAAATTCTGTTTGCTTAATTGTGGAAACATAAGAACATTGTTGGACTTCTTGCTGGTGTTTCATATGGTGCAGTAGTGAAGTGAGAATGTATATTGAAACTGTGGGCCCGGTGTTGATCGGATTAAGGGCTATGAAAAGTGGACGATCCAAAGGTAAAGCCATGATCATGTACGTTCACTAACTTTCTCCTCTTTTTACTAATTCATTTTAATGACATGTTGTAAAGTTGAGCCATTTTTTATAAACAAATAAAGCTCGGTTAAAAATACGACCATGTTTATGCATTCAACTTTTCCGAAGTTGGGGTAGTCCATCACATCCAAGTCGACTTCATATATCTCCAAATTATTATTCCTACACTCGCTGGTTTTACGTCGTCTTGGTCCGTCATAAAATCTTCCAGCAGTTAGTTTGCAATGGAGTCATCCTGAAAAGTTTCGGGAGCAGATATCACGTTTCATTGGCAGAGTGAGCGTGCTCCTAAATCTTATCTATTTTTTGGCTTTTGGCAAGCGTCGCTCGCCTTCTTCTTGAATGAAGGAGCGTGTTGATGTGGATGTTGATACAGCCGTCGTCGTCGTCGTCGTCGTTGCTGGAGCAAAGGGACCATATAAACTTATGCGTGTGTTTTGGGTGCTTAATCTTCTCCGCAGGCCATCCCATCATCTGTGTCTCGTAGAAAAGTTTTAAGAAAGCAAAAGTCGGTGCAACATATGGTTCTCCAGTAAATACACACATGTACCTAGCAGCCGCCGTGGCGCAGCGTTCTCTTCTTGCTGGCCTACCCCAAGTAAATCTGGCAGTCGCAGCGTAATGTTGTTTCATTCTCCATTTTTTTGTTACTTGGTCTAATTCTGAATGAAGTCTGTTTGCTCATGAAAAAACATGCCATGCTACCAGCTTTAAAAACCAAGGCGTGCATGGCATAATACACATGCACGACAGAGAGAGCATGAGTAACTACCCGGGCATTTGTTTTGGAGGGGATGCCTTCATCATCATAAGTATTACACATTCTGCTCCAATTCGGGCTTCGCTGGCCTCTTTTTTGTCGGAGGGATGAGATTATGGTCGGATTCGGTTGGCTCGATTCGTGGTTGTGACTCTCGTTATTCGACGACGACGATCCGATCCCTTCGCTGTTCTTTTGCTTCATTAAGATGAGAATTATGCTCATAATATTGTAATCACCAACTCCATGTACTACTATCAATATGGTTCCATGGTGGTTAGTTGTGATGGTTGGGGCTGGATCACCGGATGTGAACTGTCACACTGAGTTTCAATTTTGAGGTCCGTGATTCATTTAGCTCGCTTGTTGATGTACCTTAATTCATACTTATTTTTGTCATATAAATTATGGCACGCAGACGCAAAACCATTCATAATTTAATGACATTTTATTTTATTTTTAATTATCATGAGATACAAAGGATGCCTTATTTTACAGACGCAGTTTGTATTTACACACACTGCAATTATACGTAGAATAACATCAGGCTATGAAATTCTATGTCATGTTGGAATGCTAGGAAATTTGTTCAAATGAGCAAGATTAGATCTTGCAAAATGGTATTTATTTTGACGCAGCCATTCCAACATGCAATATTATTATTCAAATCTAGGGTCAACAATCCAACAGAGAAATGTAGCCGTATTTTTACGTTGCAGACGTATGGCGAGTTTTTAGAAAGGATCATGAGCGTCAGCTGGAAAAGCCGTACAATTTCATCCTTCAGACAGCGTATATATCTGCAATAGGTCGGGAGATCTTCGAGTAGTTTCCTTCATATGGTCCTTCAAGGCACCGCTTTTTGAAGGAGTTTTGGCCCGAGAGACGAAGACCCTCATCTGGTCATCACACTTGCATGGAACGTGGGGGAGATGAGAAAGGTCAACCTGTTGTTCGGCATATGGTTGTACTTAAATATACGTCTCAAATATACGACTCTTCCTCATTCTTCCTTCCCAAGAAACTCAAAAGTTTCAGGAAGTTTGCAAATTGTCTGCAGCCCACAAACAAACAGACGACCCTCGCTCCGTACATGGCAAACGACAACAGCAACTTGTCAAGACAAACGTGGTGCAGATTGTTTTTCCCTCATCTTGAATACGAAGAGTCTATGATTGGAAGCGTAGTAGTTAAAAATAGTCCAAGGATGGTGGTCACAGAGGAAATGACAGTTGATTATGAATTTTTAAAATCCACTGCGCTCTGTAAAAAAGGCGAGCAGAGTGACAAAAATTAGAAGAACATGCCAGATGGTCAAGCGACATAAAGCAGCTCTGCGTACAACAAATATACACAAAATGGATATGTACACAGAGCGATATAATAGTAAATAGCGTAGATCCTGAATGACTCGAAGGGGCTCAAAGAGAAAATTGAATAAAAATTTGTGCGCAGTCGGAATTTCGAATGACTGGTTTTGCTTTTTGCCAAGTTTCAGGTAATTGGTTTTAGGAATGATGTTGTTTTGTTGGAAGTTATTTCCTTGATGAAAGGTCGCTGGTTGCTAATGAGGTTGTCGGAGGTGGGGACGAGGACGAGGAGGTGGTGATAATGATGAGACGGAGAAAGAGGTGGCAGAGAACATGGAGAGATCGCTCATTTTCTTTGACTTTGACGGTGGTCATCTCCACAACAGAGTCGAGTGGCGAGTTACAAGAAATCCTTGAGTGGAGATTCAAGACACTCCCCCATTTTTCCGCTCTTTCTCTCAAAAATGCCGAGAAAAATTCGGTGCTTTTGACTTTTGAACTGCAACGAAGGTTGAACAAACAGCCTTTTGTCCTGTTTGGTTAAAACAACAAACAGTTGAGGTCATAAATACGGAATATGGCAATAATGTGGGATTAATGGTTTACTTTAGGGATTTGCTCTCTCTCAATGCTCATCCCACTCACCTTAATGGTGGGAACTAAACTGATTTTTAGGTCTTTAGTGTTGGCTTTGTGGGAGTTGAAGTGGAGTGCACAGTTTGCTCCACAGATTAGGAGGTTGACGTTACGTGATTTTGGATAAAATATTAGAATTACAAAATACTATGGCACATTTTACAGAAAGACAGGTATACACAGAGATCATACAACACAAGCAATAAGTCGAGAACATGACACAAAACATGATATTTTACTTTATTCGTCTTCATCTTGGGAGCCAAGTTGTTGTGACACGACACGACACTTATGAATGTTTATTACATCAAGTATTACACAGGGAGAAGTACACGAAGATGATGGGACGACGAGCAAAAGTTGAGATCAAACTCATTCATGCCCCTTAAAATATTAAATTTCCCATGTCCAATTTTAAAATCCAAATCATGCCTCAGTTTTCATGCTAGTCGCAACCCTCTGAACTCCCAAGATTCACTATAGATTTTAAATGATTTAAAAAATTTTCCAGTCATTTATATCAAACGCGTCTTTTGATCATTGTTGAGAATAAGACTGCTGATTTTGTGGTTCTCGTGCATTCGCCTGTGGTTTGCATTAAATTATGAGAAGTCGAGTGGGAGGATTCATTCAGTCTTTTAATTTTTTATTCGACAACTCGTCCCATTTTTTGTCCGAGTTCAGCTTGACATTAGAGATAATCATATCATATCATATCGAATCTTAAATTTTGAGTGATGGCAGTGGTTTCGTTGCAGCACATGTACCCACACCACACAACAACGACTAATGGTCCATTTTACCTGACGACGCTTCCCATTCTATAACAGGACAAAATTATTATCTTTCTGCCTTTCTTCTCACGAACAGATACGTTTCTTTCATTCATATCTCACCAATCCCAAGATGCTACATGTCGCAGCCTCTTTTTGTGCACGGTCAAGTCCGCGGATTCTTTTCGTAAAACGATTTGGTGTAGTTGCTCTGGGACATGAGATGTAGTGGCCAAACCGCAGTGCAGTGGTGTGCCTGAAACAAATGATAATGTTTAATGTGCACTTTCATGCTAAAGGCAAAAAAAAACTAAATTTTGTTGTGCATCTCTGTCTCAAGTCCGAAATATGTTTCCACACTGAACTTTGAGCCTTTTGGTACCTTTTTTAAAATACGTGCTTAGCGACTATAACGTCTTGCACATTCATCATATGGTGTGGTCGCAGAGTGTGCGGTTTACAGACATGTATGCAGGCACAAGAGGTTGGGTTGCTGCGTTGTCTGACATGTTCCACCTGTAAACATGCCCACGTTTCAAAGAAACGGTGGCAATTCCCCATTTTGCCCAATACAACCAAAAGTCGTCTGCCAGGCGGTACATTTCTTGAGCAGTTAGCTCGAGAAGGGGATTACGTAGAGGCAGAAGCAACACCATTTCGGTTGATCTGGATGAATTTGGATCAGTATTCAGCTACCGTTTCACTCATGCCCTTCTCAACAGCGATGTGTAATTTAAGGGAAAAGAGATTCAAAAGTTATCATTATACTTTCCACCACCCGCTCACTCTTTGTGCCCTTAATGGCTTAACAATGCGCATCTTGAACGTGGAACTAATCCATGGACTCACAGCTTACATTTCAAAATTAGAACGGAATGAGTTGGCATTTATTTTAGGATAGAATGTTGGGAAAAGAATGAGAAGATCACCGTTATTTCATTTAATTAATTAATTGTTTTACTTTCTCCGACAGATTGCCAAGCTCAAGTGCCGCCGCTAACCCCAGGTATGTTCTTATCAGTCTCGGCTTATTTTCCCCAGAAACACGGGATGCTTCTACAGGAATGCAAATCTTGTACATACATTTCTCATTAGTAATTTGTCGCCTTTGTGTTTTCAGGAACTAATAAGAAGATGACAGAAGCTCTCAAAGCCTCATTTGGATCTTGGGAAAAAGAGCTTGGTAAGTATTTCGTAAATATATTTAGAGTTAAATTAGCGTAAATAATGAATTGGGATCATTGTATGAGTAAGTGGGCGCTATGTAAAATTGTATAGCATGCATTGAATTTTCTCTGTTTTTTATTTGCAGGCCGACACAATATTCCAAAAGGTAAAGTCTGCTCCTGGTCAATATCATTTCAATGCATGCACACTTTTTATTTTTTTACCGCATGACGACGTCTCATTTATTTACAAGAAAGAAGCAAACGTTAACATTGTAACCAAAACACCTGCTCAAAATCCTCAAGGATTTCATGTAAACTTGCCGCAATATCGTCATACAGGGTGACACTGACTTTGATTTTGTACTGCAACGAGTAATGAGCACAGAGACTTTCGCCCTTTAAGGTGTAAAAATTCATCGATAAAATCAAATCGTTCGTAAGCATGTCATGGCTCGTGGTGCGATGCTTGTTCATTTCCTTGTGAGATTTGAGATAAACTTGGGATTGTCTGATCATCAGGCAGAGCTGGCATGTAATTATTCTCACTCAATTGATGTTTGTTTAACTTAACGCAAAGGTATCCAAGGTCATAAAAGATCTTATTGTCATTCCAAAGATCGTGATCAGTGGTGGTATCAGTTATGAGGGGTGATACAAGACTCCCAAAATGCAGAAATATCTATCTTCTTACGCGTATTGTGTTATGAGACAAGCACCTTCGATTTCTAAATCTTGATGCGAATCTTAATTTCAAGCTTCAGAAATTCTCTTCCTTGTCCCTAACCCAACTTAACAAAAGCTGTAGGAAATAAGGACCCACATACACGACCAGCCAACCCTCTCGAGAGTGATAATTGAGACGTAATTATTTATCACCAACAACAATCTCGCTCCTTTTGTCCCTTATTACATGCATACACCACACAAACGGAATGGTCGCCCTCCACTCTTGCTAGGGCATTATTCACAATCAATTTGATATTATTAACGAGTGCCACGTGCTTCGTGTCAAGTTTTGCAGATACGAGTCGAAAAGTTGCATAATAGGAAGAGTAGGGATGGAATAAAACGGTGTTTGTTGTAGGAGAACAACAGCCAGCAGACAGATCATTAAAGAATTGATGAAGGAGATCAAGAATTGTGGTAGAAGAAAACCTGTTGTTCAGTTGTTGCTCATCTGCACCTTGAGACCTCCAGACATTTAACTGAACCGACAGCACAGCAATGCAGCAGCAACGGTGTCTCTCTCGTATAAATTCATAAGTCATGACTCGTGCGGCTCATTTTCCATTTCATTTCTTTCGGTTAATAAGAAGGGATCCGTGGTGTAGCCTTAATTGCATATGTATGCAGCACACTCGTGCTGGTGAATCTACATCTGTTGCTTCATCGTTGATTATTGTCAGAGTGGGCATTATTATTATTATTTCTCTCCGTTTGTTGGTGAGGTGGTCCACTCGCTGTTCCTCTTGTGGACTTTTGAATTGGAAATAATGCAACCACCTTTCGCCATCTCAACATCTCAATAATTCTTGGTTGTGGCAGTCCTCCAGGCGGGCAAGGAGTTTTGTAATGGATAAAATTCCCCCCAAGTCCTTGTCTTACGCATTATTCTTCTAGAGATATGTATGGACGACTGGACCATCTGTGATGCGGTTTTGCCAGAGAACATGTTTTTCAAGATGCGGTCCATCCACCGTTGAGTTAAATTCCCTTGAAAACTGTGGTAGCTATTTTCAAAGGCTGGTGGAAATTAGAGCAGGAGCAGGTGTCTCACTTTTGGAATGAAAGACACATTAGCCAAGGGTTGACTCATCTCATGTCGTCTTCGGTCCATGGATTCTTGTCCACAAGTCCATGACATCCCCAGCAACTACATACGTTCGTACGTCCATGTAATATACGGAGACCCAGTCATTCCAAGATTTGGGGCTTAAATACTTTAAGAGGAAAGTAAAACTCACCCCTTCTCGCCAAGAAAGAAGACGGAGATGATGAGGTGATGTTGGCTTTTGGTGGTGCGGATTAGGTAGTCGTTGGAAGAACGGGTGGTGTAGCTGGTGATGATTGCGTTGGACTTGGTCTACATTTCTTCTACTTCTTCTTGAACCGCTCCGCACGTGCTAGAAATGAATCTATCCTCTAGCTCGTATTATATGTGGTAATGGCACGATAAGAAGGGTGGACGATGCGATGGGGGTACTTTTGCTCATCTCTCTTCAATCTCTCCCTCGGCAAAACATCTTAAAAAATGGGTTTGATCTGGTGGTGGTGAATCCAAAGGCACTCGCCACATGTTACTTTTCCACCCTATCCGATCATCCCTTGCGCCACTTGGATCTCATCTTCTTTCCCATTTTTATCTGTCAAATATCAACAATCAAGATAATAAATTGAACATGTATGAAGTAACATGTGTGTGTTGAAAGTATTTCGTCGGTAGCAGTAGTGGGACCAGCCTGGAGAAAAAGTGATGCTGGGTAGCGAGCCACTATTTTCGTCCGTATGAACAAAGACGTTGTGCAAACTTCTTCTCGTCATGTAGGAAAGATTGGACGCGACCGCGCATTAAAACATCAAAGAGAACAAGCTTGGAAGCTTTTCTTTTGAAATTGGTCATAATTGCCGTATGTGAGCATGAGAGGAGGTAAAATGGATGGATGGAGATGTTGAACGTGCAAAATTACATGTGGGAAGAAATTGAGCTGATTATGTCAGGTACGCATTCGGTCAATGAGTTGTCAAAGTACTGCTGCTGCACAACATTGCTTGGTGCTACGAATTATGAGATTCACCAACTCCATCCATATCACAAGGCATTAAGTATTAGAGAGAGGTGGCACATCTTGGCCTGGGAGATTTTTAAACAGTGTGACGGATTCTGATCATGCACAAAAGTTTGTGTGATCAAGGTAGAACTTCATTCACAATTGTTTGTTGTGTTCCGACGACAAATTATCCACACTGGTTTTACTTCTTCTTCTCAGAAGGAGCAGAAGCATCATCCTCGTCGTATGGGCTGCAACTGCGGAATATGAACCATATATACATGCAGTGAGATTGTTTTAGCTTTCTAGACGGCGGACGGATAAATCATATTTCCAATGGGTTCTAATGACTCTGATTTGAAACAGGGAAAATTGATGAATGCATGAACCAGGGTGTCATGTCGTGCAAAGAATCATTATTTTGGTTTAGAGATTTTTTCACCCTTTGCCGTCCAACTACGAACCAAACCACCAACACCATATATTACCGCACTCGAGTATAGTATACTTTAAACCTATCAACTCAAGTGGTAGGTACATAATATAATACGTAAAGCATGTATATAGTCACCGGTTGAGTGAGACAAACTTGGCAGATTACTTGTCGCAAAAAATGTCAAGCTAAACCCGAAGCTAGTGTCATTATGTACCAAAAGACGACAAAGATCATCTCAGATTTTTCTTGGGTTTCTGACATAATGGATATCAAACCCTTCTTTTTTTGCTTCTACAACTCGGTATTTTTTCACCAGTCTCGAGGTTACTTCTCCGCTCTCAAAGTTATCCAAAACCATAACGATTTTTTACCCAAAGGTTGAACCTCTCACTTTAAAAAACACAAAATGTCCTCCATCCATTTGAAGATCATCAATATTCATTTGAGTGCTCATTCATTCGAAACGGGTGTGTGTCCCACGTTATGTGAATGTATTTGGATAACAAGATATCCAAATGTTTAGCCAAGTAATATGCAAACATGATTCCATTTTGACACTTAAAGTAATCCTGTTTATACACTGACTGTAAAAATGACAAATTTTAAACATATTTAAAATCCTGAATGATGATAGAGTCGTAGTGCAAATCCGCAAAGGTTTATTTGCACTGCTCACTCATTGTTGAAGGTGGGGCGGAGATAATTACATCTTCTGCGATTTTTCTGGTGACACTTAACAGTTTCACCTCGCCTCATTGGTTCTTCCACTTCTTGTCGCTATTATGGCACGGCTTGTGCATTATTTTCCGCCACCACCACGACAATTTTCTACACTTACTCTTTCCTTCCATCATTCGATGATTCATGAATGAACAAATGAATGAACGTTTCGAGTCGATGATGTCGAAGATGAATTTGGCAGTACATACATTTTTTAGTACACAGATTGAGATGGAAAAGGTTAACTTGTGTACCTTACCAAACAAACTATGTTTGAAGTGCCTACGTACGACATTGAATGCTCAAGTGCATCTTTGTAATTAGATGAGTAATCTGTTGAACAATACTTGCATAACAATTTATACGAGATACATTCAGGATAAGCAACGAGATGAGCCTTGTTGTTGGTTCCTAAAAATGGCCACAAAAATATTTCATTCTTTCTTTGGATGATGGACACTTTTCGATGTCCGAGCTGATTTCATTACTGCATTTATCTCTGACAAATCTGACAAGTGAGTGAGTAATGGAAAATTGTAACCTTTGCTGAATGGAATTCACGAGCACAAGACAATTAAGCAGATTGAGTTAGGATCAGAAAGACAATGAGCAGGCAGCGCATTATGAGACGAGCGTAATTGTATCCATGATTCTTTTAATTGTATAATCATTTATTAGCATTTATAATCATTTAAATCAATCAGTGTAATTTGTTTCAGTTGGTTAAGTCCAATCTATTATCGTGCATACGAAGTGCCTCCCAGCACTCGCAGCCCAGACCAACTTTTAAACTGAGCACCAAGACAGAAAAATGCTCTGTTTTAACTAATTCAAATTTCAAGTAACCAAATTGATTTTATGGCCAAGAGGGTTGTTGTTGGTCGTGCGTTCTTAATGGATAAGAGGGTCCAGAGAGATGATTGAAAACACTTCACCACCAGACCAGCAGCCCTCTCGCATGACCTTTACGTACAATCATTGCATAATAATAATAGCCAGATAGGGGGACATGCTCATTATCATACGTACGTACGTACACTATGTACATACATACAGGCTTGGTGGTGCATGATAAAAAGTGCATCTTAATACCTAATCTTGCTAAATTGTGTTATGGATCGAGCGTATGTACTAAGAATCATAAAAGTTCATCCAGTAATAATTTATTCAGAAGGGTTGGATGTCCCCAATATGTCCCCAGCATATAGTCATATATACACATACATAAATATAGTGACTGACTGACTGGGTGTAGTTGCCATCATGTCATTGATTGAAACCACTTGCACCAACAACGTCAACCCTACGCAAGAGGACAGAGTTAAGTAGTCGTCAAGATAATTATGAAAATTGAGCTAAATAAGTACATGATGCAAATGAAATTTAATATTCTTGCACAAATTTATGAAGAGTTGTACAGTTGGGTAGGATAAGGCTTAAATGAGTTAATGACGAATCATCCGTGGGGTGAGAATATCCATGAAAATCTGCTGTCGATCTCAATATCGTCAATTATCAGGTCACAAAGGGAGCCGAGATTTTGTCTTCAACGATAAATCATGACTGCATGAGCACATCGTCAACGGGGTTCAATTAAGTGTCAGTCAGCGTGTGGAATTGACTCCTTTTTTTCAATCCACTCAAATTATTCAATAATCCAAATGGCTTATTATAGTTTGCTTCTTTGTTTATAAACCCTTATTTTCACCCTAAAATGATGGCAAGAACAGACAGGAGCAACAATGTCCAGGTGGACATGGATTGCTAGTGTAGATTGCATAAAGTACCTGAGCTAAATTGCATGTTTGTTGTACAAATGAAATCTTCTAGAGCAGGTGGTGATTTCCACATTTACAATTAAGCGCCGACTAGCAAACACACGCGTACAATTTCAATTTCACAATGAATCATTATGTATATGTCTCCCCAATAATTTGAGTAATTTTGCGAATTTGGTCGGTTCAGCGAATCCCAATGATAGCTTTCCTACGCATACAATCGCCTTATACAACAAGTGTGGTGCGCAGTGGTTGAATCAACTCCTTCTTGCATCGGTGTAGACAACACAACATACAAAGTGGTATGTACATATTTTTATGATTATTACATAACGAAAGCAAGGAAAGGGTCAGGGCAGTTCTAAATTTAACTAGACTTGTGCTTTTCAAGGAGTAAACAATTACATGTGAACAATTCACGGACAGATTTCAGACAAATTATTGGGATGGTTGAACTTGCTTTTAGAACAATGCGATCCTCACCAACTTCATCTGCCTCTGATTCATACTATGTACGTATTTGCTACGTATTTTATTTGCAGTTATCGCTGGGTAAGATCTTGCCTTGCTATTTGCAGGTAGTTGCTTCGTTATGCCACCAATAATCAGATCGCATTTATTTCATGCCATGAGTAGTTATCCTCGCAGGCTATGCAACGTTTCAACGTTTATGAGACTATTGTAGTCTCCTCGAGCGACTCAAGTCTCGGTTTATTGCTCCGCCATCGAATATTATCAGCAACACCGCTATTATTCTAGTTTGTGTGATATGCATCGAAATCAAAGCTGAAGCAGGGGCTCTGACTGAGAGGGACTCCACCCTTCTGCTGCAACAATGGATGTTTAATCTCGCCATAACTTATCATCCTTAGACAACAGAGAAAACAATGTACAATGGGGTTGATGGTCACACTCGAGCTATTTTTGAAAAATCCAGTTCTTCTCCACTCCAAGCACTACACATTGTTTCATACAGACAACAACGTACCTGAAATGCAATCGTTGTTGTTGGAGGAGGAGGAGGAATGGATGAGAAGAGTGATGCAAGACAGAGAAAGAGTCGTGCACACATAGGGCAGGATTTATTTAGTAATAACCTACCAACTTTATTATAATTAGTCCTCTATTGTTACATTTCCCCTGATGAAAAGTGCTCCTGTGGACTATCACAATAAACTGCGACCACTCTGCTGCGCACCCATTTATCACGGCCTGACTACTCTTCGCTATGACTAATTGCCTCATAGTCGTTCTCATTTTAAAAGAGCATTTTAGAAGAGCTCCAGGTCATCTTATTTATCTACTGGGCTGCGTGACTGCAAATCTGGTTTATAGACAGCGACGAACGACGAAATGACTATTCACCACGAGCGATAAATGCAAAATCTAAACTTATTTTGAATTTCAAATTGCTCACACGAATGAACTCGTTTTTATGTGAAGAGCAGGGCGAGATTTATGTGGAGCAGAGCGGTGTATGTATGTGCTATCAGAGAGACAGCACAGCAGTGTGTAATAAAGAAGAAGAATAGCACTACCTGGAATCTCCTCGTATATTATTTAATGATATATGGATGCATATGTATGAAGAGAGGACAAGAGCCCAAATCGAGTCCGTGATCACTGTAGCGTGAAATAAATAGCAAAACATTCAACCATCTCAAAACAGGTTGCGTCGAAAGTCAACATCGCTCGACGAGCGGCAGCCGAGTCTATAAAATATTTTGTATTGTTGGTTCGCTGTTTAGTTCATTGTGACGGAGTCGTATTTCAACATCAACTAACTGCAGATGAGAATGTAATAAAATCTGGATTTTTTAGCTCTGGAATGAATAATAATAAAGCTCAGCAACCAACTAAATTTCCACTCTCTCGTCGTTGATGAGGATGATGATTGCTCTCCTTTGAGAATAATGAACTGACCTCGAAGCAACTATACATACATACGCTCGCCTACGCTGTGTGTATTTCATGTCTGCCTAAAAAAAGATAAAAAATTCCAACTAATATTCAGTCAGGATAATTACGACTATAATTTGATCCCAGACTTGACGTTCGTTCATTTATGCAAAAATCTCAACGGCAGAGTGCAAATCAAGTCCAAATTACCAGAGTACGTGCCATCCATAATTTAAAAGTGGATGGATGAGATATGAGCAGGTGTTTTGTAATAAAATGATCATGAAAAAACGTTCACCAAACCAACATGGCTGCCTCTTCTCATTGCCTCTTCTCACTGCTTTCAAAAATTGATGCCCCATTTTAACAACATATGCAAGTTTCCGAAAAAAATAAAAAGTGAAATTTTTCCCCTTTTTTAGATCCTCGCCAGTGGCACGAATCACACGTAAGTACATAATCCAACTATCGTCCACTGCTATAAATTTATGGAAATCCCTCTAATTAGCATATTTCTCATTTTCCACAGGTTGCACATTGGTTGCAGTGGTCAGTTAACGAATTTACCCTCCAAGACGTGAAATTGGACATGTTTCAAATGAAAGGGAAGGACATCGTGGCCCTTGGACGTGAAGTCTTTATCGCCAGATCGCCTCCATTCACGGGGGAAATTTTGTGGGAACACCTCGAGAACCTGCAGAAAGGTAACTACTACAGATTTGTACCAGTGCAAAAAAATGCCCGTGAATTCTCGGTTGACTGAACTATGTATTGCGATACAATACGATATAAATGGTACAACGAGTTGTTAGCACCGCTGCTGCTCCCACTACGCGAGCGATTCTGTCTGAAAAGAATGAGTGAGACGAGAAGATGCGATGATTTGATGACTGATTGCTTAACTAGATGGTTGCATCATAATAATCACTCTCCTATTTCGCTCTCAACTTTTCTACAAAGTTGGAAAACAATCTCGGCATAATTTGTCTCTGTCCATTTTACTTTCGCTACTACTTTTTTTTGCAAAACCACCGAGCACGACACAATAGGAACCGCACCGTATCAACGTGCCCCATCACGGAAAGTACTTACCCAACGCTTTGTCATTTGTCGCATCGTAGTTTCATCGATCCATCCACGACGACATCCCTGTGATAGAACGAAATTCGTTTTTTTTTCAAATTTATTGTTGACCGAAGGATTAGTCATCATTTGAGGCAATATTTGGCCTGAGCAAATAGATAGGGCAGAAAACGAGAAGAGAGAATTTCAATCTCCACTGCTGAGTGAATAGACTGTCGACCTTTTTGATCTTGATTTGGTTGGAAGAGTTGAAATCTGTGGTGGCTGGGATTGGACAGAATTTTCTCACACTCAAGTGTTATCATTCATAAGCGGATCCCACCTTCCAAACACCAAACCAACCAACTCTTTCAAGCAAATAGCCTCGAGTCACTTCACTCCAGTGGTAAAAAATTCAAATCTATCTGCTTTTCAACATGGATGAGCGATGAACAGATTTTGGTATTAGTCTCACTTTTCTATGTACTAGCTTCACCCTCGGCTCCTATCATTTCCATCTTTTAACCTCATTGCACACACCAACAATAAAGATCTGGTTCCTTTTTGCTTCGTCGGCTTACTTACTGCTGCTCGTGGAAAAGTTGATCCTTTTCAAATTCAACTGCACTTACACACGTACGTGTTTAACATATAGTGCGTATTTATTTAGTATGTGGTTTTATCACTAGTCTCGTCTAGAGTGAGTGGTTCCTTGGTATTCAAGTAATTGACTTGCTAACCATATGTGTAAGGAATCCATACAGTTTATTTTTTTATGAAAACGGGGAGGTGATAAATACTCAATGATGAGTATGCACATATGTAAATCGAGAAGACGGTAAATATCCAACATGGTTTCCCACAACTTTCTTCTTCTGCTTGATCACTTTCGCCACTCGATTTTGTGCTGTTACACTTTTCACTCACTTTTTCAATTTCACTTTTTGCTGCACATGGAGCCCAGATTTTGTGGAAATTTAGCAGAAAGTTGGTGGAAACTTTGAGAGGAGCTGCGCTGAGCGAGGAAGTGTTCCAAGTAGTGTCACAATTATGAATGTAGAGACTAATCGGGATAGTTTCACTATTAAAAATGTCCCAATTGGATGTGGCTACTTGCAACATCCGTAATATGGCGAATGCAGGCAGGAAAGGGAAAAGGAAACCGGAGGACACATTCAATTCATCCACAATCGACAACAGGAAATTCATATCCCTCCGCCGAATGTTTCGAAATATGCTTATGGACATTGACGGGAAGTGGATTAAGTTAAATTATTTACTAAACTAACTACAATTAAATATAACTGCTATCAATAATGTGTAAGCCACAGCATTGTCATCACCATCGATGGTCATCCGTATTGTTGATGATAATGACCAGATGAGCCGGCTATGTAGCACAGCGTGCATGCATACTGATTAAAAACTAGGTACATACATGTACGTATGCATGGATGGATGGATGGATGGCGGATGAATGAATGGCGAGTTTCACATTTTTGGCAACTTTGAATAGATTTTTAATTTATTGACACTTTGCTGAATTGTTAGGACATGATTTTTGCAGACAAAACAAAAATTCATCTTCGTGTTTCCGGTGACGAGTTACTTTTAAAGCATTTGCTGTTCGATACTGAAGAACGTGACATCAATTTGCGATCCCTGTTGAAGCTAATATTTAGATTGTTGAAATTTTTATGATTTTTTTTGCAGAAGTCGAGTTGAACCGAAACTCTGGCTTGTCCTCGTCCTCCTCAGCGGACATGTATGACTCCGTGTGCGCCGTGCCCGACCTGAACGACTTCCTCTTGGAAGGCTACGCCGTGGACCAGAAGATGAGCGCAATGCTTGGCGAGGGAGTGGTGCTCCCCCCTTCGTCCTCCTCCTCAAACTCCACTTCTTCCTCCTCCTACATTAATGGTGAGTCCTGCCTGATTTTTTCACAAAAAAACCAAAAGCCCCCCATTTTTCTTCCTCCCCATGACATTTGCAATTCATACAGAGTCGTCTCAATTTTTATCTTTCGGCTTCATTTGCTTCTGAATTTTGCATTTTATGAAACCAAGCATGGATTTCCCATGAATTCAAAAAAAAGTTATGACAGGAAGTTAGTCGTGGAACGTGATTCATTCATACATTTATAACTCAAGGCACTCTCGCAACTCTTAAATGGTCACACCTTTTCTAAATAAAAAACATAAAAATTATGGTGAAGAAATTAACATTTATGCTGATGGAGCTCGAAAGGGATGTGATGTAGACAACTTGTTTTTGATCACGCATTTCAGCATTGAGTGGGTCATGCATACAGCAACAGTTTGTTGCACCGAGGAGGAGGGTACTTGAAGTTCTGCATTATTTCATCCAACCCTTCTCCTTGATTGTTGGCATCAATATAATATTCTGCAACGGACCATTTGCCATTTATTAGCGTTGTGCTTGTTCCCTCTCCACGGCATTTTTTGCTCTTGTGGTTGGACTCCTTCTTAAAAAAACTGACTGAGAGAAGCTGTGTGTGGATCCCGCCTGCTTGGAACGCTTCGAGTTTGGAGTGTCACCGGAAATCGTGTTTATGAATGAAACGCTTTTTGTCCAACTCTTCTGGCACCACTGACTCTGCAGCAAAATTACTCTTGGCATCAGATAACCAACATTACCGAGTTGGACGCCTTCGAAACGCTGCACTTGGCTCGAGTAATTGTGCCACTGGGTCCTCTCTCTCTTCCCCCGCACTTGATTCCACGCATAATAAATGAGACACGTCATAAAATGCATCTTTCTATTGACGAATCTCACGTCGATTCATTCACGAGCTTTGATCTGACGTTTACTTGTGTTATTTATTTAGTTAAATATGCATATTTCTTTTTGGAGATGAATAACTTTACATATAAAATTAAAGAGATTTGATGCAAGTGCAGGTGCATAGAAATGAAAATAAGTCATTCTAAAGCCCTGGAAATAGTTGGTTCACAAGATGCTCGAGCTAGAACTCTTCTTTCCAGAATTGATCAGGATTTATGTACTTGGAATACATAGCATTGGTCTCTAAATGAGTATGTAGGGCTGGTGACCAAATGCTGCATTTGCAACCGTGACCTCGAGCAGGTTTCCCAATTCACTTAAATTTGAACTTGTTCTAAAAACAAGAAAATGAGGAAGCTCCTTTGGGATGATCCTTAAGTCTCGTGTTTCCTTAAGTGGGTTTCTTCCCTGCAAGTACTCTCACACACTGGACCTGCTTTTGTTGGCTGGGTAAAAGAGTGCACATGGGTCTCCATCATTTTGGATAATACGAGAAGAGGATAGTGCGTAACCAAAACCTCGACTTCCGCTCTTCTCAGTTTGTGAATGAAATCGTAGCGTATCCTGCGTTTGTTTGGTTGTATTTTTACGTACAACGTGAGGACGAGGATTTAGGGCATGCGAGGACGGAAGCTCAAAAGGTTTTACTATTGCAACAGGATTGCATTTGAAACATTAAACCACTACGGATTTGAGAGAAAGACCTGCTCAAAAGATTTTTGGAATTGCATTTATCCTTGTTCGTTTGCTGTGCAAATTCTTATTGTTTTCAGACTCGAATTAGTTTTCGTTTTGTTTTTCTTTACTTTATCAACGAAGCAGAACAACTATCGACTCCTCACTATCGCTAGGCTGTCGATTGTTCTAGCATGACTTTCTTTAAGCACACAATGGGAATGCCACTACTTGCACAGCGCATGTGGCTAACAATCGACTAGACACCAGCATCTCTAGAAATCTGGAGAGAGAGACCATGCTTGTATACGGCACAGGATTTTATGCAATTCAGCGTATTCAAACCAGCCTCGCATCTCGACGAGAACATAATGGACATCACTGAAAGAATAGTTACAGACCAATTGGGAAGATGAAAGGCTGAATTTCATTTAATGCACGTGCGACGCCTTTTCACCGCTGCTGCGCCTATGATGCAAGATGATGATTGTGTGTATGAACATATTTGTTGTCCAATTGGGTTCGTGCCATTCCCTGGTGCGAGATTAAATCAATGGATGAAATGTGAACTGCCTCTTTAGTACTATTTCATCGACCCATTTTGATTTCGAAATTTTGGGGTTTTGTGTAAAATTTGACAGGAAATGGCAGAAACTGGAGAAAGATCAACAGCAGATATGAGAATACGTGGAACGTGCTCACATAATAGAAATGCACGTTTATTTAGTGCCACATGTCCGAGTTTCTTGACTTCGATAAATTCTTGAAGCATATTTGAAAGGTCGAGGAATGACCGTTACAAATATTCCGAGATAACGTTTTCTCCCCTACATTTTGCATTAGATAAGCACCAATCAGTCAGCCTTGAAGCGAGTATCAGATGTGCATGAGAATGAGAGGACCCGTTGTGTTGGCCGTTTTATCTCATTACACAATTGTTAATTTAAGCACGAAACGGAGTAAACTTCTGTTGCTATCCCTTCCCATCTTATCTGGAGGGAATCGCTAAAGGGCCATATGTTGTTCTCCTGGAGCCAAGACAAGATAGAATTACTTTTCTCATTGGAATATGTGTGGTGTTGGGTAATTGTGATGCATAATTTGGAAGACTTGGGACCGGAAGTGGATTTAAACATGAACAACTACCTGTGGCTGTGCCTCCTGCTCCTCAGCCTGACTTTATAACTTTCTCGGACACATTTTCCTACCCCGATGTACATCATACATAAAGGATAAAATGTGTCATCTGCAAATTGATAAGTATATTTCAACAGTAAATCATGCAGACGCGCAGTTTAATTACATTTTGCAGCGTTATTACCACGAATATCGACTGTGGGAACTGATTCTGTTCGGATAAAGAAGTCAATTAAGGTTAAAACCAAAAGGGTCATCGCGCTCTCAGGGAAATTTACTGATTGCAATAGATCAATTTAAAGTCTAGTTGTGGCAGGCAGCGTATGAACTTCACCTCATTACTGCTTCGCACGATAAAAACTTTCTGCCTGCATTTACCAAGTACTCCTTGCTGTCAAGAAAGCCTGTGGAAAATTAGGCTTTTACGTGCATGCGTCTCCTTACACAAAGTATTCAGAACTGTAAGAACTATTTCTGAAAAATACCAACAATGTAAAAATGGTTGGTTAATAAGGCATTTATTGCTGCGCCCCACTCAATTTTTTATCCAGCAGATCATAGGGAAGAGAAATCTTCTAATAAAATGCTTCCTCACATAATAGCCGCCTGAGAGAAAGGCGAGAGAGAGACTTTGGTGGATAAAAGTGAACCTGATATGACAGCCTGGATGGCTGGATGGATGGATGTGATGGCATTATATTACCAGGTGCGTTGGTGGATGCATGGGCCGGAAGTTGGTTTGAAACTCAGAGTTTTATTTGGTCAACCCCTCCACATTGTTGAACTCTTATTATTGAGTCCACCATTATTCATGTATAGTGGTTGATCCCATCCATCATCATCCACCTACAACTCGTACATACTCATACACGGTGTGAATTTTGGAGCAACTCTGTGTGAGTGCTCAGCAATTTATCTCTCCCGTACTTAGCATGCATACATACATTTGTTGGTTTAGATTGTAGGAAGGAAGCGTTTGAATGTGCATACGATGTGGTGTAATCTGAATACGACGACGACGACGACTGGCGTATCATTATTATCATTATTGCCATACCCCACCAATAATAAGTAAATACTCGTGGATGAGAGAGATTGAGACTCAAAGTGGATTTTACTTAATAATTATTTAGTAGTTCCATTTTCCACTAGCAGTTATCTCACAAGCATATCGTGGCTGGCTTGCGATCCATTGTTGACTCTGACATACGTACCGTCGTTGCTTTGGTGGCAGTGGTGCACGCTGCTGCAATGTTGCGTATTGTTCATTTCGTTAGTGAAGCTGAAGCAGACCGACCGCAACGTTGATGGTCTTCTATCTCATTCCTCCTTGTTTTCATAAATTCGTGTGCATATTTTCTGTGGTTTGACGAGTTTAAATTCATAAAGACAACGACAAAAGACATACATTTCTACATACGACTAATTAGTTTCACTGCGATAAAACTTTGGTCAGCTTCAAGTGTGTGTGTCTCTCTGTGAATGTGGGTTTTGTGGTTTGGTTTCTTAAAAGTCCTTGAACAAGTCCAATAATAATATAAAATATTTTCAACACATTTTCGGTAAAATTTGATTTTGCATGAAAATAAATCTTGGACATTTCGCCGAGCGATAAATTCATTGCTCAAGTGTGTGTGTAACTCCTTAAGACGCTTAGTACCGAGAATCTGTGTATTATGAAAACTTTTCCGGAAGTGACAAAATCCGTGGACAAATTAATTAACTAATTATTAAGAGGAATCCTACTCACGGAATGCTCAACTTCGAATGATTTTAGGCTCAAAAGATTGTGTGCTATAGAATTAAGGAGTTTTATAAGTTTAAACTTTGGAAGTGCAATTAGACGATCGAGATGCTGCAACTGCACGATCTTCCACCCAGAATGGTCTGGACAGGTGAGAACGAAAGCTAATTGTAGGATATTCCGTTGTCGCAGTTTCATCTTTTTCGTATTTTTTTTATTAACTTTGGCAGTCATTTATTTCTTGGTCCATTCATTCACAATGTAAGCGATTGCAGATTAATTCCTAAGAAAGTGTTGAATTTTCGGGTTTTCCTCACTCGCCACGAGCACGCCAAGTAACTTGTGTAAGTATGGGGTAGATCTAAAGTGTGACTTAATTATAGTGAGGTGCAAATCTTATACGTCGTAGACGCAGACGAGATACCTTTGTCGGAAAATTACTCACTTATTTACCTCACTCTCTTAGTCACACTTTATGTGTGATGTAAGCAAATAATTGTATTTTGATGGTGGATTCTAGTTGCTCGAACTAATGATGTCTTTTCGAAATAAAAATACACTTCTCGGATCCATACTCTGTCTTTTGAGTGCATAAAAAAACGTACGTAGTCTTATACGAAGGGAGGAAGGTTGGTCTGCATACCTGAGACGCACAATTCCTTACTAAACGGTGGTAATTTGTTGCTGTCCTAAGTGGACGGGCACGATGATGATTGAGATACAATCGAGCCACGAGCATGATGAGATCAATATTTTCTCGGTTTTTTGTGCTTCCTTATCACCATCGCTCTCTGCATACTTGAGATAATTCAATTTTAAATTGAATGAGCGATAAAATCAGGGTTTTATTGTGACCGTTGGTGAGTTGGTTGGCTGGTGGACATAATTGGGCTTTCTCTTCATATTGGAAAAGCCCTGCTCTAACTCATCCATTACGTTGTAGCCTGTCATGCCTGATTGTGTTTTTAGTTGTAAAACTGTGGGAGACTTATTGTCTCTCTCAAATCACTCACATATCCCACCAAAATTTACAGTGACAGACGGTTGCAGACGGTAGCTGGCTTTTTCTGTGTCGGTAGTAGAGTGTCGTGCTTGTGGGTACTTAAGGGCCTGCATGGCCACACTGACAAGTTGGGAATGGTTAAAAAGGAAGGAACTATTTACGGTAAAAAAAATCACTTGAAGGCACGAATGTTGAGCAAGGTGTCCCTTAATGCGTGGGTCTGCGTGGATGATGGGGGATGATGGTTACATTTGTCGCCGGATATCCGTTTTTGATTCAAGTTCAGAAGCTGCTGGATTTCGGAAATGATTTCACTCAGGTTGAATCAGGTTGAAGGGAGGAAGCACCAGGCCCCTCCTTCTAATGGCTTTGGATTTACTCCAATTTTAATCGATTTCCATGCTAGTCGCTCCCGCCTATGGTTTTTACGATAGAGATCCTACTTTCCTGGAAACATATGCTTTAAAAGCGGGATAATTTCTTGAGATGCATATACATATTCAGTAGCAAATTAGCACACTAGCATGCAACATAAAACTGGAGCATCATTGGATTGTGTCCTTGTGAGACTTTGGTGGTAGGGATGCTGTGGTGAAGGGAGTTGGAAACCAGCGGAAGTTCTTTGTATCCAACTGGAACCACGGCTAAATTTCAGAATTCTACAAGATCACTGTCCCTCGAGTAGAAGAAAATTCTTGGATAATGTCGTTCGATCCATTAAAAGGCACCCTTTTCCTAAAGGAAACACGAGTTTCTTCATTTTGGATAAGGAAGCAGTGGATACTTTTTTTACTATCTGCCCCTTTCACCGGATCCTTAAACGCGTAGCATTTGTATGGCTAATGCACATAAGATTTTTACGCATTCATTTGGGCTCATTTCGTGTGCAGTACAGACAGTTTGTAAAGGAAACAATAACTGTGCTATTTGCTTATCGTGTATTTTGCTTTGCACAAATGTATGTGTGGTTAGACGAGATTACAGATAAATTCCAAAAAGTAATTAGTTTTAAGTCAAGATGAGAAAATTTGCATTCCTTCACTGTTGAAATATGTAAGCAGCTATTTAAAGTATCAACATTCGCTCTTTTTGCGTGTGGAGGTTCTTCCAATTCTGAATCAACATCGTTGTATGAAATATGCCTGCCATGCAAACTCACCTGTCACATTTGACGAGCTAAATATGATAGTAAATCTGTGTTCATTTTTGAAACAGCATACCTTGCCAGGCCTGTGGGGTGGTTATTAATGCCTCAGTTTAGCTTTCGGGCGTGAAGCTAGCCGGATGTTTACTTCCGCAAATGGTTAAACATTGAAATGGGGTTTAAATTTGTAATACCAATCCAATGAACTATTGGAATATCATTAAGTGGACATTAAAGAAGAGGTACACATCCGCTCGCTTAACCTTACACGAATCACCTCGCATTGACGCCTCTCCAAAAGATAACACTAATTTGTTAATCTAACACCAAACCAACGCTTCTTTTCTTCGTCGACCATTCTCATACGTACGCACGTACACATTTAAGCATATCTTAATGAAAACAAAATCTTGTTCTTGTTGGTCGTACGAGGTGGTCTCGTCCTACAGCCTTGAAAGGGTTGCTAATTACCGTTGTGCAGGCAGAGTTGGGTTTCAAATCAGGCAGAAATTGCTGCAAAGGTCACGTCACCACCCGAGAGAAAGGTGGATGACACAGGAAGAGGAAGCCACCTCCAAATGCTGCTCCTACGTAAATGCGAAATGTAGTTCATTTGCTAAAACTTTTTGATTAGTCGAATCATCACACGCTAATTGAACAACTTTGAGGAGTAGCATGTAGAAGTGAACCCTGAGAAATTCGAAAACGCTGTCTTCCGCTGATTTGACGATAAGTACAGAAAGTTGGTGGTAGCAGTAATATTCATCAAATCTGGAAAGTTCATCAGTCAACCTAGAACAATATGCATGCATGTGATGATGGTGAGGTGATGGGTCGCTGAGGAGGTCTACATATGTATGATGTACTCGTTTTAAAGCATGTGAGTTAAGGGAGAGCAGAGTTGATGAGAAAATTCCAGTTAGTTTATATTCATCATTATTATTATTATTGTGTGTATATTACCATTCGAACAATGGCTCAAATCACTGACGACGTCGACGCCACTTCCGTTCTTATTAAGCTGCACCAGTAAATAAGAAATTCCGTATTTACATCAATTCGCACAGTAATACACACAAAGGGAATGACCTGCGTTTCTCATAATTATAAAATTAATATGCTCTATCTCCAATCTATACTCGAAAACAGTTAAGTTCTCACAGTCTGAGGAGAGAGGAACATTCCAAGCACTCACAAAGTCCAATGGCAAGGGGAAGGTTGAAAACGTTCACATTCTTCTCCGTGTTACGTATCCATCAATTCAGAAATGAGACTGCATCGTGGGGAGACGACTATCTAGCATACATGCGATTTTCTGTGCAACCAGGTCCTCTCCGATATGTAGCACTTCTTTACGAAAAATAACAGGAAAACAGTAATGACCATGTTAATCGAGGAGTCGTCATTTAAATAAGTTCAGATTTTGATACAATGCATTATGTTATTGCATTGCGTACGTGTTTAAAGTGTTGCGTTGCACGCTATAAAAATAAATGTAATCTAATTATATGCATGATAAGCACATTACGGGACTTTCATGGCGTTCTACTTTTGAACTCTGATTCCACATTTCATTCACCATCAGCTCCTCCTCCTCCTCCTCCACTCATAATCAACAGTCCGCGTTTCATTTTTATTTATTCCCCAATTTGCATGCATTCAAATTTTGGCAGTAGCAATAACAATGCTCTCGTCCATTTTAGCACTAGAAAATAGTGTGCACATAAAATGAGCAGGGAACCAATGCAAATAGCTAAAATTTGACTAAATAAAAGTCAGTACAAACGAATCTGCAGTGGGTTACGGAGAAGGCTCACGACGAAGTTTTCCGAAATAGGCGTTTTCGACTCGTGGGCTAAATGAGATGCATGAGGTAATGGATGGCGAGAGGTGAATAACAGATTTTATTGCGTTTGTAGTCGTAGGTGCAGTGCTGTAGGTGGTTCATCGCGTCTCATTCGTGCTCCTGCCATCCACTCACACGTCTCAAATGAGTCGAATAGTCAGTAGTCAAACCTCTGCATATTCCGGTGATGATCTCTCATTTAAATCACTTTTAGCCTGTGTGGCAGCCGTGACTTATTGTGATTTGAGAGAAAAATGATTATTTCATTACAATTGGAGATGACATAATGACACGTACGACGCATTATGGGAGACCTCGCGTCTTCATCGTCTTTCTCGTCATTATGTTGCGACACGCTGGCTTGAGATGAGGTCGTCCTCTGTAATTGTCATTCTCAAGAGATTCACAAGTGAGAATGGTTTAATATGAGATGAGCATTTTGGTGATATTTATTATTTGGCTGGGCGTTGTCGACATTTGATGACTTATATAATAAATCATCATTATCATTCCTAACATTACTGTAAGTGGAAAATATGATGGGATTTGAGGCTCTAAGTTTTCGTTATTGCATTGATTCTCAAGAGTTTTTCTGGAGAAAGCAGTACAATTTAACTTGTGAAATCTGCCCATTCTCAAATGCTCGGATATTTAATTCTCTTTTTTTCATCTCTGTAATTATAAATAATAAATACAAATGTGCAATTTTGTGTCCTCAGGTTACAGTCACCATCTCGGGGATGGGGTGCAACAACTGAGTGAGCTGACCAACGGGGGCTCGAGCTCCAACGGAACAGCGTCAGGCCCACCGAGTGGTTCCGGTGCGGGGAGTGGGGACGAGAACGGGTATGTTCCCCAAGGGTACGACGCCGACCAGGACTACCACTCCATTTCAGACAACAACACCCATCCTGGATATGTCGAAAATTCTCCAGAGTTTTACTCCCCCTCGCTCCTCGACAAGGCCTTCCAGCCACAGACCACCTTCATCAACAAGAGTTTCTCAAGAAGTAAGTCCATAATATTTCCAAAGCGAAATTTAGTTTTCTTTCAAGATTTGACTACATGTTGTGCATATGCATACACGGGAGGTCCTGGCTCTGCTCGAGTCTTTAGAGCTTTAAGAGATAAATATGTAGCCGTTGAATTACCAGGAAATAATTAGCACTCTTGGACACCATTGTCAAGTTAATTAGCATTATTTTCTGCTGCTGTTGGTGCTGACGAATTCATCAAGAAAGATCGGTAGCAGTTAAAGTATTGTTTTTTACGACATGTAAACCTGTATGCATTTGGTTAATTTAGGTTCACCTTTGAGATTTCGATTTCGTCTGAGCTGCGAAGCATGATGAAAACTTGCCGAGTGTGAAGCATAATGCGTGTACAGCATTTAGTAAATTGGGGATTTTATTCCAAGTATTTATGCACTTTAGAGAGACTATTATCTAACTAATTTGGCTCAAGAGATGTGAACGGGAGTGGAAAATTGGTGGCGTTGTGATAACAGATTCTGTTCGCAGTTCTATTATTCCGTTGGCAAATAACACATTGGAAAGTTTTGGGCAAAAGCAGAATTAAAGTGCGGAACTGCATTAATGCACCCTGCTGAATCGAATAATGCTGATGTAACTTAATAATCCATACCTACGTATAAGCAACATGATGATATCTGTACTTGACACATGGCTATGCCCACACCACCGCCGCCGCCGCCGTCGTCGTCGTCGATACCTTGGTGGTAATTGTTTTCAAAATCCAACCTCTTTTTATCTTGAATATTTTTTGTCGAGATTCGAGATTTGTAATGTATAACAGTAGCGGCACTAGAGAACTGGGTTGACTCTTGGGTGGGGCATGACTATTGGCGTTTAGGGTTGTAAATTTCGAATACGCATTATTTAATTTCATATCATGTAATATTTTGCACTATTGTTGCATGGCACAACGATCTTGCAGAGAATGACAGCACATTACGTTGTATGCATGCACATATTATGACATAATAGCAGACATTTTTAGCCATTATACACATACATGCGTACAATTGAAAATGTTGCATAAGCAGAAAAATAGATCATGATGTACAATGTAAACGTGTTCACAGATCGTTACGGGGATGGGTACAGTGACGCTTATGGGAACAGTCCTCACAGCCATCACGGCCACTACGACTCCTCCCCACCGTTCCAAACCGTACCTGGGTCGGGAGTTCAGACGCCGGAACACTGGTCGCCAAATGGGGTCAATGGGGTCACATCCACCACTGCTTCCGGAAGTGGGGCCAACACACCTGTCGACATCCAGCTGAATTCCCACCACCTTCCTCACCCATCTTACCTCTCACACCATCGAGAACAGTACCCCACCCACCATCACACCCATGTCTCCAACGGTGATATCAAACCAGTCATTCCTCCAGCCATGCTGGGTGGCTACTCAGGTAAGCTAACGTTGTGAAATGCTTTTGTAGAGGTCTTTTCAAAGATGAGATGAAAAAATCATGTGCAGACTGACGTTAATTGTTGTTGATGTGTGTGCAGGCCCTGGCAGTGGACCATGTTTCACTGGCTCTGGACCAATTCAATTGTGGCAATTTCTCCTGGAGCTCTTGACAGACAAAACCTGCCAGAGCTTTATTTCATGGACGGGGGATGGATGGGAATTCAAGCTCACGGACCCAGATGAGGTTGCCAGGAGGTGGGGAATTCGCAAGAACAAGCCCAAGATGAATTACGAGAAGCTGAGTCGTGGCCTGCGCTACTACTACGACAAGAACATTATCCACAAAACTGCGGGCAAACGCTACGTGTATCGCTTTGTGTGAGTGCCAACAAATTCATTTACTCCACGAGTCCTGAGTCATAAACAGATGTATGAATTGTCGAAATATTTATTTCCCTTAGATGTGACTTGCAGAGCTTATTGGGGTGAGTTGGTTTTTGTCATGTTATGTCCACCACTCTGAGTGTTTGGTTATTGTCAAAATTTCTGGATTTCTCAACAACTTTTTTCTTCGATTGTGTTACACCACCACTCAACATGATCTTGTGCTTCTGTTGATGATCCGCGGCCGCTCTTATGAGGATCCTTCTATAAAGTAGTTCATGACGCAATAAGAGTCAAATTGACAATGGGAAGCGTGAGAACAGGTTGAGAGTGGTGTTTCGTGTAGACTTGAGCTTTCACCTGTCACCCCAAAAAATTCATTGTTGTACAACTTTGGGCTTTGGGGGAGCAGAGAATGTTGAGAAGCGTTTGAAATTCATTCCCCTCTCATTTTTTTCCTCCGTATGAATGATCCAAATAGTTTCAGTGGTGATACAAGTTATGATGCAACCTACGTTCGTTACTCATTATTGGTCGTCTCTTTGCAGATACAGCCCAGAAGAATTACACGCCATGGTTGACTTAAAACCAGACAAGAAGGAAGACGATTGAGAGCGACATCACAAAACACTTTTTCCCAAAACGAAGAAGAAATCCATTAATCGACAGTGATGAAATTCTACTAATACACACACATTGCATTGCCATTCGTGAACCAATGCAATGCATGTGTCGTTGTTGCTCTTTCGATAAATTATAATTCACATTAATACAATAGTGTAGCTGGAAGATACATACATATATTAATTGTAGTATTTAGTTGTAAGTTGATAAATGTACCTAATCTTCTACGCTTTCCCAGCACAACAACCAACCAACGGCCCAAATTTACCAATCCATATTTACATAGCGATGATTCTTCGAGATGACCAACACAAAGAGAAATGCTCTCTACTATTACTTGTGATCATTTTTGTCATATCACTTTCACCATCAGCACGTATGGATCACAACAGGGGTACCAGAGCTATGCAGGAGAAGGAGGAGGAATATAGTTCCGACCTCTGCTTCGATCAAAGTTATTCACCCGATTGTTACCCTAATTAGTTTAAGGAATATCTAAATAAGAAATGGAATCCAATCACAAATTATTAAGCCGTGAAAAGCATGTGAAAAAAATACGGAAAAATTATATTGTAACGAAAAGTCACTAAATCAGATTTCTGTAATTTCCAATACTTGCACATATTACAGCACATAGTTTATTGCGTACTTTTTGTGGAACTGTGTGTGGCTTGAGGACGAAGAGAATGTATACCCGGTACTTTAACCAACCAGAGAAATCGAAAATTTATGATCGATCTTTAATATTTCTAGTTATGTAATTTTTGCATTTAAGACGAGTTACATATATTTATCTGTATTTCATTTAGGGCCAAACTACAAATTTTACGATAAATATTTATATATTTTGTGACGACTCAGTTGTTATAAGTAAGGGCTAGGTGTAGTGCAACTGTACATAACCTGCATAGTTTATATGCGTCGCATATAATTGATAAGATTCTAAACGCTGGTTCATACATTTTGAATCATAATGAGCTAGGAATTATTAGTTTTATGAAAAACCAGACTCTGATGACTGTAAAGACAAGCGGCCATGGAATATTTATAACCATTTCACTTTCTGATTTATGAGGCGCCCCAAAAAAACCTCGACCACAGTGGATAATGTTACTTATGTATAAACATATTTACATCCATAAAAGTAAAATGCGCGATAAATGTTTTATTTTTTAATTCATCATTTTAGCGTCATACATTATTTTGTGCTGTTCTGTTTATTACGATGATTAAATTAAGAATAAGCCGTGCTTCGGTGTGGCACTATTTACATTGATTGGAATGGTACAGGGAACAATTTGTAAAAAAGTTTATTTGCTATGATAATAATATTTCAATCCTGTTGGGATAAGACGGTATATTTGCTGTGGTTATAAGCGTGAATGAATGTATGCAAATTATTCCTCATTTTAGTTACACGTTGAGTTAAGCCAGACATTATTACATATGTATTTGTATGTAGTTTGGTTTTTTTTGGATCAAATGTTACCAAGAAAAAAATTCTTATGCTGTACTTGAAGCAGTCGATGGAAAAACAGAGGTTACTAAAAAATGTATAGTTTTTATAGTTCTACTTACCATGCAGGAAAGTGTAGATACTTTTAGTTAGCGTGTAAAATGTAACTTTATCGATAACAATGATGATGGTCATCCGCTTCTTCTTGGTTCATGTTTGTCTTTTTGTTCGAAAAATCTATTATAGACTGCTGGCCGAGTATTATTCACGCTATTTTGTGAATTTATCTACGAAGCAATCCAGTGCCAGCGTTTGTGATCTCTAAAAGCATAATTTTAAAGAGAACATAATCTAAGAAAAATATTTACTTGTTTGACTTAGAGCCAGATCTCGGTTCCTCCGTTTTTTTGTGTTACATTTAATTTTCAGAAAAGAAGGTAAAAAGAGTAAAAGAGTTGTAAAATTAGGCTGTCCCATTCATTATTGATCTTTTTTTTCTTTTTGTAAAATTCAATCGTCTCATCATTAGAATGTGCCTTGCTAAAAATTGTAACAATCACAAAATCAGTGGAACACAAAATATACACATATGAAAGTTTATGCGTGTATGGAGTAGGATATTTAGCTGTAAATCTAACGTCTTTCGTGGCAAATTTGTACAAAGGTTAATTGTAACTTAAAGCTTATGGTATGTATGTAATAAGTAGGTTAAATAGAATTAATAATGATAAGTTGGAAATTATTTGAACTGAATCAATCATTCACAACCAGCAACACGGACATATGCGTCAGTCATGTTGAATTATTAGCTAACAATACCAAACTTAAGGTTCTGGACATACACGTATGACCACCATTCTTCTTCACGAATTGGATATCAGCACAATGTGAAATTGTAGAAATTAATGACGTGCTTAATTTGCTTATCACAAATCTTGTTGTGCAGCGTTTCTTAAATGCAGTCACTTTTTAGTCAATATAGGTCACTCTTGCACGTAATAATGTATAAATACAAAAGCAGCAGGATTATGGTCAACAAATTCGGCATACACGATCAGAGTAAATAATTTTAGAAAATAAAAAGTTACCCACCTTATCTTTAAGCAAAAAAGTATTGTTTCGCCACCACACCACGCTCCGCACCCACCCGTGTAGGCTATGCCCTCTTTTCGAAACAATATATTTATTCGGGCAATCACAAGTTTTGTTCTGGTCGCACCATTTCATTTGCTATGTTGTACATACAAACACAATTTATAATAAATAATAATTTTAGTAATTTAACCCTAAAAATATTATGATTCATAAAAAGTACTCGTTCCATAGAGTAATTAATAATTGTTAAATATTATGCATGCAAGAGTGCGTGTGCGTGGGGATTGTTAGATTTCTCGAAATATGTATGTTTAGGAATGTTACTTTCGTTAGCAGTAATTAAATATGATGATCGGAGTACAATATTTAAGGATAATTGACGGATAAGTGACAAAAAGTTGGTTGTGTGGTCCGTACAATGTTTGGAAATTGAATAAAAACTTTTGAAAACTGAAAGTATTTAAATTGCAAGCAATTTATTTATTAGCATATTGAGTAGAACAATTTAGATAATATAATATCGTGCGAAGTATATATGTACGTTTCATATAACTCTGAATGAAGGTTTTTGCACTGGGGGGTTGATTCGAGGATTAATTTAATGTTATTCCACATTATGTAAATTTAACCGACTTTGTAAATGAACATAAAATCCGGGAACAATTGACACGTTTTTTACATATTCAAAATTGTCAGCAATCAAAATTGCTTGACTTTTAGTATCCAGTTAATTTTAGGGTCCCTTGTAGAGTGATAAAGTGCCGATAAAATATCGATAATGCATGGCGCAAATATGGTAACTGATGTCGAGGCATACGACAACCAAGATTATTTGACACTTTATCAATCTATAAGGTTACGCCAAATGGCCGAGTTACAAAATAAATTTTCATTTTTAGAAAACTAAAAATTGTTGAAAATGTCATTGGTTACAGTTGGAAATGTAATTTTCAGTCAAAGTGCTTATGGAACCGTCATGTCCGTCCGTCTGTCCGTTCGATTATTTTACGATAACTTTCGTTAAACTCGTCCTAGCGACTTTAAATTTGGTATGTGTAGTATGTGGCAAATGAGGAGTTAAATTTGAAGATGGGCGAAATCGATTAAGTGGTTGACCGGTGGTGGTCATCTGGGTGGGTGGAGTATTTCAAAATCTGAAAATTGGCATTGAGATTGCTAATGGTGTCTAATTGAAGAACATGAATTTAAATTGGGAAAATTTTCGACTGGAGGGACCCGATACCATACCGATTGTTGAAAATTATCCAATCGAGCTGAAATTAGTGCAGAGATTGCTAATGGTCCCTGATGAAAAAATATGAATTAAAACATTTTTATGTGGAGGGACCTTTAAGGGGGTGACCCATATCGATTTTTAAAAATTGTATTAAAAAGATGAAATTCGCTCCAGACACTCGTAGAAGACTGAAATTTGGCATGACCCCGCGGGGGTAGACCAGATTGAAAAATATGAAGTAAATATTAAGATTTTTTCCACAGAGATTTAACAAGGTGACCCACATTGCTTTTTATATTGGTAGAATAAAAATGAAATTCTGTATCATAGGTAAGGGCACATCAGACTAAAGAATATGAAAATGAATATTTTTGTGGGCCCAGCCCAGAAAAGTCTCAGAAGTCTGAGTCTCAGAAGACTGAGACCCGTATTGGTTTTAAAATTGGTCAATGAGCTGAAATTTTGCATGCTGGATTATGGGAACATTTTTGCCGATTACGAATAGTAGTTGGTGCAGGTCGTCTGACTAAAATTTAGAAGCTGACACTGACCCTGACTCGGGCTAAATAAAGGTTGCACGCTGCAGATTTCAAATTTAATTCTCGAAATAGTAGCCTCGAGATTTTTTGCTTAAAAAATCAAGCTAAAAATTACGATGATTTCATCTTTAAGAATCAAGTCTCTATGTCTGCCCTTTCAAAAGTTATTAAAGGTCAAAGTCGTTGGTACACAGGCCCAGGGGACGTGTACCAACGATTAAAAAAATAATTATTTTATTTGTAACTCCACCATTTGTCGCAACCGTTAAAAGAGCCAAGAGTTACCTAGATACTAAATGTCAAGCAATCGTGTACGACAACAATAACAGAAATAATAAGATTAGTCCCCCGAGAAACACGCCCTCAAATGCGAAAACCTTGACTCTGAACCGAGAAACGTTATGTATTTGCAGCAACCGTCTTTGTGGAAAATATTTCAATCCAGTAGCCATCCGGATCCTTGATGAACGCCAAACCTTTCATTCGTCCGTCATCAGGACGCTTGACAAATTCCACCCCGAGCTCCTCAAACCGTTTGCATGCGGCGTACACGTCTGGAACCAAGATGCCGATGTGACCATATCCAATGCCATCAGCGTTCCCAATTTTATACGACTGGTCCGGATCGCTCTCTGTCCCCCAATTACTATAACATAATATACCCAATTAGTTATAAATATGCGTAATTTTTATAAAGTCGTAACAATCAAGTGAAAGTAAAGTTACTGCGTTAGCTCCAAAGTCGCTTTCCTGGACATGGCCCAGACCGTGCGTTCTTGGTCATTCGTTGGAACATCGCTTTCAGCTTCGAAGCCCATGAAGAAAAGAGAAAATTTTGCCCCTGGAAAATCTAACTTTTTCAACAAGGTCATGCCCAAAACTTTGGTGTAAAACTCAAGTGATTTTCTGGGGTCCTTTATGCGGTACATGGTTTGCTGGAAAAGAAAATCCTAAAAGAAATGGAATTATAATTAATAATTTAACCTATATTAAGTCAAAGTCAGTTGCATGTAAGTCTCTTTACAGAATTTGTATCGGCTTGCTTACACTTGTAGCTGGATCCTTAGATTTACAAATTTGAGCAATTTCTGCATCCGTTAATGCTGGCTTATTGTCTGCCATTTTTCGGCAAAAATTAAATTTTTTAGACCGCCCAAAAATTAGTTTATATAGGTGATTTCTTTCAGTAATTACTTAGATGGGAAAATTAATTGTGTATGTGACCATTTGGACTGGTTAAACAACACATGTCACGTCAAGGTCAGAAGAACTGTGAATCTCCCATGTACAACAGGGAATGTGAGATTAGATTAAACATGCTATTCAAGTCTGACAAGGGACACTCACGACCTGTCGTTTGAGTCCAGGGTACCCACTATGTTTTTTAGAATCTACTAGGACCCCTCATGAAGGATTCATTCATATTTCCGTGTAAAACTCATATTTGGCGCCATGGCGTGGCGCTAAACTTAAAAATTTGCATTTTCGACCAATTTCAAACCCCCATAACTTTTGCAGTTTATGTCGGATTTTTAAAATTTTATGCTTAAAATGATCAGAAAAGTTGAAATTTTAGAGAAAAAAATAAAAATCAAAAAGTTTTAATTTTTGAGATATTTTTAGCATTTTTTCGACGAACCCGAAATTTCGAAATTTTGCGAAAAGTTAAAAACGATAATTTTGAAAAAAATTTCATAGAATACGAAAGTTGAACTCCTTGTCATGATTTTTGCAAACAATTTTGAAAATCCGTCCAGGATTTCAAAAGTTATGGCAGTTTTAAAATGAAAAACCATCAAATTTGGCGAATTTGGCGCCACGCCATGGCGCCAAATATGAGTTTTACACGGAAATATGAATGAATCCTTCATCTGGGGTCCTAGTAGATTCTAAAAAACATAGTGGGTACCCTGGACTCAAACGACAGGTCGTGAGTGTCCCTTGTGAGTTGATTTGATAGTGACACAAAATTCAAGGAAATTAATTTATTATACAGAAAATTAATAATAGCGAAACAAAAAACTACACAGAATTTACAATAACATTACATATGTATATAATTTTAAATGCGCTATGATCACGAATTTCATAAAATGCCCTGACAAACAGGATCAAGGGATTCGAAATTATTATTTGAAGTAATATTAGATGATTTCGCAATTTTGGGGATTTTCTCTAAATTTTCTGCAATTTAAAAATCGAATATTAAGTATCTCACACACGTTCTCACTAGTTATTACACATTTTTAACATACCCTTAATTTCTTGTAGTGCTGTCGCCAAGTAATCGGTAGTGTTTTCGTCTCTTCTCAATCCTTCTGAAACTTGGAATGTGAAATCAGGTCCATAGTGAAGGAAAAACTACACAGCCAAATTAACAGAAAATATCACGTATTCAAAGACTATACGCGATTTAGAAATATTTAATGAAATTTGGATTTACATCGTGCTCTGGAATATCAAATGGGATTTCACGGTTAAGAATAGTGAAAGTTAATGCAGTCCATGTTTTTGCCGCATTGGTCAGAGAATATCCACCTTAAGTAAGAGGGAAATAACGATACAATTACTGGGTAATTAAGGTGAATCCGAAAATTCATTGTACCTCCACCCAAAAAGATTGTTGGTAAGTTTGCCTGAAGGATTGTTTTGACACAATGAGTTAAACTCTTTTCCGTCAAGTTGAAATTACCCAATGGATCTCCTGATAGACAATCACAACCACACTGAACAACTATCACATCAGCACAAAAATTTTCCCCGACACATTGAAACACTCTACAAATGCAACAAAAATATTAAAATTAGATCAAATATTAAAATGATACCTAGCTTACTTTTCGAACATTGAGATAAAACTTGCATCGACAACGCCACTCTTAAGGGGAACATTTACTGAATGGTACTTTCCGCGACTGTAGCCAACATCTTGTATCCGACCAGTACCAGGAAAATATCCCACCTCGTAATGATGCAGTGACAGTGTCAAGACTCTGTTTGTGTAACTGAAAGCATTTTCAACTCCGTCACCTGTGCAAAATGGTAAAATTTGAATGACTTCAAACGTACATGCATACATGACTTTGTGAACTTTTTTTTTTACCATGATGGGAGTCAAGATCGATGTATAACACCCGTTTAAAATGTTTCATTAGGTATTGAATTCCGATCACGATGTCGTTAACATAACAAAATCCACTTGCTTCATCTCTGCGAGTAAATACGTAACACTCTAATATAAATAAACAGTACACCTCATATAAGCTTCACCTAACTTAAAATAGATCAGAAATGATGGATGGATTATTATTAATTTTATCATATACCTCTGGGCATGATGCCAACCTCCGCACCAGTTGATAGCAATCTTTGACCCTTGAATTAGTGCTCCTGCCGCGGCGATAGTCCCACCCGCTATTGTTTGCCCAAAATCAATCATATTTTCGAATGTTGGGCAGTCATATCCTAAAATACAATAAAATGTTAGTATCTAGACGCAAAAAAATTAAATCTTGTCAAACCTAGGCCAAACTCTTCTTCCTCTGAACCAGGGCTTGAGTCGTTGTTAAAAGTGTTTGCTGATGTGGAGTTGGTTAAAAACTCGACGTACAAACTGGAATGGAAAGTAAGAAGATCTTCAGTTGTGGCTGGCTTGGGTGGACGCATCTCAAGAAATTCCAACAATCCGCAAGTTTTGATCAATTCATGAACCATTTGAGCCTGAAAATAATATATACAAATATAAGTGTATTGTTGACAATCCAAACATGCAATGGGTACATTTAACAAAACATCTTACCCGTCCTCGGAGATGCGGGATACAATTACTGGCAGCTATTAATTTGTCGTTATAAATGTACACAGGCTTCTCCATATTTCTGTACGTGCTGTTCTGTTGATGTATTATTTAACACTAAAGTAAGAACGTGGCTGGTGTCAACTGTGAAAATCAGGAGCAACTACTTAGTAATTAACATGCAAAACAATTTTCATTTTGCTAAAAACAAAACACTACTAATGAGTTTTAGAGTTTATTATGAAAGCAAAGATAAACAAAATTTCGATGCATGTCGTTGCCGGTTGTTGGGGTTCATTGGGGTTCTCTGACAACGAGTCTGCCCATCTGCTCAATCAGTTTTTCTGAGGAGGGAAGCAATTGCGGGAAGAGGTCGACTTTGTTTCTGGCCAAGCAACACTCGACCTCGCAAACTGGAACAAGTCAAGACACGACTTTTTTCTTTTCTTTTCTTCTTTCACGACGTCCTTCGCTGCTCGGATGGGAGTTAATTAAAGTTTTCCTTTAGTCGGATTTTCACTTTTAGACAATTAAATTATTTGAGTTTGTCATCTTCAGGGGTGGTTTAACTCTTTGTTACTTAAAAATGCGTGTTGTAATCCCGCAAATCGCTTGGCACAATAGAGACCCCGTTCTTTCTGTCGATTTTGACCCCACCACGAAAGGAGATGCAGATTTCTATCGTATTGCGAGTGGGGGTGGCGATTGCCAAGTTTTGGTAATGCTTTTACATTTACCTAATTTTCCTACTTATTAATCAGCATAATAACCACTACTGTGACCATTCTTTGATATTTAGGTCTGGCATCTCAAGGCTGCCGATACTTTGAAGCCTGAGTTAACCTGCGTGGCAGAATTAAAGAGGCATGAGAAGCCATTGAACATCGTCCGCTTTAGCCCTGATGGTTCGTACATCGCGACAGGAGGAGATGGTAAGTCACTAAGAGTTATTTGTAGTTTGACGATAACTAATAACATATTTCATATTTTTTTATTTATTTTTTTTTATTTAAGATGCATATATAATTTTGTGGAATCGTGGCGAAAAGACGACAGAGAACGAAGAGAATTGGCAGTTTGAAAAGTCTATGCGAAAACATATTGAGGATGTCAGCGACTTGTGCTGGTCTCCTGATGGGTTGTTCTTGATATCCGGCTCAATCGACAACTCCGCAGTGTACTGGGATGTGAAGAAGGTTATAATTTCAAATTATCAATTTGATTCAAGATAATTTACTAATAATTTTAATTTGCAATTTATCTTTTAATTAATACATCAACTATAATGTCATTCATAAGCTACACTACAAGCAATCATAACTTATCTTGAATTGGCTAAATGTTTTTAAATGGGAATTGTTCAGGGACAAGCCCTACATGTTTGGAGTGAAAAAGAACATACAGGGTTCGTTCATGGCGTTGCATATGATCCACTACATGAATTCGCAGCGACAATGTGCATTGATAGGTCAGCCACAAATGCTATGTTAATATTATGTTCATGAACGCGATGAGTTTATTGATAATTAAAATTTTATTGTTTAGAAATCTACGATTCTTCGATCTCAAGACCAAGAAAACCACTCATAAAGCACTCAAATACCCTGACGATTGGATTAGTGCCGATATACAAAATAAGTTGGATAATGTTGAAAAAGAGAACAACGTGCCAGTTTCTGGCCTTGCTCAAGATGCTACAACTGAAGTACAACAGGAAGTTCCTGTAACAAAGAAGGCACCAGCATTTGTGAATCGGCTTTTTCAAGATGAATTTCTCCCAACGTTCTGTCGCCGCCTTAGTTTTTCACCAAGAGGAGAGTTGCTGCTTGTTCCAGGAGGACTTTTACCGCCAGGACAGACCACTTCCGGTTCACTAAATATGTCGGAAGCGATGGACAATGAAGAAAAAACTTCTTCTGCAGACGAGAGTGATAAGAAGAAAGACAAGAAAGTTAAAAAGAAGACGACTTCAGTCAATAATTCCATTATCGTCTTTTGTCGCCATTCTTGGACAAATCCTTGTGCCGTGATTCCTACCCTAGATTCATATTCCATTGCTACCCGTTTTTGTCCCATTTACTTCAATAAGTATAGAAAATCTGTTTCATACGGTGAGTTGGAACCACTTTAACTTGTTCATTTATGCTATTATTTGTTTATTAGTCAACAATCTAGAAACTATTTCTTTGTGATCAACGTAGGCATCGTCCATCCAAAAAAGAATGAACGATCGTTTTCCTGCATCGGAAGGATTGCTACCCAGAAAGATGATAAGCATGCCTTGATGAAAATGCCATATCGTTTGGTTTACGCTGTCGCTACTAATGACACTGGTAAAGTACTTGTTTAAAAAATTCATGATGCTTATAGTTACAGACAGAACAGAATTAAATAAACATTGATTCTTAATTGTTACTTCTATTTTAGTGTTAATTGGTGATACTGCGTCTTCTTCACCGTTGGCTGTTATCCGAAATATTCACCTAGCAAGGATATCTGATATCACTTGGGCAGCGAATGGTCTAGCTCTGATTGTTTCATCTACCGATGGCTACTGTTCAATAATTACATTTGAGAAGGGGGAATTGGGAGATGAATTCACTGTAGAGGCAGACAACCCGTTTCCTGTATTGACACGTGATTGCTTCCCGATCTTACCCCTTGAACCCAAGCCTGAAAAACAATCGAAAAAGAAAACTCCTAAACCGAAACCTGATGCAAAAACGGCAAAAGATAAGGAAACGAAACCCTTGATCAAGAAAAAGCCAGTTGTTCAATCCAACAAGATTACAACTCTATTTGACAATATTGCCGCTTCCTCCTCCTCGTCTTCTCCTGCAGGGCCTAAGAAGGTTATATCAACGATGTCGTCCAACCCGACTGGTAAAAAAAATATAATTATTTGTTACCCAAGAATTTGACGACATTTTGCTAAGTTTTAAGTTGCTAAGTTGAAATCTAATCTATTAATACTTAGCTACAATAAATGTGTATGATTTGCTTCAATTACAGAACAATCTCCGTCCACTCAAGACCAATTATCAAAGCAAACTGACAATAATGAGTCAGCTTCATCAACTCCAACAAGCAAATCCAAAAGAAAAACGTTTATGGACGCTTGGGTTAAGAAGACCCCAAAAGCTGAAGCGATAGAACCATCTGCAACATCAGGAGGTGACGATTCGAGCTCTAAACAACAGAGTCAACCAGAAGTCATTGTTCTCGACGAGAATAGTGAACCAGAGTCATGTGATGGAACAGAAAAAGTGCCCGCCACTGATTCATCAGTATCAAATTCGACTGTCAAGTATCCAATGACTCCACCGTTGACGGCTAAACCAATTGCTGTTCGTCGCTTGTCCACAACCATGGTGTCTCCCCTTGTTACATCACCGAATGCCCCGCAGAAACGAAAACAAGGAGATCTAACACCTGAAGAACAACATCGACTATTAACTGGGCCTATAAAATTCAGGCGGGTCATGGAAGAATCAATGCCAATAATGGAATCGTCAAACAGTTCAGCTACAGATGATGGCAATTCTCTTTCTGCTGAAAACAAACACAAGTCAGAAAATTCCATTACATCAGCTAGAATTATTTCGGTATCGGAAACAGTTCCTAGTCTGACAACTAACATTTCAGAAATATCTGCATCGCCTAAAGTCACTGACCCTAATTGTCCTCCGTCGCCTGTATCTTCAGGATCATCATCTTCGGCTCGACCGCCGCGAAGAATTACTCTTACTACTTTACCACAAGCTACGAAAAGCAACTTTGGAAAGTTGGATTAAGATGATATTTTCTACAAATTTATTAGTACTGAGCGGTTTTTTGTTAATTTATGAATAGAAAGGACCTTGATTAATTTATTGATTTAAGTAGAATGTTGAGGGTGCCCCTCCTTCCGTTCCGTGTCAAGTTATATGTTGTAAAAAAATTGTTTAGAATGATGAAATTCCACTGTCCTTGAAATTTAAATTTAAACGATCGAAATTATTCATTATTATTTCCGTCTACTTGCTTATGATTTTTTGAACATTTTTTGTTCTCGCAACTTTTCAGAATAAATGCGCTGTTTGGTACTAGAAATAATACTTTTTTTTTTTACTAGAATTATTTATTATTAACATAAACATTGATAAACTATGAAATACACTTAGTTGGCTTGGGGAGTAGAGGAAAAACCCGATGTTGGTGGGTTGGGAAAACCTTTACTTGATCCGGATAGGCGTCCGAGATCACCATTCGGCCCCTTACATGATTTTTGTAAATAAAACGACATATCATTTAAAATATAAAATAATTCTTCTAATCCTCGTTGACTGGGGACAGCTCCCATGATTGATGCCGCATTCCCGCGTTGAACTGCCAAACTAATCCGTTGAATGAGAAAAGTTGTCGACATTGGTCCAGTGACATCCTTCATCCTCCTCCCAACATCTTGGATGAACTTCAACCCTTCCGTCCCCCATACTCCTGATGTCTCGATAGCCACCGGAACAAAGATATAGTTTGTTTTAAGTTCAGAGTACAGTTTGTGTTTTTTGGTCTCGGCTAGTTTTGCTGCTGTGCCAGCATGTCTAAGTGTGTGAGAGAGATAAGAGGGGGCAAAAGTGTCTGTACATGTAAAGTCCCATATTAGTGAGCGTCCCTGTTTGTAAGGTATTAGTGTTGGACCATCCGGTCTTTTTCCATCTGTCCTACAACACCCTAATGGTTCCCTAATGCTTGGTATGTCTGCAGAAATTAAGGCTCTCTTTATAATGTCATTGGCTTGCGTATGTCTAGAGTGCCTGCCAGCACTTTTTTTACATGAAAGACCATGTAGACCATGTTCATCTACTTGTCCTAGCAGTATTTATTGGGGTGGTGGATGATTCCAGGATACGTGAAGATACGTAATTGAAAATTGGACTTTCCCAGGATGATTGAAAAGAAGTAATTGTACTGCGAGGTAGTTCTTCACAACTAATTGACTTCCACAAGTCCTGCGCCTCGGTCACAAGTGAATCGGACAAAGCAGTGACATACGAGGGCAAAATTAAAGAAACCAAGTCAGTGGTGGCAAATGAAGATGCAAGGAAACATGGAGTTGCTAATGTTTCAGATTGTCTAATTCCTAAACCACCTAATTTAATTGGTAATGCAATTTCTTCTAAAGACAAAGGATTAATTTGGCAATTTGTAATTTGTTCTAAGGCATTATGGAGCAATGAATCAAACTCCTCTAGCAAATGTGGAGATTTAAAAATAGGGGCTGCCCTTAGTAGATAAACTAATCGTGGAATAGCTAGTGAATGTTTCAAGAGATAATACGCAATATGGCTTGGAATGGAATGCAATCGACCAGCCATGTTAGTAAAAGCGTGAATCTTTTTGCGGAAAACATGTTCAATAGATTCAAGAGTCAAAGGTGCACCTAAAAGTTCAGCATTTTCCTGAGTCATACATGAAATACCTGGTGCAACTGATTGGAAAGATTCTAGTATACATTGCGTGTTAGTTTGTGGACCTAAAACTGAAACCTCACATTTATCAAAGTTCAATTCTAAACCTACTTCATTTGCACATGAGATAATATGTTGAAAATCGTCTAACACTGTAGTAGAATTGCCACCTAATGTACCATCATCTAAGTACCACATATTAAATTCTGACCCTAAATTTGAAATGACTGGATGCAAGGTTAAACAGAAAAGTGGTGGACCTAACGGATCTCCTTGTTGAACACCTCTACATGAATCAATTAAAGAAGAATTCCACACAAGACTGGATGAGAATCTATAGCACTGATTAATATAAGGATACAAAGTTAGGTACAAGTTCGTGAACGGATGAAAGCAATTTCCCTCTATCTACCATATTAAATGCATTCTTAAAATCGATTTTAAGGAAGGCTGTAGGTGATTGATGTGGAAAGGAAAAGAATCTACGGGCAGCGTGTGCTCCTGCTTCAGCACCATTTTTTACGTTGAAACCTACTTGGACTGGACTAAAATAATCCTGAAAGACATGATTCATGACCTTCACACAAACCTTTGAAACTATTCTACGATAAGTGCAACCTACCGCTATAGGTCTAATACCACCTGATTTCTTTTTAAGGGCCGTAAGACTTGCACCGTAAATGAAAGGACAAATATCTAAAGGAACTTTTCCTGCTAACATAAAATTGCAAAATTTTGTAAGAGATTCTAACAATTGAGTTCCTACGTCACCAGTATGTTGTGAAACTAGATCTTTCAGAATTTGTGGTCGTAATGCATCTAAACCCCCTGCTGAACCACTAGGAAATGAGAATATTGCTGAGATAACCTGCTCTGTTGTCGTAGTAAATGGTGGAATGTTAGGCTCATCTAAAACAGTAAAATTGTCTGAAGATTGTTGTGGGTGCTTTTCTACAAGTGTGTCCAAAGTCGCTGAAGAATTGGGAGCGACAACATCATCTGATGTTAAAAGCCGTATCGCGCCACGAATATTTCCTTCGGAAACTTTAGATATGACTTTTGGCCCTATGTCGTTGATTTTGCTACCTGACTTATCAAAGACTGAATTTTTGGATGAAAGTGAAATGAGATAGTCCTGATAAGTATTTTTATCTAAGGATTCAAAAATAGATAAATTATTTCTAATTTTGTTGTTAAGACTTTGACCATTCTTTATATTTGCCCTTGAATCACATTGTAATGTTACATATGGAAAAGTCAAAAGAAGGTGCCATGCCTCTGGTGTGTTTTCAGTTGCATTTATCTATGGCTGACTTGATTGATTGTGCTACCGGAATTCTACAGGCCTTGGGGCATTGTTTGAGAGTTGGACAATTTTGCCTAAGAGAGGAAATAATAGATTTGAAATCAAAAACAGTTTCTGGAACTTGTTCTGATTTTAACTGGATCCCTACGTAATGATATTTCGAAGCGCCATGAAATTCTGTCCTAAGTCTTTTGGTCCTAATGTTTGAAAATGAATTTTTTATCAATTTCCCAATTTCTGCATCGTTTAAGGGTTTGCAAATGCCTAACGAGTCCTGTCTATACGCTTCATGTAACAGATTTTTCTCAATTATACCTCCTGGGACTATATTGTTATTTAGCCACTCTAATGTGAGAGATGTACATGTTGCTTTGCTAGATATAAAATTTGAAAGTGGTGTACTTAATGTAGAAATTGGTTGTGATGCACGTGGATTTGTACAGGGGCTTGACTGTGTAATTTGACTATGTGTGCCTAGAGTAGACTGATTTGCAGGCGACGGTGTGTTTGAGTTTACTTGGGGGCCTATTTGTGTATGTATTTGGGGACAGTTTGCGCAGAACCAGTCATCTTCAGGAATGGCCTGCAAAAGAAGACAAGAGGTGTGATACCACAAAAGACATGCAGAACATTCTATCCACTCATCTGTTGCTGAAGATGATGGTCCTGGGCAGCCCGACACCGGACAGAAAAGGTCATCGGAAACGGGATTTAAACCCTCGGTGGTATGGGGGAGCGGTCGGGAGGATGTGGGAGGAGGACATTTTCTTGGTCCTGTCCTCTTCTTTTGCTTATTCCTCTTCTTTCTTGGTCCTGGATGTGGTCGTGGTGAGGATGATGATGGCGGCGGCAGCGGGGACGATGACGGCGGCAGCGGGGACGATGACGGCGGCAGCGGGGACGATGACGGCGGCAGCGGGGACGATGACAGCGGCAGCGGGGGTGATGACGATGATGGCGGGAGGGGAGGAAGTAGCGTCAAGTTTACATATTTCCATATATCTAGTGACTTGAAGAGCGGCATCGTGGTCTGACGACTTGTATCCAACAATACTGGCAACTGTGATGATGACGCCAATGAAATAATTGAAATTGTTGAATACCCTTAGCAACATTATTATTCATATGCAATCTTACGTGATTATCCGCTGCTGCATTTTCCAGTACTTTTTTCTGCATAATAAGTGGACCGTGATAAAAACCAAAATGTCGCACCCTTCCAGCTCTCAGGACGCAAAGAGCAAAGTTCCATCCGTGGCGTCAGATGTGTTTCAGTGTTGCGATAAAGATCACACCCCTTCCGGCAACGAAGCCAAAGATGTTCATAGAGCGGGTTCCGCGTGGAGTATCACGAATATGCCTGCAGAAATTGCCCAGTTCGCCATTGATGCTCCCATTGACTATGATGCCAAAGTAGGACTACATTATTTCCATACTATGAATTTAACTTATTTTAATAACAACATATGCGTATGTACGTACATAGGCTGCTGATATACAGAGACATAAGGACGATGACAACAAGGATGAGTTTCAACGAGCCCTCGCTATTTTGCAGTACTAATCAAATCAAGGATATATTATTTTTGTTCGTGTAGTAAATTTTCTTTAAAATAATTTATGGCCTTGAAGAAGTAACGAGTTTGGACAGAAAGTCTTTGCAGCTCAAAACTTGTCTCAAATGATCTCCACCAACCAAGATCGGGCTTTCAAGGAATTGCTCCCAGCTATTGAGAATGTGTGTAAAAATCACAAGATTTAGAAAATGGATGATCATTCTCGGTGAATTTATCTGCGTATTTAATTCTTCAGGAATTAAAGCAAAACTTCGACCCAGAATTTCACATGGCAGTTGCCGACAGCGTGACCAGATCTGTGCTGTTCTTGTTACCCAAGAACCTGCAAAGGGCACGGCAGCTCATTAATATTGCTTCCATCATGGTTTCCTCTGCTAATACTGGTAAATACGGACCCAATGTATTATATTATGAATCGGTATTGGAAATATTTTTCGATACAAAAATGATCATCGTGATTAATTATTTATTTATACCCGCAGAGGTTTCAGATTCATGGTATCGTTGCTTCGACTCTCTCGTGGGCCAGCTAAATTCTGCAGATTTACAACGAGAGGTATTATACAAACGTAGATGGAAACACGTACCACGTTCTTGTTAATTTTGCATGTTTTTTAGATTGTCCCACATGTAGTGGAAAGGCTGGGAAAAGATACAGCTTCCGTGAACGCGAAGAGAACGGCAGGTCGACTCATGGAGAAATTGGCAAATAAACTTCCAGACGAAGCGTAGGCGAAAAATAGAGAATGCAATTCATTCGGCATCTGGACTGTTTTACATTAATTTTAAACTGCGGAATAATCGAATTCTTATTGGAATTGGTACAGCGTTGCCAAAAAACTGTTCCCCACGGTGGAAGCCTTGTGCCGGGACAAGGATTCCGTTGTGCGAGGAACAATGTGTGTTCGACTACCAGAAGTAATCGTCAAATTAAAAGAAAAGGACAAAGTATTCCCCATCCTCAACAATCTTCTTAACGACATGGACGGTGCGGGTGCTTTCACTTTTGAGTTGTGTTCTACTTGCGTAATAAGCAAAATAACCGTGTAATTTATGTAACTTGTAATTTACTGCAGCTCACGTTATGACAGCTTTGCTGGGGGCGTTAGGAAAGGCCGTGATGTTGATGAACGTGAAGGACCCGAAAGCAAACGAGTTTTTCCAAACAGCGATGCCTATTTTTAAGAAAGTTGTCAAGAAAGCGTACGTGGACGGGAATACGGAGCTGCTCACCGAATTCACGAGTCACTTTGGACAAGTCACAGCCATAATCTCTGGTAATTTTACAATTGCGTACCATCATTTCATTCGTACCCTATCGTGCCTGACCTGCATGACCTTTGAACGAATGAAGGGAGTGGGATTCTGTCCAATGCGGATAAGTTGTGGTTTTTGGATGCATGTCTTCAACTGAGTCGATATGGACTCCCAAGCTCCCAATTTTCAGGGAAAGGGAACGAGCAAAGCGTGAGAACTGCAATCTATTCCATAAAACATTTTAATCTCGTTTAAAAAACTTTTTGTTTTAATGAATTTAGATGCCCACAGGCTTTATTAATTTCCGAGCCAACATGGAATTTAACAGGCGTCACTCTGCTGTAAGTTTCATTTCATTATTCCATTTCATCATTCCTCCAACAACATTTTTTCACTCTTGACAAGTTTAAAAATTAAGTTTAACTTTATTTTAAATTTTACAAGTCCACATTTTTCCATATTTTAAAACGCCGATTAAAGTTTTATGCTTTGAACAGCTTGAAGCGCTGATTGGCACAGGCGCCCCAAGTACCTCGAAAGCCTCTCCAGCAGGTCAACCAACGGGCACAGCTCTAACCCTCATCAAAGGAAACAATAATGACGGTGTCAAGGACGATTCTGCCTGGGCCTGTCGAGCCAATATTGCCTCCAGCTTTCTCCCCTTTCTCAAATTCGCCAAACCTTTGGTGGATTTTCGTCATGGGCTGCATCCCATAGTTGTCGACTTGATGCACGATCCTGTCCCATCCGTCAGAGCGAAAATGGCCAAGAATATTTATCCCGTAAGATTAAAAGTTTTGCGATCTCTTAAACATTTATGTACGTATAAGGGAAAGAACTTGGATGGATATGCAGATTATGCAATACTTGGGATCCGATGGTGCCCTCCTGAATGGCGAGGTCGTTTATTCTCTTGCTGACGACGATATAACCGTGGTTGAAGCTATCATGCCAAACTTGGCAGATATTTTACGAGCGTTTGTCCAAGCAAAGTTGATTTCTCCAGATGCAATGGTAAGCCTGGATAAATATATTCATGTATGTATCCCCTTACGCCACCATTCACGGCCATGCCTTTCATGTCCCATCGCATTCTATATACAACCGGAAAGATCTGTTGAGCAGTTTGTGGAGAAAGCAAGCAAGTGAAACTTGTTTACACGATTTTCTCCATTCATAAATCTTCTTTACGCAATTTCCAGCAGACGTAGGAAAGTGTTTGAGAAGCAATGAATTTTTCTCAGATTTATGGTCCCACTAGGACTTGAAAGCTAACGTCTGTAGAGATTTCTAGATGAGAATAAAATTAAACTCGTTTGATTAAGTTTATATATTTGGGGTGCTCATTTACTTTCTTTTAATCAAGTTGTATCCAGGTGGTTCTCTTGATGAAATTATTATGTTTTTGTTTACTGGCATGCTATTATTTCATGATTATTACTTCATATTCTAGACGAACGCAACTGTTGAGATTGGAGGTGCGCTTTTGTTCTGCGAGATGCGACTGAGTCAAACGAACGATTGGCGAGTGCACGCCACGATGTTGGAACAATTATCCGTTCTGCCCTTCTGCTTCCCAGTGGACTATGTGTACAATAACTTTGTTCCAGCCCTGTTCCACCGACTTCTCCACATGGTTCGTGAATTTGCCCGTTATTTTTAACGTATAAACCTTGGCATAAAGTTCACCAAATTCTTTTGCGAAAAGACTTGGTCCGCCACACCCACGCGATCTGCCACTGAAATTGATGCCCATCATTTCATGCAGCAGAAATTCCAAGACTTTTATCAGTTCTTGGTACTCGAATCACAGTTTCTCTTAGAAAGGATCTGGCTACTGTACATAAAAGTATGTAATGCTGACTTTGTAATGGAGTTAGATTACATTCCACGCCTTCTTCTCGTGCTCCTTTTCTTTAAGCATTTCTTTAAAGAAGAAATTGGATTATGGGTCGAGTTGAGACATTCGATTAAATTTCGACTCCCACTCAATAGCAAGGAGTTTGAAGTTGCTTCTTCAGTATTGTGCAATTCCTGGAGTCTAAAGTAAACTCTGAATAAGAATTACGATGTATGTAATGTACATGTGGCTTAGTTTCTACTAGAATCAATTACACATTTCATTCCATCAAACTCAATTTCGTCTTACGTAATGCTTTCTTGCGACACTAAGCACTTTTGCATGAAAAAAGAGCCATCTTACTCAAAGTCCATTTGCTGACCCAACACTCTGATCTTAGGAGGGGAGCTTCACCACCTGCCCCTCTCAGATCTTGATGTGCTTTGGATATGTGGTAGTGTCCTATGAGTGTACTAAAACCCTGAAGTGGTTTGACTCCATGGCCACAGTTACGCCCGTCACACCCACTCAAAGGGGCCAAAAACACGAAAAAGGCCCTGTTTTCACTTGTTCAAACCCTCGCCAAAAATTCAATTTTGCTCGGATTTTGGTAAAATTTACATTTTTGTGATCCCAGATACTTGTGCGATAATATCCAATAGATATCTCAACTTTTTTGAAATTTTGAATTTTTTCGAATAATTCATCAGCCCGAAAATGCCCGAAAATTTCGAAAATTTCAAAAAAGTTGAGATTGCTACTGGATATGATCAAACAAGTATCTGGGATTACAAAAATGTAAATTTTATCAAAATCCGATCAAAATTGGATTTTTGGTGGATTTTTGAAGTTGGTAACTTTTGTGGTTTTCATCCCTTTGAGTGGGTGTGGCGGGCGCAAATGTGGCCATGGAGTCAAACCACTTCAGGGTTATAGTACACTCATGGGACCCTACCACATATGCAAAGCACATCAAGATCTGAGAGGGGCAGGTGGTGAAGCTCTCCTCCTTAGTCGGTTAGAGGTGAGCCAAAAATAGGTATTTACGTCGATATATTCACAGAAAGCTCGGGAGCAGAATGTGTTTAAAATTTTAGTTGGACAGAAGGTCAAGCATGCGTTTGCGGCTTTGCTTGGGTACAATTACCACTTATTTTATTGTTTGCAGAGACAACTGCCTTGCAGAATAGCAGCAGCAGATGCGATTGTCTCCTTCCTCCGCCACTGTCGACGATCTCACCAGAGGGAAGAGATTCGGAGGAGGATAAAAGAAGGTGAGATCACGACGACGAAGAAGACGTGAGGAAATATTGGTCCATTAATTTAATTGTGCCAACTAGAGGAGGAGGAGGAGGAAACGAGTTAATGGAGCTCCTTTCTGTGCCAGCGCAACAGACACCCACACGGCAATCCTGTCCAGAAAAATAGAACAGGATGGCCAACTCCATTAGCCATAGCATTACTGTCCCTTAGGTGAAAGTTTATGGTGGTGGTGAAATATTGGGGCTATTAAAACTTCCCTAATGGAATCGACACTCATATAACATTTTTCCAGATTAGCAATGCGTCCTCTGACACTGACGACACTTTGTTCACGGAAAGTGAAAGTATGTGTATGGTCGTGTTGCTCAACAAAGCAGGCAGCCCAAAGATCTTACTCTTGTTCTGTGATATGATGTACATTCTTAATGGAAAATATTTCTGACGTGTTGTCGTACTACTGAGGTTTTTGGTAGCCTCGCATCCGTACCATTATCACAGTAAATAGATTCCTTGCCCACATTCGTGGTGCACATGGTGCACAAATAGTTCTTGTTGGCTTGGGTTACATCAACATGTTCATTGAGGTGAAAGTTTTATAGCTTGGCGACTATAGAAGCACTACATCTATAGTACTGCACACTTCTAATCTAGGGATCTTGTTGTCTGCTGCTCAAGGATTTTAAATGGTTATTGTGGTGAAAGCAGACTAGCTTATTCCATGTATTTTCCTATTTATGCATTTATGGATTTTGCAGTTTTAAGTGAAGTCATTTTTCACAAAGTTTCTGGGTGGTTGGCAGGTGTTGGCTTAAAGTCTTGTTTATTGAGGTGTAATAGCCGTTTAGGTATGCAGACGAGATCTTTAGTACATCTGGGGCCAACGTCCCTCTTCGTCCCCATCTCTAAATTTCCATTTGGAATTTGGGCCAAGCCGTGTTTTCGCATTTTGTGGTATTTTGTGTAGCTATAAAAGCAAACCTGGTAAAGTTTGGGCTGTTCGTGGACTCGGAAAAACGAGTTTAAATGTCTCTTTTCTAGCCATTATTGTGGCTCGAAAACACCTTTCTTGGTTTTGTGCATTCCTAAAAAAACAACCCCAACAGATAATCATCACAATGTCTTGCATACTTTCTTCTCCACCATACCAACATATACATTCGTTCGTTTTTAAGTGTATGTAGTATTTGCATATCATAAGCACATCATTTTCCCACATGTTTCTTTGAGGTGATAGCAGAGAACGTATTTTTGTATACGCATCAAAGTTTATATGCAAACTTTAGTCTTCCAATTCCAACATCAAAGTTCAAAGTTAGGCCCCCAGCGAATTTTATGCCATGATCTTCAATCAATCATTCGAGCCTTTGGTGCACGGCAATGTTACGGTTTGTATGCAATCTAAAATTTCTTGGGAAAAATTATCCACACAGGTTTCGCTCAAGGTCGCAGTGTTCATGACAGAATGCTGTTCCTCTTCATGTCCAAGAAAATCATGGAAATTTTCTCAAGAAAGTATTACCGTGATCATTTTTTTGAGTCCACCTTGCTCATGACTGGTACATAACTTAAATCACTACAAAATTATGCTGAATAATCGCGACTGACAATCCTACACATTTGTAGATGACAACATTCCCAACATTCGGCTGAAAGCAGTCAACATGATGCCAGACTTGAAAGGCGTGCTCCAAATGTCGGAAGATGCCACGCTTTTGAAAAAGCTGGAAGAAACTTTGGTAAAGATAAAAAACTCGGAAAACGACCGAGATGTTCAGAACGCTATCGAGGCAGTGATTCCGGTCATGGAGAAAGTTGGAGTGGTATTGAAAAGGGATAAAACGGTAAAGGAACTTCTACACGTAATTGGCATATTGCTTTTGTATTTCTATTGTTGGGATGACAAGTGGGATTTATTATGTCATCTCGGCTGGCCGACTCGCATTTAAATAAATGAAGAGAACTGCTCATGCATGCAAAACATGATTTATAAGAAATATGTGATTTGTGTGCAGGGTCCAAAGACAAAAGAGGATTTGGAAGATGAAGCAAAGGAACGGGAGGAAGAGTACATTGCCAGCTTGGAACCCCCTCCAAACGCAAAGAACAACAATATTCGGGAGAAAAGTAAAAGTGAGTCTTTCACCCTAGATTTCTACATATGTTCGATTACTAAAGTCTCCCGTGACTTAATTCCCCATTTGGTCGCATTTTATTCAAATGCGAGAGATTGTGTCAAACCATATTGTTAAGATTCCGTCATGGGACATGCATATGACGTACGTAGGTGTGTGTGCTCAAAAGAGAAAGCGAGGTACGAGGGAAGATGAGAATAGACTTTGTGGTAATCCAGAGGGTGTCATGTCTGATCATTCGTCTGTATATGTACGTACACGTGTACATGTAGTTCCTTACCGTCATTGTCATTGACAGATCATCTATTTCTTCTCCTCCCTCGAGGATTAGAGCTGAGAAGAAAATCTGACAGCTTCTTATTATTGCATGCTCGTCCTTCTATCGATTGATGGGGTTTTTTATGTGAAGATAACTTTGTCAGCTACACAAATTATTACGACTGCATGACTCTCTGTGTGTGCGTCTGGTTTAAGTGCAGAAGATTGTTTTGTAAGGGACTTTCCCACATTTTCATTGCAATCCAATTTTATCTTATAAATAAATTGCGTTTTCCTCAATAAAACTCGCACCCCGTAGCCTAATAAATTTTTGCGATATTTTTTACCCCCTCTATAAAATATAGGATTAAATTGCTACCGTTGAGATTTGATCGGTTTTTCAAGGCATTCAGTGATGCAATTTTCACAGGTTTTCGGTGAATGACGTCTCTGGTTCCACTGCTGCGACTCATTTCTGCCATATCTCAACAATTACGTTTGACCAAGTGTCGTGTAGTGTCAAAAGTGATGTTCTCTATCTCGTTCAATCCCTTGCTAAATTATTAAGCTTTGAACGGCTGGTATTGTACATAAATGGCCGAGAATGCGGTGCACAGGACTACGAATAGGACTAACCTTTCCTCCCACCTTTATCAGCGACGGAGGTGCACGGTGAAAGTAGAAAGTAGATAGAGATTGCACGTTGGTGAGGAGTAGGCTTTCTGCTCCTGTCAGTATTGTGTTGCAGATGTAACTACAACTGTGATCAATGTGCTGTAACGAAACCTGATGTGATTTCAAGTCCCGTAGGAATCAAATGTAATAGGATTATCCTATGAACTTTGGTGTCCGTTACTGCTGGACTCACCACCGCTCTCGGGTTTCTTGTCAAAACAAAAAGCTTATAATCATTAAATGAAGTCGATTTGTCTTGTGCACAGGCGAATGATGGCGCAGATTTGATGCGTGGGTCTGTTGGGGACCATATAAGTTTTCCATGTGTCTTGGCCTTGGCTTGATTTTACCTCGTATCATTTTCATCAGGTATCTACAAAACCAGTCGACGAAGTGAAGCTCCGCCATTAGTCCCAGCTATTCCACGTCCACCAGAACCTGTGGTGGCGACGAACGAGCCACCTGGCCCTCCGATGTGGACTCTGCAAATGAAGCACAAGTCCATTGGACAATTTGAGCCTACCAAAAGCATCGTGGACGAGTACAACCGGAAAAAGTGACAACAGAATAACATCATATTCGTTGTGAAATATATAAAAATTGAGCATTTTTATTTGATCTCAGAAAGCCGTCAGACCCGAAGAAAAAGTGATGCAGATCTTGATGTCTCATAAAACTTTTATTTGAGGTACTTTACATTAAAATGCACACACATCTGCTACACAGACGAACTTCCCTGCGAACCTATTTATGTACGTACAACCAAAATTTATAGTATTACTGATGCAATAAACTTTTCTTCAGATTCTGGTGGGTGACATTTCATATCATTTTTAGCATGACAACAAAGGCTCCTGCTTGTTACAAAGTAAAAGTCTCATAACTCAGACTCTGTGCAAACCAGGCAGCATAAAATTATTTAACAAAGTTAAACCGTATAGCAAATGAAAACTATAAACTGAACTCTTTTATGTACTACTTGTTACATTCTTATTTACATAATACTTTTGGATTCAGTTGTATATCAAAATGTTGAAGTGGAGAGTAAAATACGTCAGATTTCGAAATTTACGAGCAATGTTGAGCAACTTTCATTAGTACGCTTCGTTTACCACGTTACTTCTCTACTACTTGGGACATGTGTCTCATCACGAAACCTGTATTTTCAACGCCATGTATGCAAATTATACACGCGTATGTATAATTTTCGTCTTTCAAAAATGAAATCTCAATTTACCTTTACGAGTAAAATAGCAAATTTAGATCTTCTGAGGAATTCTTTTCTCGCTAGCTAAACAAAAAGTGGAGTCATTTACCATCGGATTTCCTTCCTAATGACTCAAAACCGTGACAAACTAAAAATTATGATCACTTTATAACTTTATATTTAACTTGTGACAAATAAGAGCTAAAATTGCATGGAGAAGCTCCAAAGTCCAAGTAGATTTCAATCTACGAATGCATTGTAAGTCAAATTAATGGCGAGTCGACTTTCTATTTTTATACACTTCCCCTTTTGATTCCAGGTAGAATGTAATTAACTGGGCCCACCTGCTTACATACTCGTGCACGTCATAATTCGTGGGAAATAATTGAAGTAAACTCCAAAGCATTATTTAATTTTAAAAGTACGACCAGACATTTTACCCTTATAATTTGACTACAAGAGTAGCTTTATATATAACTTATAATATTCAAACCCGTCTGCACAATCGGTCTTGATTCAAGTTTGACATATGCAATAATTTTAACTCAAGTAGCGAAAGTTTGAACACGTAATCGGCGAAAGTTACGCAATCTGAGCAAACTAAAAGGACTAAAAATAAATATTTAAGATGCGACCAAATTTAAGCTCAGTTCAGGCTCGTGCTCGCTTCCAAAAAGCCGAGTAAAAGTTTAAGATTTTTAATCACTAAAGTAAACATTTGGTTCAGCCTTCCTGTTGACCTGCCTGCACCAGCAATCGATCGCCCGAAGCCACAAACTTTCTATTAGGAAGATCCGCTAGTTAGTTCGCTCATTAAGTGCTCCAGGTTCTGGGGAAAATCGTGCCTCATTTTCGACGCCGAATATTCAACTTGTTGGCGATATACTTAGCAGACTACTTATTAGGGAGAAAGCGAGAGAGAGAATGTTTTTGCCCGTTGTAATGTGATAGGCATGTATCTAGCGGATGATAGGCATGTATCTATCTTCGGGTCTAGCGGAAGCCACATACTGATGGCTAGCACGTTAGGTAATTAGCTAGAAGTCTGTAATATGCTCTGGTACAAATTAAAATCGATTAACAGTCATACATAAAACTCACATCATATGCATGCATGTACATATACATACATTAACATGCATACGAACACACGTATTGTGTTTCCATTGTTCAGGTTGGAACACTTCTATTAGGATTCTGTCCAGGGCGTTTAGACATTTTGTCGTTCGTCGTTTCTCCGTAGGAGACAATGTTTACACGCCCTGGATTCTGTCCCTCTGGCTGGACTGGACCTCTCTTCGATAATAAATACAAAGGAGAAATGAATAATGTAGTTTGGAAGAACAATTACAAAGGTTTTCATGCAGTATGTACATCATTGAATAAAGTTTTGTCTTTTTGTGTCATTTATCAAGTTATGCGGAATGACCAGAGTCAATGCAAAGAATTGACGTGACTTGGTTCATACCTGGATTAGATGACTAAAAAGTGTAGAATTGCACCATTCTTATTTAGCATAAGTTGATCTGCTTGACATCTAAATGGACCGAAATTTTTGAAATCGTGCCCTTCTCCCTTAAAGTGTAACTTTCTTAAGTAAAAAAATGAACCGTTCATTACGAAGCAAGTTAAGGAGAGTGTGCACTGACTTTGAGGGAAAGGGGAGTGGATGAAAGAAGTCCAGAGACCCCTCCTCCTCACGGCAGGGAATATTCCAGAGAGAAAGAAGAGGCCGGATCCGGACACTACATGATTTATTTGATGTTTGGCAGCACGCAACACACGCCGGAATTTCATGCACACCAAAGGCTGACTCGCATTAACTATGGAACATGACAACGTCAACCTGCCGCTTAAGAATGGATCTGCTTATTCGCAATATTACTCTGTGTGTCACGTATGTGGTTCTAGAAGGAACACGTAAGCAAACCAAATTTGCAAGAGGAAATGCTTTCACTTTTTCACCTTTAGAGCGGTTCCCCTTCAATCCAGATTTGGATTTGTGGAATAATACGAACATGGTCCAGCTTCATCACAACGCATACTCGATGACCAACAGGAAATAGATTTCTCAGATTTCTCAGTGCTCAGGTATCTCGTCCCACGTGATTAGATCGCATTTTGGTAAATATGAAGCTAGTAGTGACCAAGCCATACCTTCGCAATTTACCTTAACTCTTTCTCGCGATGCACATCAGTACTTAATAAAGACGGGGATGAAACCGTGATACGGAAAGTCATTCGTGGAGCCAGACAACAATTCGGAGCCAGATAAAGAGAAACATAATCTCATTTTGCAGACGTTGCAGCACATCTGCTTTCTCCTGCTTGGGAAGTTGGGACGAGGAGCAGGAGGGAAGCCAGAAAGTTCCGTGGGAGGAAGGATGCCCAACTTTCTTTCTGAACCAACTGCTGCTGGGGCAAACCTTGGCGAAACGTTTAGAGTTTCTCCTCTTCAACTGGTGGTGGTGGTGGTGATGGTGAGGAGCAAGTGGTGAATAATTCATGGCTGAACAGCTCTCATCTTTCCCTACAGTTGGGGCACGTCCAATCCAATCTGAAGAGGCTCCAGTTCCACAAAGGAGAGAAAGTGAGGTTTTATGACATTCTCCACTTTCCGTCGACTCAACTGCACACACGTTTGTACATTTTGCCAACGAATGAAAACTACCTTCCCAACAAGGTACAAGTAGACAGATGTTATGTTCACTTGGATTTTTCACTCGGTGCAAATGTTCCCCAATTCTTACCTGCAAATGTTTGTTTGACATTTCGCATCTCAAGTAAATTCACCACCGACAGCCTTACACAGCATGTTCACGTATTTTGCAACCAGCTCGCATGCGCCTCGCCATTCTTTTGCATTTATTTATACGTGTATGTAAGCACTTGTTCCTGCCACACAAAGGAAGAAATGCATGCAATAATGTTGCCATGCTGGACACGCTGTAATCTAATAATGGACCCTCATACGGCCCGACCCACATAACCTCTGTGGCACTGGGACATTGTTGAAGAGGGGAAGAGAGTGCATCGAGGTGGAAGTATTGGTTAACCGTACTCTTCCACTTCGATTTCTTTTACTTTTATCCCCTCATTTTATTTTTTATTCATTACTTTTTGGCCCGGCGCCAACGTCAGCACAACAAACGAATCAGCTACAAAATAAAATAAGAGAGCAAAAGCTTTCAAATTTGCACATAAAAAGGAAAGTAAATGTAGTGTGCAAAATGTCTTCAACTCCGCGTCAACATTCCGCCGATGATGAAGAAGAAGGAGAAAGAAACGTGTGGGCTTACTTCAAAGTTTTTCAGAAAAGTTCTGGAAACATTTTCCCTTTTAGCAAAATTCGACAGGCGCCAATATCAAGGTCTGTATTTACTTGAACACGTATTAAATAAAGATATCATCTCAAGATTAACCAAAATGTGCAAGATTTCTCAAATCTCTTGAGCACGTTCCACTTTTCATACTTTTCATCATCAGCAAATTGTACATTTTTTTCTTGTCTGTCAAATATTTATTTATTTTTTACCAGCAATAATCTCGATAGACTAGACAATCAAGTTCGGCAGAAGCAAACATCACATATTTATTTCTCATATACTTTTCGAAGGTGAAAGTAACCAGGTTTTCCCGAGACGATTTTCCATCTGGCCCAAATTGCATTTGAAGAATTTCTTTTGCAATACATGTGTATGTACTATATAAATATACGCACTTGCAAGTATTTACCTATGACAGAGTGCTGACGTGTGGATGTATGTAGCTCCTCCAAGGCTGAATCATTCGATCTGCACAACATAAGCCCAAGAGACATGAACGAGGAAATAAAAAAAGAAGAAACGATGCATCCGTCCGTCCCAAACGATCCCAAGAAATATCATTACGTCGGCAGCAAACATTTTCCAAATAGAGTTTCAAAATATTGTACATGGGAAAAGAAGCATGCGGATAAAACGTTTTATGATGGGTCTTGGGCGTTTTATGTATGTCGAGAGTATTTCATTTCATGTACTGTGCAGAATCGTTACAATTTTAAAAATGAGATTACGTGTGTATCAGCATACACTTGTGAAAAAAATCTACTCACAAGGCTTGCAAATAATTTGCTGAAATGTCAAACACTAGTAAAAGAATGTATTCGTTTTATTAAAATAAGTCCCAAATCCTAAAATAGTTTTTAACAAATAATTTTCTGTATGCAACACATTCTTATTTAATAACTTGCCAATTACAGATACAGGAAAAAATAAGTACATGTAATAACAATTATCATAAATATGTATGTATTTAGAACAAGTCTGTACGTAAATATCTTTCCACAACCTCCTTTTCCGTCGTCGTCATCGTCGTCGATAAAGTACAATAATACATTTGTCTTCAACTTATATCTTATCCAATAAATCTTAAAAATGCAGCCCCAAAAATTGGGAAGTTGATGCCCCCGTTTCAAAATGTCATGTCGCACGTCGTCGTAATATACATAATTCACCATTTTTGTCATTATTATTCACACTATAATTCCCCATTGATATGCAAATCCGTTGTAAACTCGTTCTCATTACTAAATACAAAGACAACACAATTTTTTAAGTGTCGACAAAATAGGAAAGTGGGTTTTTCGTCGTCGTCGTCGTCGTCATTGTATTTTGCCTGGAGCACTTGCTCATCATTTTTAGTTTTTTTTTCATCGTGTAAGCCTCGTCGTGGATAATATGCTGCTGCTTCTGGCTTGGGTATAATAATAGCTTTCACTTTCCAGGAAGCAACCCTACTTACGTTCTCTCTTGTCTCTGTCTTGTTTATCGATACGCTGCCACTCTGCGACTTACTTGCTCGTGCTCGTTCAAAATGCTGGACGGGTTTCAATCCCCGGTGAATACGGATGTCAAAGATGTTGATTGAATTTTTTTGATGGAAGCAGTAGAAGTAGGGCGTATTCAGGTCGTTGTCTCCGCACTCAGCAAGGAATGAAACCCGTCCTATTTAGACCCACTCGCTCGTATGTACATCAATTCGTCGTCGTATTTTCCAGCCAAAAACAAATCAGCCAAGTAGCCCGCATTAATCATTATTCTGTAAACTTCAATCTAATGGAAATCAACGAAATCCGCAAGATTTTTCTATCTCACACAATTCAATTCTTCCAATCCGATTCGTTATTATCGCACATTTGCATGTTTCCTTCCTTCTTTGATCTCTGCCCACGCCAAATGAAAATAAATTCGTTGCCTTGCATGCTTCGTCAATATTCTGTATTCAACGTCAACTCAAAGTAGAAGAAAGTCAAGGTTCACATCGTCTCCTCCTTCGCTTTTACATATTTTTTTTATTTGTAAACTATTTCCAAACGCAATTTTTTGCATTCTTCGTACTAAAACTAGAGTTTAGGTCAGAGTTGTATTCTTAAATTTACTTGGATATTTATAACGGACATAAATCCTAAATTTCAGGGCTGTTGTTTTTAATGCACTATTGTTTTTGCAAAAAGTACGGACACACGAAAAGATGGTAAACTAAATATTTTGATTTACGCACTACGCTGTCCTTACACTTTATTCTGCTTAGATATGTCTGTTAAGATGTGTGTGTGTGTGTGTGATATGGTAAGTTTAGAGTGATATTTGGATATGATTCCATAAGATATGTAATGTTACATTGATGCATGATTAGTAAGTATATCCATTCTAAAATCCTTACTGTACTATTTACACATTTCCTTATTTTATAGCTACGTGACCAATGAACTAAGTAATTGTCAGTCAAAGTCAAGTGCATGAAAGAGAGGGCCTGCATCTTTCTATACATTTCAATATCTTAGCGCTATGAAGTATGGTTACTTATCTGTACATAATACGACATGTAGTTTACCAATAAATGCATAATTGTTGCACTAGCATCGCAGCTCTACTGCACGGTCACATTCACATTTGACTTTACCTTTAAATCTGCTATAGAATTTCTAGGATAACTCTAGGACAATAATTTATCTATATTTAGCACACGACGTGATCACACATACGCTCAATCGGTAGTAATGCAGTCGGAATGGGAGAGATTTCCAAATTCAGATAAATTATTGGGGAAAACAAAGTGGGAAAGTTGGCGTCCGGATTTCCAGAAAGGAATGACAATAAATTTACTGGTTAGGTATGTGTTTGATGATGAGGAGGGAAAGCAAGTTGTCTGCTGGAGGGAGAGATCGATAAGATAATTCTGCTGCTGCTGCCATTCTATTCCATTGCCATTCATCATTCCACCACGTTTTCCACCACCACCAACGGAGAGCTGCTGCTGCTTTCTCTCAGTATCACACCCGAGGGAACTCTGCTCGCCGACTTCTACGTGTTGCAAGTCCTCCTTTATTACAAATTCCGAACCAACTGCGATTTACTTTTCTCTCCCCTTTGATGATCAGTCGCTCTTGTTTTACAATTTGTGCAAATCGGTCCCGATCTGCCACCTCAGAGAGAAAGCAGCAGTGCAACACCCACGCGCCAGCCACCACCAATTTTTTTTACTTCTCCCACAGGTTGTCAAAAGGCTATAAAGTTTTTATTCAAATCACTCCGAATCAGAATTTATTCAGAGTCGCTGATGTGTTGGATCAAGCCAATCTGCACAATGATTAATAGTTCAGCAGCAGCGTAGGCACACGTACTATGCAAAGGTTCACTCTGGATGGATAATTTCGCAACCAATCCGATCATCTGATGGAATTGGTGATGCATCTCCGCCTCGGACACAGACATATTGAAGCAATTTACAAAATTGTCCCTGATGTGTATCATCCCACTGATTAATTCCGCAGAGTGATGGATGAATGCAAAGTGATAATGATGATGGAAGCGTATTGCATGGGTGGCATCAATCCGGTTGACGTAATTGGTTCAACAATTACTCTCTCCTTTTATCGCTAGTGTCACAATTTGTGCCATGATTCTCCACATTATGCAAATAATGGAGGGAGGGAGAAAGGAGAAAACTAATATTCTAAAACATTCCCAACGAGCGAAGCCCAATTTTCACCTCGGACGGAGGAGAGGAGACAATGGGGAAAGGTGGCAGTGAATTGCTCTGTTGTCCTGCTCTGTCCTTGTCCTCCTTGGCTTTGGATTGACGTGACGCATGAAAAGAAGAACAAACAGCAGCAAACTGCCTTCTCCAATGAAAACCACTTCCTTCCTTCCGACCCTTTTTCAGGTATGGTCCACATAAGTACGCCTAATGGAACTGCTGCGTAGCTGACTGGCAGGTATGCAGATGGAGCATAAAATATGTAGGCTCATCATCCATCCATTCACTCACCTACCTAATTTTCATTTCTGCTCGACTACCGCCCGTTCGTCTGCACGGCTACTGATTTCTGGGTGGTGTAACGACCTTCAAAACCATGAATTATACAGAGTTCAACCGACCCAAAATAAAGTTTGGCTGGGGGCAGTTTCTTTGGAATATAAGTGAACTGCTTCACAATTCCACTCTTCGAAAAACTTGAGATCAAGTATGTTCTAGTTCGACGTGGTTTGTTGCTTAGGGTTGGGTCGACCTGGATGCGAATCTCTCCAGAGTATTCCTTAGAAAACCCACTGCCTCCTCACATCCATTTTCCATTCTGTCCATTTGCCTACTCCTTTGTCCAACCAAGAGAAAGACAGAGCGAGGCAGGTAACTAACTCGCTCAAGACTTCGTTCTTCCTAACAATGGAGATCTATCTTCTCCGACCCGAAGTAGCATTGCACTTGAATCGGCTGCTAATTACATGAAAAGTGGGTAAACCAATGGCATGCCCACAAGAAAATGCAGCAGCCACGTCTTTTTAATACATTAATTATCCACAAGAAAAAATTACTAGTAAGGAAACTAGTCTTCCAATTAGTGACCCCACCCACGCATGGCCACGCGATCCTGATGGCGTCTGTTTCAACATCCGTAATCACGAATATTCTCACAGCTAGTTGAGAGCGAAAATAAAATTACATAGGAAGCTATGAATTATGCTGGAGATTAGTCCTTCATAATTGATGATGACTCATTTTCACCCTTCGTCGTGTGTAGATGACGCCATTCGCCCAAATACAGGAGAGAACCCCACTCGTGACTGCTTCAATGCAAGGATCATATTCCGCCGACTGCCCACCGTATCGTTATTATTATTATAAGTATGCTTTGTTTGCAAGCAGAGCATAAATTGCAAAATTATGCTAATCGTGACCTATTCAACTTTCACCTCAGCCTACACAGTTTCCTCCTTTTGATGTATTGTTTGCATTTGTTTTACTTTCGCTGGCCACTCCGAAACCGTGCTAGGTATGCTTTCCTTTACGTAACATCGTGCCATTTGAGACCATTGGGCTGCAAGTTGGATGGATTAATTGCTTTCTCTTTCAACGATGGCAATAACAGTAACACCAGCCATGCTACACTATATGCCGGATATGCTATGCTTTGCATGTCGGATGGAGTCAAAGGTCGCCCGGACTACATCTACATTGACGATTACTGACGGAATGCTCACGCGATAGTGCACACACGAAATCTCTACGGCCAAAGTTTTGTCGTCAAAAGTGAGGAGTAAATCCATCTCTGTCCGTCAGCCTGGTTTAAACTTTGGTCTGCGACGGGTCGCCGGGTTCTAATTGAATTCGTGGCTGGTGTAGGCCGCGAGTAATTAAGATTAAGAATATTCATGGGATGATGAAATTGGTGAAAGCGTGGGAGAATGTTATTACTTTTTGAAACCTTCCGGTGGTGGTGGTGGGTGGTCGACATGGCAACGGAATATCATGGGAGGAGGAGGAGGAGGAGGAGGGGTTTACACATCTACACGAAGTTTCTTCATCGGACAAACTAATTTCACAAGTAGCAGGTGGCACAATGTTACATTGGGCAGATCACACGCATTCATTTCACTAAATACTACTCTCTACTCTATTACAATAATGATATTCTGCTGGAATTGCAAATTTTAGCACCAATTATGACTGATTTCCACAATCCAACTCGGCATAATTTTATGATATAATTTCAGAGATGGAAATTATGAGTGATGGCTGATGGTGCTATTACTACTGCTACGTATGTAGATTGCGAGAAGTAGGTGCTTTGGATGTTTTAATTTCCTGTCATTACACAATTTCATCCAGCCATGAAGTATAAATATCACCATTTTGACTGTATACCTCATTCCGCCGTTATGGGTGCTCCAATTGCCTGTGATATTACTCGCGTACTCATAAATAGTAATGGTGATATTATTCAGTTTTGGATCCAGATTCTGCTCAGATCCCATTTTTGAATCCATGAAGGCTGTTCCACGCTCAAATAATGGATCTCTCATTTTCTCCCCGACATAGATTATAATAAATGCATTCGGATAGTCTAATGTCCTCCTCATTGATTTTCTAAAGTTATCCACGCCTAGCTGGCATTTTCGAAATTTTTATGATCAGGATTTCAAATGTGATAGTGCGTTGAGTATTCATCTGCAAGTTGGATCTTTCGTCGAAACGAAAATTTTAGTGTATTATGTAGATAAATTATGTTTTTTGACGGAGAAATTTCGAAAATAAGCCTTTTGTTTTTCTTATGGGACTATAGATCCGAAATTAGAATCGTAATAAAGAATTTTAGACGACTAACTAATTAAACTCAATTTTCTCTCTCCCTTTTAGAAAAATGAGGTACATTAAAGTTGGGAAAAGGCAATAATAAAATGCACAATGTCCTAACAGAATATGGATACAATTTGGATGGATGGAGCTCATTATAGATCCTCCACACTTACGGACTTACTGGAGCCGAATGAATGGCAGAGTTGATTTGCAGACTTAATTTATTTAGAGGGATCGATTGGAACAGAAACAGGTCCCTTTTAAACTTTAAACTTTAAACTACTACCGGAATCAAAACTAGATCTTGCTGATTAAGGTTTACTCATCCATCATTAGCGTCCTCCACTCTACCATGAACTCCACTCTGCTATGCAGACCAGCTCCCAGGGGACAGAGTGCGGAGAAATCCCGCTTGTTGCAGTAAGTTGAGGGGCAGGTAATCGGATGAAGGGCTTAAAGACTTTGCCAGAGTCCTGATTCGGAGGTAAATGAGGGAAAGAAAGCGCACAACGGGGATGGATTGACCTTTTTGAGACAAGGCGAATGAGCGACGAGGATGAACGAGGGCGGATGAGAGAGAGAGAGAGATGGAGGGGACCAACTCAAAGAGAAAGTAAAGTGGTTGTCTTGTTTTTCAAGTAATTGGTGATGCAAGTTTAATCGATGAATCCCGTGCTGATGAGTCGCTCCAGGAAGAAACGCACATCCCCGATTTCCGAGTCCTTGATTCCAAGTGATTTCAGGCGTCCCAGGTCTCCATTCTCCACTGCAACAAATACGGATTTCAGGTGATCCAGATCAGTCCTCAAGAGATGCATTGCAGCTCCGAAATCCTCAATTGTCATCGATTCTGTAACACAAAATACGCCCACACATTAACTATTGAATTAAATGACCGAGTTAAGTTTAGATCTCAAGTCTCCCCCTCCAACCTTGACAACAACACGTGTACATATGTCCCCATCATTGGGCCATGTTCCCTGATTACGGATTCGGTGGGAGGCAGAGTGGCGAAGGATGGAGTAAATATGCGTTGAGGGAAAGCGGGATCAAAGGAGTAAGTGCATAATGAAATCAGGAAGCGTCATTATGGAGACGCCATTCCGCCCATTTCTGGAAATGACACATGAATGAGAGCAGACAGCCATCATCCCTGTTGAATGTTATCGCGACTCTTATTGCTGAGGTCGTCCTTGTGCCACGGAGTTCATCAATTCAGGGAAATGCTTTCTCCGAAAGTGCTACTGAGACTCCATCAAGGAGAACATCACAAAGTACCAATTTCATTCAATGTTGTCTGCCCCACGGTTTATGCCCGCCTCCGTAATGACATCAACATCAACGAGTAATGGCTTTTCCGGTTCATAATCATCATAAAATGTCATTCTAATAAAATCAACGGGAAAGTGAAAGTGCACTTTGTTCACATGTATTCGAAGCCGAAGGTGAACTATTTATGTGGCTCTTGGTGAACATCCAATAAACACAAAATTGGGCCTAACCAATCAAGTTAAGAAGAAGAATATCCTTATTTAGTGTTGACATTCGACTGATGGTGATGAAGCATAACACGATGAAAATTAATTACGTCAGATGGAAATTTATGATGATTTTGGAGCGTTTGTAAAGTTGATTGGAAAACGAAATAAAAATACATAAGCTGTGTGCAGTGTTATAAAATTCATTGGTTTTCCGGCCAAATTGAGCTGCTTGGTAATTTTGTCGGTTGACATGAAGCTAAGTCTCTATTTCCGAAGGTTCTCTAAGTAACGTCGGGAAAGTTATAAAACTGGAGGAACGAGATTGAAAAATTCAAGACACGATTTTCGTCGTCCTTCCTACTGGATTAAAGTCATGGAAGCAAATGGAACATCGAAACATCACACAAAGCCAGTCAGCCATCCAGCAGGGTGATGATTGGAGCGTGGAAGGATGCTGAGCCTTAATCCCAACACCAGCTTGACTTTTTTTACTTTCGCAATTTTCGGTGAAGGTTGAGTTTCTTGTCGAGATCGAATTCAACCATAAAATAGTGTTATTCGTACTCTTCAGCTCTTACAAAACGCAATTATTTCCCTGTTAATTCATCTCAAAATGTTAAAAATAGATTTTCTAAGATGTATCTACGTAGTCATCACTAATTTCAACTGGATAGCTTTGCATGCAGCAAGTCCATAACCAAATGATTTGTGAATAGCAACACAATTTTTTACAGTGTGCGATTTATGGAGCAAAATTCTAATTTCATACAGATTCAACATTAGTAATTTTTCGGGCAGAAACTGGTTTTCATAATGGGAAATCTCAAAAGACAATAAATGAATGAACTGATGACGCATATTGCGGGCATGTACTGAATTAATAAAGGAATTATTTATGGTCCCGGCCATTCCGTGGAACTGTATGCTACCCACATTCACCTACAGCCGATTGCACAAGGTGTTTCAACTAATAGTATAATTCGAACATGAGCATTTTGCACGGACCGTGTAAAGCAAAGGAAATTATTATTTGTTCAAAGACGCGTTATGAAAGCAGCACAGCTCGATCAGCACACGATTGCTTTTGAAAATTGGAAGCCTCTCCAACTTTACATTACCCACGACAATTAAGTTTCCCACTTCGCTATGGTTAAATATAGTTCGTGTGAGCATGAATAATCGATATTATAGAAACACGCGAAATAAACGGATGGCAGGTTTTGGTGGCAAGTAAGAGAATGCATACGTAAAATTAGAGTGAAAATCAAAACTGACTCGGTTATGAAATAAGTGGTTATTGAGTTACATCAACTTGAGTCAATTTTGCCCGGCCTCATTCACCAACACAATTCCGTGCCATGACCAAATGACCATCGATGGCATTCGATGGTTAGGAGCATGTAACCGACTTGATTCGAGCTATCTATTCCATTCAGACAGTCGAGTTTAATTTAATTTTCAAGAACACGTATGTGAAATGTATGTATAAATATGAAACCTTGCAAAATATGCAAAGCACACACATACATTAGCATGTGCACAAGGCAGGCATCATAATGTGAGTGTCATATAACACATCGGCCTTGCAGAGGGCTCAATGTTACTCAACTTATGAATCTGTCCCTTTCTGAACGAAATTTCGTACCCAACCCATTTTGCATACCTACATTTTGTATCCGAGATGGGTTGGACGATCTTTAGATTTGTAATCCTTCAATAGTCTTTGGTATTGAAGGCTGCAACTATTGAACCACGGAATATATGTAACTGTCAGAGAATGTGTGTGGCAAAATCGTGTATATCTTATACTTGATTAATCCCCCATCAGACACGAGTCCCATCTGACAACACTAGGCGGGTATGTAATTTTGAGATAAGGGTTTGGATAAGACACGCCGCGACGATCACATGAGCCGATTCGGCATGGAATTAGATGAACTATTCTGTACCGCATAGAATGTTGTGATTGCAATGAGTGCAATAAGAAGATCGAGAGACTGCTCAAGTGCTCCACTCTTTTGAAAGTAGTCTTTTTAGTCTTTCTAGTTTTCTCCAAGGATAGAAAAATGGGCCCAGCCGTGCTCTGGCTTAGCGGATCGATGAAAGGCATAAATTCCACTTAATCTGCCACCACTGGCCGGAATGTGAGCAGTTTTTAAGACAACGAAGGCTGTTTTTTGAAGTAAGCAGTAACTTTTTGTATAATGATGACATAATCAGCACAGCAAAAAGAGCGAAGAGAAAAGGCTGCGAAAACTTAGCAGAAACCGCGTCTGCTGTTTAATCCGCAGACCACTCAGCAACAGAGATGGAGATTGAAAGAACATACAACTTGAAGAAATAGGACTTTCTCGACCCACGCGAATCATACGGAGCCACACAAGTAGTAGATACGTACTTGGACGACAGAAAAAAAATAAAGGCGCTGCGTGCACTAATTTTCTCAATATCGTGTTCTTTTGGGGAGAATCTTGATCGGTCTTTGACTCTCGTGGGGAGGAGAGAAAGTTGTAATCCGATGAAGGATAAGAGCGAGAATTACCAATCAAGCCAAACCACAGCTGTCACGACTCACAATGTCGCAGTGACGGTCTGCTGGGAAACCATTGATGGAATAAATAAAAGTTGGAGAAAGCAGAGGAGGATTTGTGTATGTGGAGCACAAAACAGAGTCAATGGCTGGCCTTCAACCTTTGGCCATTTCTTACATACTAATACAAGCTCAGTAATTGGGGACATGCTGTCTGTTCACTCAAACGTGCACTTGTGGAAATTGCGACGTATTCCTTCCCTCTTTTCCCTACATGCTATCATTGGGTATAATAAAAATAATGAAACATAATTAAAGTCAAAGTTAAAAAAAATGTTCTTAAAACGGCTGAAAAATGATATTCTACTTAAGTCTGCAGCTGACTAAATTATTGATTATCGGCTTTGTTTCCGTCATCAGTAATTGCAATTGGAGGAAAGCATACATATTTCAGTCTCTTAATCCGATTATGCTAGTCTCCTGTGACGGTGAAAGTTCATTATTACAGTAATTCTCCACTAAACCCTGCCCTACTTGCGTCGGTTGTTACATATTTCCCCTGTTAAAGTCACTTTTGTTATGAATGTCGGTAATTGTGCAACAAATTTCAATTTTTTTTACACATGAAGTTTTGTGGTTGGTTGTGATGATGAAACATCAATTTGCTCATACCAATAATTTGTCTGTCTCTTCGTGCTCCATCTCAATCATTCCTGATTAAACCAGCTTTTTGGTTAAACACGACAATACATTTCCCTTAAAAAACTGTTTCTCTTTTCACTGCGTATTTTTAGAGGAACAAATAGCATTGTGGTTTGTTGACGTAAGGAGTGTGGGCGCAAAATGAGACAATGCCTGCCTCGCGTCCTGCTTGTTGATGGAGTTGCTATATCGGCAAAATCAGCAGTGAAAGAACCACAACTGGGCAATTTATTTCCTCCTCCTCAGACTCACTCACAGCTCGTAACTGCAGTTATACCGTTATAGATTACAACCCAACTCCCAGGGTTCTGGTGGATTGATGGGCAGTAGTAAAAAAATATTTTCTTTCCGCTCCTAATGTCCTGTCAAGAAGCTCGCCTTGCGTCATTGTCCTCGGCGTCCTTATGTCTCATATGTCATGCCATCAGTTTTAGTACCACAACTGCATCACACTGCCCATTATACAACGTCATATTCTCGTCATTCGGACAGGCAGGAGACATGGACTCACTTTCACCCCACCGCAAATCACTCACTACCAAACGGGTCACGAAATACATATAAGCAGACTTTCCCTCCTTTAATTTTCATGAAACGGGAACATATCAGGCCAAAGTTGCGCCGTGAACAGCATCCTTTACGCTGAATTTAATTTGATATGTGTCAAATAACGCTAAGCTGAGACTTGGAATAATGCAGTCGTGAAAGGAGGTCATGGTGAAAGTTAATTTCAAATGATGTAACTTGCTTAGATGTCACAGGATGCAATTTTGCTCGTCTTTGTTACCCAGCACAACTGGAGTCGGGAGTAATTGAGTTGAGAGATATACAACCTGAGGTGTAAATAAGCATAAAAGAGACAACGACAGAGACAACGTCGCGGCTCTTTAAATTTACTGCAGAACAACGACTGCGACCACAACTCTGCTGGTGACATCATGTGCACTTCACTCCGGAATCATTATGCATGAAAGCTCTCTCACGGGACGAGGTTATGTATTTGTCGCCAGAGTTAATTTCCGTGTGACGCGAGTAACATTTGAAGCGATATTTTGTACCATTTAATTTTCCCAAGTAAGGAAACCCATCGCCACGAATTGAGCATGCACACAACGGTTGGGACCTTTCTTCTACACGAGTAAAAGGGTATATAAAAGTCAAGTGCTTAATAATACCCAGATGACATATTTTATAGATTTTTATGGCACAATAAACGTTTAATTGCTCCCTTTTGGCGTGCAGTCAGACCTTGTACTTAACTTTGAGATGTACAGTGCATCTACGTATTGCATGTGAATACATACCGACATTTTCCACGACATATTATTAGCATTATTTGTCTACCGGTGGATTAGAAATGACGAAAGGAAATTGACTGTCAGTGTCAACTCATCCGCAAACATTACTCTCAATTCATAAAAGTTTTGCTCAAATGTCTTTGTAAATTCGGCGTCTTCTTCAAACGTTGGTTTAATAGTATCCCTGAATAAGTAATGCGTATCGATTTACACTTAATTGAGAAGTTTGACGTCAACATAAATACATTAGCAGAAAATTGTTCGGAAACCGCATGAGTCGACCACCACTAATGACAGTTAATGCTCAATCCTACTTTTTAAACTTTCTCCTGCACTTTGAGTTTATTCATATTTCAACTATTTGAAACAGAACATTTCACATTTGCATCATGCTGAATAAATAATTTGTTTGAGAAATTGCAACCTTGGACTTTGTCGCTTGGCATGAATTACAACTCTCTCGAAGAAAATAAATTATTACTACTTGAATATTACGACATTGCATGATTTTATTTAGCATTCGGGTTTCCTTCTGCCTTCTGTTGGGAAGGTAGAGGTTTCTATTCACGACGCATTCTTCGAAAGCTTTCATCTTAACGAACACGGCAAACAATGTTCCGGAAGAAACCAGCTCGTTGCACAATTGTGAATGAATAAAAGCATGAGCTAAATAAGAAACTGCGACATTTGCATGGTTTCAATTGAGACCCACACGCCCACCACGCCGAATATACGCCATCCAACACCTCATTTATCGATTGGTGCGATTTCCAATTACTGCGCTGAACAGGACAAGCAACAGGATGCATGTACATACATATCTATATATAGTGTGAGGTTATATGCATACGTATATGAACACACACAAGGCGGAGATAGTGGGAGAACAATTAAACTCCATTTGCCAGCTGGACGTAATTTCGTAATTAATTAATGGACTCTGCTGGTTGACGTGAGACGATTAAAAGCTATTACGCCCAATTATTCGTGACGTGACATTTGCCCTATTGTCTCTGATTTGATTCATTGTTCCTAATTCCTCCCCAACCTGAGTGCGGGTCTGCATACTCGATTTTGTGCAGAGGACATGGCAGAGCTGGACAAGTTGCTAATAGACCATCAAGGTTATTCATTACCCAAACAGCGAATCGTGTAAAGATAAACAATTGAAAGGCTTTGCAAAACTTGTGGACGCTTTAGCTTGCATGTCACCACCACCCCTCCAGGCGATAACACACACATACATGCAGCATGCATATATACCAAGAAAGAAAGCATGTTATGAACTCTGGTCTGTGCTCGGAATTTAATTAACTATTCATGCCACGTTTCTAGCTCACTCAACATTTTAAATTTGTCAATCATGATAAGGTCAAAAACGACTCGACAGTTTAGTCACGCGAAATTTCAACTTTTAAACTTTTTCAGCAAACTCTTGATTGCATTAGTATGGTCAGTGTTGTGGCACTAATTGCCATCCTGTCTTCAAATCGGGACAACTTTCACCTGATTGCTTTCATCGTCAGAGCCGTGTTCTAAGGGCCAAAAGTACACGTTAAAGAAGGGCAACCAAATAGAACTACATACACTTTTCAAGCGAGGGAAATGTAATTTTCGAGTGAAGCAGAGCATCCCACGTACGGAGTCGCAGTTGCACAGCTCATCTTACTCAAGGGTCGTCTTCTTACAAAAAGGAAAGCAGTTTTTCTTAACTTTTCTACGATAAGGATGTTAGCGAGCCATTTTCTGTAATCATCCCGTTCTAAATTCAGCAATATCAGTGCTGTGTGGGCGCCTGGAGATAACGTGTCATGAAACTACATACGTGAAGATTTCTATATGCAGGGCATACCGACTTGGAAAATCATAAAACTTCTGGCACTTTCGCATCCACATGCGAAAGTCGGAACAATGAGTACGAAGGAAATAATGCAGCAGAATGAATCTGCTGATCCCAAGACTTAAAATTCAACACGTATCTTCCAAATTGAAATAACATCTAAAACTTCAACTGCTATCGCACGTACATATCTGCCGCCCACTCGTTCCTCCAATGTCGATCAGAGACCATAGCCGGCCAACAAACAAAGTCTTCTCCAGTGAGAATAAAAGATTTGCTTTCTCGACATGGACATGGGAAGAGATTAAATGAAGGGAAACTGTCTTTAATGGAACATGTTTCCAGGAACCAGCGGGGCATGGGTGATCCCATTAACTTAATGAAATTGCCTCCTCTCCTAACGAGTGAAGGCAACTCGGGTTTGTCTTTTCGACAAAGTTGGTGATGGCTGAGGAGGAACTGCCAGAAGCCAGTCAACACAATTACCGCAAGTGTTAAAACCGGGAAGTAAGTAAGTCTCCGAGACGGATTTCTTGGTTCGACGAAACGTGGAAAGGAGACGGTATTAAGGAACAGAAGCTTCACTTTCACCTCGTGAGGATGACGGGCTGAATGGATTCTGCTCATATTTGTGTTCACTTCTTGACCTCATAATGATGTCCCACGATGCGTAAATAAACGGGCTGAACTCTGACCAACCAACTTTCATGGCCTCATCAACAGTCAGGTCGTTTGTGTTCGACTTTGATTGAGACGCAAGTTTTGTTTGAGTCACCGTGCGAGATGGAGTGTGTGTTGAGCCATGGCATGAATTTACAATTGCTGCCCACTCCTGTACACATGCATAGTTGGCAAACTTCATGCCGGAAGGAGAAACAAGGTTAAAAGTACGCCGGTGGTGGTGAGAGCCTTACATTACGAACCTGTGTGCCAACCTTCATCGTGAAAGTGGTGGGAAAGTGTGGTATACATGGCGTAGATATTTGAAGGAAAAGGGTAGGAGGGAGTCGAGGACGTGGAAATGGAATTATTTTATGGTCTCCCTAGAGAAGAAAATAATAAAATATAAACAGAAAAGTTTGTGTCTCTGGCCCAACGTCCCTTTCTCCCAATTTATGTCACACCGGGCAAAACTATGTGGCTGATTCAATTTGCAACATATTGAATGCTCGTTCGTGGGAGAGGGCAGGTGGTGGCACGAACAGCGAGGAATGAGAAAGAGAGATGCCACGTGGAGAAGAGGTTCTCGAGGTTTTACGCTCTTTGCTAATTAAAAGATTAATGAGTTCTCACCTGATAAAGCAATTGCGACCTTGTCCACGCCACCCAAGGGGGAAAGTGCATCACGCGCTTTCTGTCCAAATAATTTCTCAAGGTAGTTGGGACCGTGGCTGGCCAACAGGGACTGGAGAAAGCTGGCTGTTTCTTCGACGGGAGGTCGTTTTGCTGCAATAATTATGAAAACATTACTTAATATTGGCACATAGTCTTAAAATTCTTCACATTAAACAAGATTTAAGCAAAAGTAACAGTGATCAGCGATGGGAAGCAACATTGGATTCCAACGGAGTTCCACAGGCTAAGAATGTGCCAGTCTTCATTAATTATCACAGAGAAAACTGATCAAGTGTTCAAGCACGACTGAGCGTGTCAAGGTAAACTGTCAATTAGCCCTTTTGTGACTGACATGCCATGCACCGCAGAAGTTTGGGTGGATATAAATACATATAGGAATTGATACAAAACAGACATCAGAAGATTATGAAATTTTAAAATTAAACGAGCGACTTATTAAAACATTTCAATCCAATACACTTGTCTCAAATCTGGGTTAATTAAAATGTTCACGAAACTATTCAAGGTTGCAAGTATCAAAAGTTAGAGCTATGCCGCATATGCATATATCAGAAACGTATACGAAATACTCAGCTCAGATGGACTGGTGAAAGTGAATTTCAGTATTTTTTGATTGATTTTCAGAAAGCCCAGTGGTCTTTCCTGACTCCAAACTAATTACAACCTGCAAATTGGACAAGTTTTCGGAATTTGTTCTTTGCGAATGATTCACCTGGACCCACCCACGCATGTCACTCCAAAGAGTCTACACAACCATAATTAGCAGGCTCATACAGCATTTTCATAAAATATCGATGAGAAAGCGCTTTACGTTATTGTGCAAATTCCTGACTAATTTCTCCCTAATGGAAACAGAACGATGCGTAGGCGTGTGTGGGTGTCCTACATACATATTTATTTTCCCTCTCAACCACACATACGTATGAAAGTTGAAAGTCACGAAGAAAAATGCTGACAGCCATAAAATCATTATCACTCTCCCCCAAGTAGCATTTCGAGGCTTCGGGTGGTGTAAATTAAGCCGTTGAGAATTGGAGATTTGTGGCTCTCGTCGTCATAAAATCATTCCCACTGCCTAAAATCCCATCCATACATATTCATGACGGAATAATTGTTGAAATTGCGATAAATGAATAAATGTGCAAATTCAGGGTGGAGAAATGGGGAAGATTTCAACGTAATTTAATTGCATATTTTCTATCCCACTCCACATCCATATTTCTGTTTATCGTCATACTACTTTCACTCGCGTCTAATTACCTCAACAGCCCCGAGTCGAACTAAACTAACAAGGCAGCACGTTTCAGTGGATCAAGAACCTGAAGAAACAAATAATTGAGCCATTTGGATGGATGGAACTAACAATAAGTATTAATGGGCAATTCCTAATAAGTGTTGTGCTCAGAAAAATAGGCCATAAATACCCAGAATTGGAAATAGAAAGTAGCACGAGAGCTATTAGCACCAAAAATAACAAGTTCAAGGGGAAAATATCCGGAACAACGTGTGCGGTGAAAGTCCGTGCGCAATACTCACTGGTACATACGTATGTACATAGCCACGTAGGCAGTGTATTTACATAACAAGTGACAAGTCATTCTATTACTATGCACAAAGGACTCGATGACGTTTGAATGGTTGTGGCATAATTATAATCATGTCTGCGTCACGGAAAATAATGATGCATTCTTCTAGAACGAATATTAAAAAAACGTTTACACAGCACAATAATTTTTAATCTGAAACAGAGGACATTTTGTTATGTATCGCAAAGCACCCTGCTGAATAAATGATGCACACAAGAGACAACACGGCGCATTGTTACGAGGCCAGCTGCAAGATCAATTCCTTCTATTTTTAACCCACTTTAGAACACATGCTCTAAAATGTATTGTTATACAAGAGATACGAAAGGGATACAATCCTCCCAAGACGTGTCTGTCCAACTTAAAGTAATTCTCTTCCCTGCATTTTCTATATTTTCATTCTACGTGGCCTTCAAATGCAGACTTTATCTATTATGAATGTGATCAAAGGAAGATGCAAATTAATAATGGATTGTAAACACAGGGAAAAACTGCAATCGCTAAAGCCCACGCTATTATCAAAGCTTAAAATGAGTAGCTTTTGTAAAATATTGATATCAGAAACTCTGGATAATTTCACTAATAAGCAGTTCAACCATTCCTCTTCTAAAAAGAATATCAAACATTCTAGCATCGACGAAGTTTTAAGCCTGTCTAAAAATTGGTCGCTGTGCAAACAAGGAGCAACAACTAACTTAACTGTTTAGATCGTGATCTATGTGGTGGAAACGCCACATCATTATAAATGTTGACTTTGAGCCTCGCCATCTCTTTGCCTACTTTCCGGTGGAAACCTTTCTCAAACGAAAACTTTCTCTTGAGCGAGACGTGAGTGAAATACGGCAACTTATTCGAATTTCTCAGTTGCGCAGTATGTAAGTAAGAAAGCGGATAGCTCTGTATGGATAACAGAGCATAGTGAGCACCCACTCACTCAATCAGCATGACGGGACTTTCACCATGCTTCACATGACGTCCATTCCGTTTTTCTCGGGGAAAACATTGTTAGAGCGACATCCGATCAAAATAAATGACAAAGCTAAACCGACGTTCTGTCAAAGTGTCAACTGAGTCAACACTGTGAAAGAAATTAAGCGATCGTTATTTGTCAAATGTTCAAGAATGAATTAGGGGGTCGAAAAAAACAAAAAACAGCAGGTGTGCACAATATACTTTGCTGCATATCCTCGTAGGAGTGCATATTCTTGGAGATGGATTTAAGGCAGCACGTACAGCTTCAAAGTGAGGAAGATGAGCATCATCTACTCTGAGTCATCCCCAAGTAACGTGTACAGAGTTTCTTTAACCTTTGAGATGAGAGATAGGAATGGAATTTTGAGACGCTTTGAAGAATTCTCATGCTTTTGGAGTAGAATTTCTGCTGTCAAGACGTGATCGTTGGAACGTCAATATTCATCATCTCGAAACTCCGACATTCTCTCCTTGCCCATTCTTCTTCTTGGGTGATGACGGGGTGTCGGAAGCTTATGAAATAAACTCGCAGTCTAAGTTTCCCCAAGCCTCCATTAGTTGGAGTGTGAGAGTATATTGAAGGTTGTGCAACCTATTGAGATGAGTGGTTTCACAATAGAAGGGCAGACACCACGGTCACAAAGCACAAAAAAAAACCTACTCCAAGCAACTTTGCTTTTAAGATGGCATTAATACCATGTTGGTAGTTAATGGCAACACATTTGGGTGGAAAAGACCCCCACAGGCCAACTACTTGGCCGATCATGCCCATCTCCGAACTCATCCTTACTTTTGACCCCAAGATGAAGTGTGCAAAATTTCAACTCGATAGCTTTTGTTTAAAGAGAGTTATCGTGCGCACAGACGGACGGACAGACAGACATCTTGGTAAATCTATAAGGCCATCTTAAAAGGCCTAACAGGTGAGCCGTGGCTCACCCCTGAAAAGTTTTTGAATTCATGTGCATGCGACAATGGTTGTCGTCATCGGGCGAACCAACTTTAAGCTGGTTCTAAATTACGGTGATTTTCCTGCTTTGTATGCATCACTCTCATTCTCACTCGGTTCGCTTTCACCGTATGCGAGTCTTCAGAGGTAGGGAAAAGCCTGCTATTTAGAAATATGCCAAAAAGTCTCACTTCTGACGGGTTCAAGGCTCAGCTAGGTAGGACTTTCGCTTATTAGTTTTCTTATTAACCTGCTTATTATAGGCGTTAAGATACTCTACCATGTTTCAGCTTAAAGTATAAGGGTAAAAATTATTAAGAGGCTCATCTCGTTAAAATTTCCCAGCGTACAAAAAAGGAATTTAATAATTACGCAAATGCAATAATAATGCCAAAAGCTCGTTAACGAGAACTAATACGATATTCATATTTACGTACCTAGCACAAGACATGAAAGTAAAAAGTATAATCACCAGTTTAACTATGCATTTGCTCCGTCGTCATTATTAAATTACAATCGTATAGGTTGTGCGCCTCGTAAAATTGCGCTAAACATTCTCTCCTCAGTTCCCCGAGGACATTTCGATCAATTTTGGAAAGTACAAAACAATGTCATTTAACATTAATTAAGCTCTGCGTTTGTTCCATTTTGTACTTTATTTCACTTTAATTTTTTTTTCTAAAATAAGCTTTGACATTGCGGGCCTCGTAACCTTGGCCAGAGTCAAGTAACTTGATATTCCAGTGACGTTTGGGTATGTAATGAGAACGAGTTGATGACGACTTTCCATGCACCGACGGATATCGATCCTCTCATTATCACTCACCGTGCACAATGCAAATTAATTGAGTTTCATTAATTACCAGCGAATTGTTATAATTGGACAAGGACGAGGAGATGCAGTTGAGTAGATGTACATATAAAACAATTTGTACTAAAATGGCGTGTGGTGAATTCGAATTCGAATCCGATATGTAGCACGGCAACAACCGGACGAAACGAGAGAACGAAACAGAATCAAGAGTCGAATCTCGTCTGATTCAGTTGTCGAGTGAAATTAAATGAACACGGGATGCCTTTTAATGAGATTTGGTAAAGAGTTAAGAACGCTTGGTTAGAAAGGAAAGCTTAGTTTGTCCTTTGCTTAATTATTAAAGAGGAAGCGGAAAGATGTGTCTCAAGACTTTGCATTTACCATCCAAACTCTACACCAATATCAACGAACACATATATTCCGCTATATATTTCTAGCAGTAAGCCGTAATTAACAGGGTTTTCCCTGCATAATAAATGCACTAGTTAATTATCTCACCTGCAGTGCAGAGACGAGTGTCTTCATCATATCCATCTGGACAGTCTGGAAAAGTCGTGCAAAGCAATTAATTACTTGAGAATTATACGCGACATATGCCTTTAATAAATCCCTGTAAATATGTATTTTTAAATTGTGCAATAAATTTCAAAATTCAAATTCCGTATTTTGGAACTTTTCTAATTAGCTATATTTTTAGATTTTATGCCAGCAAACATATAATTAGCCATCACAAAGATTTTTTTTTCATATCAAAAACTTGATTTAAAAAGAACTATTCAATTAAAAAGATGCATTTTAAATATTACATATGAGTGGCCAGTCACGGAATTATCTAGGAATCATCCCACTCTTCATTTGGCATGAATAAATCGACCTTTGTATTTAATAAATGTCAAGTACCTGGAGCTCCGTCGCACAAATACTGGATGGAAATGCATTTGCCGTGTCCTTCGGGGTGTGGACATTTGAAAGGTTGGTACGGATGACAGTTGTCGCCTTCAACATGTTTAAAAACAAAATTATTAATGGCAACAATTCTTTCAATGATAGCATCGCACTACAAACTAATTTTCATAAACTTTAGTAGCCAATCCTGTTCAAAAGTATTGAGGTATTGATTGAAATTGCTTATTTTCTCAGAATCATGTGCCCGAATGTATCATTATGCAAATACGTATCCAGTCCAAAAATATAAACTCTCACAAAAGCCATGTACATATGTCGAACTCTTTGTTTTGCATGACACGAACGTAGCAAAATTCGCTGGCTGGCTGGACGGAGAAAGTAAAAGTTTAGTTTATTACCTTCACGTTTGGTTTTCTGCATGTCGTAAAGCCTCTGAAGATCGATAGAGTAAACTGCGGAGGAGCTCAAAGCAACGAAAAACATGGACAACACAATGCCACAGTAAACCATCTTGCTGATCATATCTGGCGTACGCTGACAAGGAGAAAAAGTTATGAAACTCGATACTCGAATTATCAAAAGTTACAACAAAATCTGAGCTAGCAGCTTATGACGAGAAGGGATTAAAACTTGGATCAACTTCAGTACAATCACTTTCTTCAGCAAAGTTTACAATTTCTCCAAGGTACGATTAACTCGAGTGCGGGTTTTGATTTTATGATATGTTTTAATAAATATGTGTATGTGTTGCTTTGTCAGACTCGTTTTTGATGATATGTTTCGAAGGATGTGTGTTTGATGGGGTGCTTCTCTGTTTGGTGAAAGTATGTGAGCAGCGATTGTGGTGTGATATGATGATGATGATGAGATGAGATGGAGAAGAGATGACGAATGAGTAGTCGGTTGGAATGGAGTTGGATTTTGAACTACCGTGAGCGGATGTGGATCCGGCAGTTGGTTTACTTCAACTGGGTCGACGAGGTGGCTTTCACCCCATTTTATGCGTCCAGCCAACGCTTTCTCTCGCTCTCACATTAAAAATTTCTCCCCACCGCTCTCTCCTTCGTCTGCAAAAGTAAAACTCCACAATGCAAACTAACACATTACAGAGAGAGCAAAACTTCTCATTCGGGCATATGCTTGGTAATCTAGACAAATAAGATGACTAACTATGAATAAACTTTTTTAAGCGGATCTTTTAACTATCCTAGTTAACACTACATACAAACTTTGATTGTCTGAGGACAATATTTTTCTACGTTCCACGATTTCAAATCAAACTGATGACTTTTGGTGTCTGTCTGTGAGCTGTTTTTTAAACATGGGACATCATCTTAGGTACTTTCTCCAACGTAAGCTAATCCGTCACGAAGGAAGGACTGCACCTGCTTGCACCTCGGTTTGACTAAAACGGTGGTAACGGGAACCGAACCTAATAAGATCAGCTTTTGAACGTGGTTGATCCCGGTTTTGTTTTTGACATGCCGAGCCATCGCTAGAGGAAGGAGGAAAGCTCATAAATTCAGATGAAGTCAAACTCTCCCAGGATTCTTTATCTTGCAGACACTCGAGAAATTTGCATCCTCTTTCTTCTCTCTTAAATTTGATGTCAGTTTGTTGGACAGGTTACAGTATTTCTTCTCCCATCCTCATATACCAACATAGATACACACCCCACTTATTCATATTCACTCATACGCGCAAATACATATATACGAATACAAATATGGCATTTATTATAGGGTGGACCTTGGAGTGGTTCAAAAATCCAGCACAGTGGCATTTAATGGGAGAACATTTTACAATTTTACAACGATCACGCAACACTTGAGAGACGTTTATTCATCTTGCACAATGATTTCATGTACGGAAAATCCATCTTCTTCGCAGCGGCAGCATATACATAACGCCCACGCCAAATGGCAACTTTCCCACGATCACACGAACGAACATCCCACATCAACAACCCCGATCTCACTTTCTCCTCCACCAACCACTTTCCTTGCATGCCTTCTGCGTCACGATGACATTCCACAGAAGAAGAAGGTTGCAGGTTGTTGTGATCGAAAAGAAGGGGAAAGCAGGGTGGCAATTTCTCCTCCTCCTCCGAGGTTCAACACTGTATGGGTACTTTACTGCAGAAGCCATCCGACTGCGTGGGTGGCGATTTAAGTTGTCTGTGACAGCAATGAAGTAAGACTAAATTTGTTGTTGGTGGTGGGTGGAAAAGTTGCAGTGGTGATAATGATCTCGGGCCGTAAATCCGTTCATATCGTCGAGATAACTTTGACTGAGACGGCTTACATGCAGGATAAATATGAGATTTGGCAAGAGGAAGGTGAGATGAACTTATCAAGTTTAGTTCCCCTGCGCTCCTTCAGTCTAGCGATCGACCAAATCAATATTTCAGCAAGAATGATTGCTCCAATGGATGATAATCCTATCCTAATAACCATGCATGTCGAAATTCCTGTCATTCATAAATACATAATTCCATTTCATGAAGATGATCATTTATTTATTATTAACCTCAGTCTCAGAATCTCAAAAAATTCGTCCTTCATTTCTTCTGAAAGTACTACTACAAATCGTTAACTATTTCTTTTCTCATCCTAAAACTCTTTGTTCTCACAGAACCTAATATTTATTGGGTTCTACAAATTCTGCATTCTGCAAACCGAGATGAGAATTGCGTGGGATCAAGAATCCCATCCGCGTGGTTCGAACAGAAGTCGAACTACTATCAACATTGGCAAAACAAAAACACGGTGAAGTGTTGGTTTTATTTCGTCTCTTTTTCGCTCGCCCAGCGTTTAATCATATGACTTGGGTCGAATTGCAATTAAACTAATTCCTCCTCGTCGTCTCTTTGTGGTGTTCAGCTATAGTTATAGTTGGTTAGTTAGTTAGGTGACAGCAGACGGGAAAGGATTTGCTACTCTATCCTCAATGAATCACGGATTCAAGTAGCTTGCAAAATTAGGGGCGAGTCCCACGAATTTAGTGTCGTTTATAACTCTATATTTGTCAGCAACTTATCAGATTATTTCATAACTTAACTGTGGTGTAGCATGTTTAATATCTGCAGTTGTAGGTAAATAAAGTCAGAATGAAATTAAACTAGTCAATTTTCTCCAACCAGGCAGTCAGTCATTCGATCTGTCACATTTTGTTTTCGAATAAATAATTTGTTTATTCAATTTATTTCAGGAAGCGAAAAATTCAGACTGTGGAATAGCTTGACGGAGTCGTGGAATGGACAAAATTTAATTTCCGTTCGGCAATAGCAGTCTTGCTTGACGTTGATGAATCTTTATGAAGCTTTGTCTTGTAATTTCTAATTACATCTCGGTCAGATTATTTATGAAGACGGATCAAGCTTAGTCACGTCTGAATGATTAAACAAAATAATATCAGTGTTCTGCGCAGTAGTTTTGTTATTTTTTATTATTCCAAAGAATGGTAAGTATTTCTTAATTTTGTTTGTTGGTGACTGATAAATTAATTTACCGAACTTGTATTTAATAGAATGCTTCAAATGAAGATGAAATAGTACCGACAAGCGATGAACTGACTGCTAGAACCTCTTCGTGGACTTTGGCTTGCGACAATTTACTCCTAAATAAATTGAAAAAGTTTTCAAAGGTTTGCTGTGAACAAATAAATGTAAAATATTTTCATTCGCATTATTTTATCACGACTAATTTGAATTTGCAGGATTTGGAGCAGACAAGTAGTGAATTAAATAATGACTGTCAAATATTGGCACGAGACACAGTCGTTCTGCAGTCAAAGTTGCACAATGTTACCAATCAATTCCTTGCGTTATCCAGCAGTCAGTTTATCGAAAATCGGGTGCAAAATTTTGAAGAAGCAGCGTCCTCAGTTTCGTCTACAAGTACTCAGAACATCGTCATCAAGAAAACCAAAGCTGAAAAAGAAGCTGAGCTTATAGCAAAAATGAAAAAATCTATTCAAATAGGAATATCAGCTAACTCTCAATCCTTGTAAATTTTCATGCTGTGCACAAAGTGTTTGTGTAATATATGCATTTTTATTTTTATTTTGTCTGTTTGCAGAAATCAAGAATCATCGCAAACGAAACTCGCATTGCCTTATTTAATTGGGTCGTCAAAATTTTTTAGCAGCCGATATGTTGGATTGGTTGAAGATGAATTTAGAATTCCAAGAGATCTCACCTCCACTCATAACTACACTGATGAACCAGCAGATATCAACAAGTCTTCTTCCAATCATTCCGTCACAGAATCATTAGAATCATCTACTTCAACGGTGAGAATACATAGCAATTAAAATTTGATCAACTTTAATTTAATTTGCACTTAATTTTAACTACATATAGCAGCCTGGAAACATGTACATTCCAGTCTCAAACTCATCGTCTGTAGCTAGTCCAGTTTCTGCTAATGTTTCAAAAATTGTTTCTAACCCTGTGCAACAACAGCCATTACTCAATCAGCCTGTGATACTCCAGCATAATTATACAAATGAGGTGCTATTCTATCCATTATTGACCACTGTTTTAGTGTTTCGAACAATAAGTATAACCTTTGCTGAACGTTAGGTGCCTACTACTACTACAAAACCCAATGCTCCTGCTGCTCAGAAGCAAGGGAACTATTTTAATGATACTGGGCCACCCCCTCCAATTGATAGTGATGATAGCGACGACGACTTTAAACCGATCGTTGGGATAGGAGGTGGAGGTAGGCCGACAATTTTTTAATTTCTTAGCTGCTAATTGAGTAAGTTAAGCATAAATTAAGTCTAATCATATTTAAATAATGCATTCACAGGCCGCCTCTTTGTTGACGACGACGACGATGGGGATATTTTCAATGTCACATCGCTGTTTCCATCAACGAGAACTCAAAATCCTTTTTTCAATACGGCAGCGAATATAGCCCCCGCAAGTAGATCATCACCACCACCACCTCCAGATGTTAGTCAAGATATTCGTCCTAATATAAATTCCGATGTTGGACAGATGCCAACAGTTAATGACAAGATTGCAGACTCAGTTAAAACTGTTCATCATCCTCACGATGCACCCAAAAAAGGTTACACATCCATTGCATTCGTTTACACTCATTTCACTAATTGACTAATTTAGAGTATAATTAAATGCGACATCAATTCTTTTTACTATGTTCATTTAGAAGTTAGAACACCCAGTGAACCTAAAAGAAAGGTTTGTGTACCATGTTTTCATTTTAATTTGTCGTAGGAAAAATACAACGAAAGTAATTTTTTGTGCAGCTTCCACCAGGTGCTGTTTCGATTTTTGGCAGCGTGCCTCCTGGGGAAATTCCCAGGCTGGGATTGCAACAACAACAAAACACTGAACCCACATTAGTGGTTGAAGAACCGGAAACCCAATTGCCCGGAAGCAGTTCAAAGTGTGCAAAAGTGTCGAATCGAGGTTCCAGTGCTGAAATCAATCAAGACCACGAAACTACTAGTCACTCTAGTCTTACATCCATAGCCTCCAGTTATCAATCTTTGAATGATCCCATCATTCTCCCAGTTTCAAGGTACGTACGTACAAACAGATATGCATATCAAAATGACATAATCATAACCCACTGGGCTATTTAGCTATTTTTAACTTTCTTAATCATCACAAATGCCACTTCCACTACTAAGCCATACATTTATTTATTCAAATTAAACTAGTATGTAACCCATTTAAAAGTATCTATGAGCTCAATATCTTTCTTTATCCATCCGGACAATTACAAATATATGTGTCTGGTGGTTTTCCTTACTCTTATTTTTATTCAATTTTTTTGCAGAACAAAATCAAAAGGAATTTATAGCGATGACAGTGACGACGATCTTTTCTCCAGCAAGAAGCAACCTCCCTCATCGACAAGTTCAAGTTCATTATTCAAAGATAATTTAACCACAACTGTTGATCGACAAATTAGCTCGGTTGATAAGCCAGCATCCAAACAAAAATTTCGAAGGTCTATATTCGATGATTCAGATTCAGAAGAAGACGGTCTCTTTTCATCTTCCAGCTCAACAAGTTCAAAGAAACTTTCACAGGAAAAAACAAAGAACCATTCTGCTCTATTTCCCACCACTTACATAGAAAAATCAACAGTTTCTAAAAATCGTAATGGTGGTGCTGTTGGGGTTAGACCAAGTTTGTTTGACAATGACGATGACTCCGACACTGATCTGTTTGCTAGTAGTGGTGGTGGATTTGGTGTAAATAAATCAGACCAAAGAACTGCTTTTTCTAAGAAGACTGACTCCATTGTTAAAACTAAATCTGAGTTTAGTGATAAAACTAATCTCTTCAAGGCCAGCACTCGAGATAAAAGTTTGGACTGGAAAGAAGAGGTGATATCAAAAACCCTTGAGCATAATAGAACTATTAGCATTAAAATGGAGACTGACGAAAGGGAGGAAACAGAACATCCTGCTGCTGCTATGGAACAACAACACTCTAATAAATCTATTCATTTATTATTATCCCACGGAGTTGAAGCCAGCGAAAGTATTATTTCTCAACCTGTGCCTGACGAATCTAAACAAATTGATACAAGTAACGCTAAAAGTTTACTAATTAATTCGGAAACTGCTGAAAAAATATCTCAGGAAACTATGAAACCTCAAACTGAAGATCCAGAAATACCTCCTGCGGTTGCAGATATTCCCCCGAGTTCATTATATCCTGACGTCCCAGATAATAAGTCTGTCGCATTGAGTGACAAAGAACACACAATTCATGCAAGTAAAATTTCTCAATTGAAAGAAAGGTTATCCGCCTCCGAATTAAAGGCATCGCAATCTAAGCCTACCAGTGATAATAATAAGTCAACTTTTGACGCAAAAGCAAATAAAATTGGGAAACTAGAAGATAAACTGACTTTCGGAAAGGCTGATGACATTTCCTCATCATCTACTGATATTAGTGGTGAAACTAATAGTGATAAATCTGTTGAGAAAAACAGCAAAATAGCCAAGCTCAAAGAACAATTGGCGTCCCCTCCAGATTCCAAACCTGGCCATGATGCTTTATCAACGAAACTCGGAGGAAAGTCCAAGGTGGATGTCAAGAAGTTAGCTTTATCTCTAAAAATAAATCCAATGGCCATGATGCCTGGTGCTAAACCCGTGAAACAGACATCGTTAGAGTCCCCTGCATCGGAGACTGAAGTACTACCTGGTGGTGATGATTCACTTGTAATGGATGAAAGTAACTCAAAGGTCATGTCACCATCATCTCCAGTCAAGAAACTGGTCTCGAGTGGTCTCAATATAAATCCGTTAGCCATGATGCCTGGAGCAAAACTTGTGAAACAAGGGTCTTTAGACAAAAAATCAACCGATTCTCTCCAAGGGTTGGAAACTAATAATAAAGTCCCTTCTGATATGGTTGAACAACTTCCAAAGGTGATACCTTCTGATACGGGTGCCACTATATCCTCAGACGTCGATGTCAAGAAGCTAGCCTTAGGTCTCAATATAAAGCCCATGTCCATGCTGCCTGGTGCCAAACCTGTGAAGCAGAAATCATTGGAATCACCTGTATCTCCTGACACGGAATTTGGCTCACAATCACTTGATGCTACTTCTGTCACTGAAGACAACTATCAAGTTCATTCTAATAATGTCTCCCCTCCAGGAGACGCTACTGACATCTCCGCCAGACGTGCTTCAACACCTTGCACTCCAGAATCGCCTTATTCACCGGGTCCCATTGACGAAGAATCATTGGAAGAAAACAATCCAAATCCACTCCTTCGTAATTTAGCAAAGGTTGTCAAAACTATTCTTAACACAATTTAAATGTCAATATAATATAAACTGCGGGTATTCTTTGCGGGTATTTGATTTCAATTTTGTTCGCTATGTTTTCAGGGAAGGGCTAAAATTCAATTCAAACGGCGACCACCATCCAAAAAGCTTCTACATTCTTCCTCTAGCAAGGAATGGAATGACTTGGTTCCGGATTTAGAAATTGGTGATCCCACCAACATCACTGAAAATGTAGAGGGTGGCGACGGTGATTCAAAGCAAACTGCAAAAGCCAGCAGTGATGTTACTCGTCCAACCGTATCGAATCCAGTAGGAACTGAGGATGTACAGGGTGCGACATCAGGCATCGAATCTGGTGCATCGGAGGGTGGTGATTTACAGAGACTTTTGCACGATAGTCAAGAGGAATCCTCGTCTCTCTTTGATGATAAAGGTATTGATGACTCTCTTGCTAACTCGGTACCATTCAGCCAGAAAGACAAAAATGCATTACTCTGGGATGAAGAAAGCGATTCGGACGATATATTTGTTTCTGCATCTAAAAAGTCCAAGGTCAAAAAAACAACCCACAGGAAGAATAATCCAGTCCCAGATTTATCCGCCACATTTCAGTCAAACACTGCAGATGGATTGCAAGGTACACACTTGAACTAATCTGTTACTGTCTGGTGTACTTATCAATTCAAGATATTTATTTCGCTTTGTTGTATTGAAATATAGGTTCTAATCTTAAAGGCAAAATAAACCCGATCGTTGCTGAGACCATTCCTGCAAGCAGTGCAGCTATTGAAGCCAAGAAAAATCTGGACGACCCTGTTCCATCATCATCACGTGGAAATGAGCAAAAAAGTTTATTCCTAGATGATGAAGAAGACATATTTGCAAATTCTGCTTTTGTAACAAAGAGGAAAGATTCTGGTTCAAGTTCTCAGGCAAATATTCCTTCCACTATTACTGCACCTCCATCAATGCCAAGCGGTAATTTACCAAAACAAGGGAAGCAAAAACAAGGATTATTTGGATCGGACTCTGATTCTGACGATCTTTTCAAGGCTTCAGTATCTGCAAAATCTTCAAAGCCAAAAACAAAGCCGAAGGACGAAACTTCAAAAAGTAACAAGTTATCAGACAGCTCAACCTCTAAGTCATTGAAGCCAAGCGTGAAATCTAGCGCCATAACCAACAAATCAATATTTGATGACTCTTCAGATGAAGGTACCTGTTTACCGCAATATTTCACTTGTTTAAAATTTACATGTTCACTGTATTTTGTCACTTATCTTAGATTTATTTGCGTCAAAGTCAAAAAAGAAGACAGTGCCATGAGAAGAGTTCTGTTTTGAGGCCATCAAACGGGCTTTGCTCAAAAGTTGCTTACCTTTTGATATCCACCATTGTGCCCCTATATTGTCGCGTTTAACCAGAACTCGAAACTGGTTTTTGAGTACATTTTAAATTGCAAAAATATCAACTACTTTGTGCTACTAACTACTTAGATATTTTAAGAAACTCATGAAATATATAATATGTGCTATATCTTTCTTCCAATAATTTATTATTATTCTTATTATTCTTATCCTATAAATAGGCCAATTGTTACATATTGCATGATGTTAGTCCATGCTGAAACATATTCCGTTTTAGTTTTATATCAGAATATTATTAATTTAATTTCAAATGAGTTGTTGATTGTTGTTCTTACAAAAGTCATGCAACATATCTACATATTTACATTTCGTTTACATAAGATCAATGCGCTCTAAAATAAACCCGTGATATATCAATCAATAAAATAGAGAATTACTGGGACTACAATAGCTTCGACATTATGATTTGTGATTAATTGCACAACTTGGCAAATTGATTGCTGGGTATTGGCACAATTGTACTGTGCATAGTCATTAATTATCTAGTTAGTATCCCATGGATCTGGACAATGGGGAATTATGTCGAAAGTCACGTTGTCTCCTCAATATTTTATTATAATATTCATGTTTTCTCTAATTTCTTGGGACTATTCGCTTCCTTCCTCCTATGTCGTGGTAGCAGTAATGAGGAGTCGAGTAAAGGCAACTTTCTTCTGTAGACTTGGGTTATGTTGGTTCGTTCATCTGTTGTGCTGAACGTCTCTTGGAAACGCATCTACCACAGTTTTACATGTGGATATGTCTGGCAGGCACAAGCAACTGTTGTTGAACTCAACCAACCCAGAGGCTTATCTTACTCGTATCTGCAGGTTTTATATAATACTTTGCAGTGAAAATCCACGAGGGAAATGACCCACACGGACTCGGAATTTCATGGACAATTTGAAATGTCTGGACATGAAATGCTTTTCTGTCAATTTTAGTTTGCTCCTAGAAGGACTTGAAGCAAACCACGAGGAGGTCGCCAGCCGATTACATAACATCCTCCAAGTGATCCATATTTACTTATTAAATATGATGATCCGTTTTGTGCAGCATTTCTGTGCCACAGATTCACATCCAGTTCCAGTGACTACATTCATACATATTTGTCCTGCACAGTTGTTAAGATATTGTCCGTTCTATATAAAAATTACAAGTATCCTCTGCCTAAAATTACCGACTGAGGATGAGAACATGTGCGTACGCCAGGTTTGATCTGCAATAGATACATAGGACGTACAAACGCATCATTGACCAGGTGGACGGAGTGGGTGAGTGACAATCAATTTATGCAAATTGTCTCATATTGAATCACCTATAGCAGAATGAAAAAGCGAGCTTATGACTCCCACCGTCGTCGTCATATTATTATGGCTTGATCTCCGATGGTGATACACAAAGCCATAAAATAAAGACACCCACGCATGGCCAAGGTGTAAACCCGTCCAACTAAGAAGCACGTTTTTGTGATTTGCTTGTCTCAAAATGGTTTTCAGGTTCATTACGATCAGCAATATTGTTCAAATGAGAATTTTAAATGGCCGAATTGGATTTGTGTTGGGGACAGTGCATAAAGCATGTGGTCGATTTGAGGTGGGTGGAGGTCAAAATATCACTTTCCAGGTCAGGCCTGGGGGTCAAGATTCTCTAAGAATCATCGCTTGCTTTATGAATCTATGTATCGTCTCCGTATTTCAACGGATTGTTCATCTCTAGCCTGCATTAAAGGCTCAGTCCAAAAAAGTGCACTAATTAAGCATTGTATTATTTATTGGTGTGCTAAATCTCATTCATCAGTACAATAAATGCACCGCACGCTGGCGGAGGAGGTGGAGTGTGGGTGTCCATCAGAAGAGGATTAAAAAAAACAAGTAAATTACAATCTAGTCGAAAGGAACAACGTTCTATAAAAGGTTCCCAACCTTACTTGCCTTGACAGGAAATAACGTTGGCGATGAATTGATTGCAGTTTTCGTAGTAATTTAGAATCAATGCATCATATATTAAACCTAAAATTTTACATGCACGCTTTAAAATCTCCAAATAATTTACTCACCAGAGACTTGGCGTTCTATCAGTTTATATTTCCGGTGTAAAAATAAGTGCATCATTTCCATGTTGTTATCGTTCGTTGATTTTGTCACATCCCTTTATTTTATTTTTATGCGTTGCGTATAGTTTTCCTGCAAAACTATTAAAAGTTTTACACCTCGTCCGGGGTGGGTTTTCTCTCCATCTAAATAATTTTCAGGTGTCTCATTTTTTTTAATTTGTCATCTTATCCTTAAGATCAAATCACACGATATATACACACGTATATTTTGTAATGCATTATTAAAAACGTCAGTTTTGAAAATTATCCCCGCATTTTAATTGAATTTGACAAATTACGTTTACAAAGTGCCACATTCTGTCATTTCCATTTGTGGATTTCATACAAAGCAAAAGTTGAGACTCGGCTGGCTTAAAATGTATTGATAATGGTTAGCACTAAAACGAAAGCCGTCATGTCTTACTCACTCGAATCATATCAATATCATTAAAAACTTCGTAAAAGGAAGAACCAACAATGTAATTCTTACTTAATATCCATTTCAGCCAAGTAATCTCACCAAATATAGGCACATGCATGCATTCATTATTATGCACTCTCTCATTCTACCAAAGCCAGAGAGGTGATACATAATCACAATATGTTTAAGTCTACCTTGCGAGTCGCAAGGAAAATAAAATCTCGGAATTGTTGGAGGATAAATTAAATAGAGAATAAGAGGAGAGCTTCACTCGAGTCAAGACTGATTGCAGTCAACGATAAGTGATGTTTGCCTTCTTGATCATACGTCCGTCTGATGCAAGCTAAAAGTGAGTGGGAGTCGCTTTTTAGCGTGCTTACTCCTTGCACAACCTGTTCAATGGAAAATGTTAATTCGACTTGTAAAGATTGTAAACTTCTTTATTTAGTCGCTATTTCGACGCACGGCTTCAGTATTCAGTCTTCTCAGAACCATTGAACAGAACAGTTCTCTCAATTATTTTGCAGATTTTTTTTCTACTCGTTATTGTTCGAGTTCGTTTGATTGTGCGTGCGTAACTGCCTGAAGGTGTTTTCGAATAGTACGGTAACATTGTTGCATAGCTATTTATATTTATATGCCTAACACTGCTCAAGTTCGAAAAAAGTGTGTAAATATTTGTCTCGATTCCAGAAACTCTTGTAATTTTTACATCCTTGCAAATATTATGATAGTTTTGAGGATAAAATTAAATTAGCAGAATTTTATGCCGGTGTTGCACCAGAGAAATTTAAATTAAACTCATACATACAAAGAGATGAATTATTTTGGGTGGCGTCTTCTAAGACATGCTCGCAGGATGTGAGTAGGATAGACGAAAGCGAAAGTATATTTTTTATATGTGTGCACCAGAATGACAAGAAATTAAAAACAACGAATCATGCTTATGTACATGCTATGTAAGATGTAAACTGCATAATTGCATTTCATGTTGTCTTTGATGTATTCGTTTACACTTTTAAATAGTAAATGTACTAGTTCTGCTTTAAGTCTAGTAAAAGGCAGCCGGGGTAGCAATTGGCATCCTCCTTATCAAGTTGCACTTGACCAAAATGCGAGTCGAGTCGCTTATCGAATTAAACCTTGTCAAGTGTTTCAGCTCGTTTTTTATCCATCCAACAATTCAATGCAAACTGCGAGCTCGACCTGGTTATGACTTGCATGCATTTTTCCGTAAATAAATATGCTCACCTCAGCGCAAACAAATTCCAAAAAATACCCGTCACGCTGTCACCCTTGCCATTTCATTTCAACTCATCACCATCAACATTCCTGTTCAGACGGACGGGTTGCGTTACATCATGGAACGATTGTTTTGCTTGCTAACCTGCCATCGAGCGAGAGTGCAAGGTTATTCGTGGTATTTAATTTTGCATGAAGTTCACCATTAAGAAGACAAACCAAACATAAAGCAACCAAACCACTCCTGTATGTACATACATAGCCAATCGGTTTTATTATTCAGTGCCAAATCTGTTCCATAACTAGCAGAAAGGTGACGTCTGGCTAGATATTTGACAAAACATTCTATATTTTACATGCACTCAATACACCGACAAGTAAGGACACATGCAGTTAGTTTGAGATTTCAATTGAATTGTCGCTTCATGCCGGCGAGAGAGGATTTGTTGGCGATACATGGAATCATGTTACATATTTACGTACAACAGAATAGTCGGCCAATATGGGAAATATCCACGCTTGAAGAACTTCGGAATTTTGTAAGCGTGGGTTTTTAGGCAGAAAAACTATAACGATTTATTATATTTGCGTGGAGAATTTCTGTGTGACTTGTGAATCAACATACGCTATTGATTAATCGAGTTGATTTCTTGACCGCAATTGCAGAGTTCATTGTATTGGAACTACGAGGGATTGGCGTGAAGCGAATTCAAGAAAGACTGACTGTGATCCGTACTGCATGCAAATTTTGAACAATTTAAGGAATTGTGCTACTAACTTATCTATAAATAATAAAGTGCTTCTTTCAATACATAAAAATTTGACTGTGATCAAACCGTCCAATCTACATACTGTAGGGTTTATATTATACTAAAGTGTCGGAAATACGTTCATATTCGCCTGAAAAGTGCCACACAGAAAGCAAGATGGTGATCAAGGAGGACACACAGTCTCCAAAATCTTCAAAGGAAAAAAAGAAGAAGACTGAAGCTGCTTCGAAACCGGATGAAACTCTTCTCAAACCAAAGTGCATTTGTGAAATTTGTACATGCGGGTAAGCATAATTGTATTTTTCTTAGGTGAGGCATAGTAACCATGACCACATGAAAAAGTGCATGGTTACGGCGAAGCCTAAGAATGCAAACAGACCCCCCCTCCCAAAGTTCCACTCAAGTTTGTGACAAAACGGCTAATCGTATCAAAATGGTGTAAAAGACAATCGTGCAGACCTTGCTGGGTAGATGATGCCCGTCAGGTCTAGAGACATGGCAATCTTACTTTAACGCATTTAAAATCGATTTTAAACTTTCAAACGACTGGCAAATTCATTTCTTCCATGCAATGATAGTGCGAGACCCTGATTTTCATGTGCAGAAATCTATAACGCGTCATTTAAAGCAAACCCGAGCTAAATCGGATAAGAAATGAAAAACTTTTCTTGGTGGTATCTGCAACCAGTTACGTTACTTCTAGCAGTCCTCCATTACTTATCATGCATACCTAAATACGAGGTTTCCATTAGTAACCAACATAAGTGAAACAATTGAGACCTGTACTGGCGTATGGAAATATGTACATCTACATATATTATGCGTATATCTAATATTTATGCACACTCTTAACTGAAGTTAAGAATGTACACTCTTAAAACCCGGTGCTAATCGTAACCAAACGGTGTACATATGCCACTTAACCAAAAGGTGATATGTTTTTCACAGCCTGATGATAAATCTTCCAGGCATGGGGACAAATTGTCACTAGCTAGTGTTAATTTTAGGTGAGACACCTTATTACCGCACGGTGAAGTCACATACGCACACCGTTTGGTGACGATTAACACCGGGTTTTTAAGAGTGTAATAGAACATGTAATAGCTCCGTACTAAAGTTTTACCATATCGGCAGCAAATTTTTACGGACCGGTATAATTTTAATACCACGCAGGAACTTTGATACTGAGAAAACAATACCTACCTGAATATACCAGATTTCTACAGTGTATTTACACTTACATATAGGGAATTTATCTGATATGTAACGCATCCGCACTCAAAGGTTATAATTAATTTGGTATGCAATGCAATGCATCTATACCATAGGGGATAGTGAAGTGAATTTGGGAGGGACTCTTATTTTTAGGCTTAAAAACAAAAAAATAAATGAATTCTTAAAAAAAAGCTTAGGTGAGGCTTGCTTAAAAGAGGAAAACAAGCTGTTATCATCGTGTACTAAAATAATATGCGAAGTCAATGCTCATCTCACGATTTATAATTTTTGGCAAATATAACAGCAAATTATATGCGTTTGGGACAATTTGCCTCGCCGTGGGCCAGTTTGTGATACGAAGAATTAAAATATATTTTAAAATTTATTAGTGTCCAATGTCGATAAATAATTCATACGGAATGATGCGGGATTTAGTTAATTTCGTTATTAATAATCGCTTGCTGATCAAATTTACGAAGTGTGGGTTATTTATAATATAAAATATTATAGTTCAGAACACTTAATTTTTCAAATATATGTAGGCTGATTTTTGAAACATATTCATGCAAGTCATCAAAAATAACAGAATCAAATAATAACGAAGTTTAATTACTGCAATACGTATCATAGCTAAATATAGTTCAAATTTAGCTATGATCATTAAAAGATATATTTATATCAAACATTTAATCACGGCCCACGGCGAGGTATATTGTCCCAAACGCATATAATTTGCTGTTATATTTGCCAAAAATTATAAATCGTGAGATGAGCATTGACTTCGCATATTATTTTAGTACACGATGATAACAGCTTGTTTTCCTCTTTTAAGCAAGCCTCACCTAAGCTTTTTTTTAAGAATTCATTTATTTTTCATATGTCGATCGTACCAATTTAATTGTACATTTACCCAAAAGATCGATTGATATGGGCAACGATTTATTGTATGCAAAAATTGAAGCTCCAATTAATTTATTACTCCAGAAAGACAGCGACTTTACTCTATATGCATTACTTCGTTATGAAGCTTTATGCAGAATTAAACCATTATTTTTTCGTTTCCGTGGTCATACGACCTACTGCTGGACTGGTGGAGCTAGAAAAGCTATTTATTGTATCAGAACATAACAATGCGCCAGGTAGACCGTGATTTACAACTTCAGGCGAGTCGTTCCTATTACGAGCAATAGTAAAACTATACGTGCACCTTTTTAGATTTATTATGCTTCCCAGTCTGTCGGTACTTACTTGTTCAGTTCTTACTATTACATACTCGGCGTTTATCAGTAAATTATGAGAGCAAAACAACAAACAACGTACCCCACTACTGCTCCATTGTACAAAAATTGCATTGGACATACACACAACGGTGGTAGTGGTGCATAAACAGAGTTAATAAAAACACACCCAATTCATTATATAACAAATGATGTCCGAGTTACATATATTATTATTCCCTTGGGCTTCACGTTTGTGCAGTGTTGTACAGCGGAGCAGAACTTGTCACGGTTTTTTGTGGTGCAAAAATCTCACAATTCCTAATCCTGCAATTAGACTGGCCTTGGATGCTGGTTTCGGTTTATTATATCTTAAAGCCGTGGTTTAGACATGATTTTAAGAGATTGCAACCTTTAAATTACTCGGCGTAACTCAATTAATCCTACTGCACTCGATTATAGTGCGGTAGAAGCGAACACGCACAATATGAAGCGTACCCCAACTTTGATGAGCAGCATGTGTAAAGTAAAAAGTGATTCTCATGCCTTCATTTTGACATTAAATGTCAATCAGACATTGCTTTAATAAGTTTATTGAGACACTGTCCATGTATGCGTAAAGTTAGACCATCAGTCTAGTATTTTCATCTGCTAATTTCCATTAAAATCAAAATCTGAGTTTAAACAAGCCACAAAGTTTGCCTTCTTATTGACAAGAACTTCAAAGTATTAAAACACTTGTCCAATTCCGTCATTCTTTGCGTTGGATCATATTTCGATGTTGTTGGGCTTGGATGGGTGACCAAGATTGGAGATGCATTTGGTCTTGGAAGGCAATAAAACGTCCTACTTTCTAATTTCTTGAGCCTTGAAATTCAAGTGGAGTTGACTTGTAATATTAATAGTGACAGCAGTGGCATCATCAGCAAAACGTTGCACGTTGCTGCGGATTAACGACCAAGATTGAGGATTACATTATGTACATGGCTGGACGACGTATTACGAAACGAGGATGTGTATGTATGCAGATATCGTTGCAAGCACACTGGCGACATGACAAGACAAATGTGGAATTGGACATTTTTATACGTCGTCTTTTAAATCTGGTTTTACTTTGGCACAACAACAACCTCGTTTATTATTCGGTATTTTTATATTTGCCGTGTTATGGAAGCATTCCTCATGCATTGTACGTACATACAGCTAACACTTTTGTGTGTACATGGGATGAATTCACCATCACTTTCTTCATTTGGAGTCAAACGCTATTCAAATTTGCAGCGATACAATGGCGTAGAGCTGGCTGGCCGGTATAAATGGCAAATGCAAATTCAAAATTGTACATACTACTTAACGAGTGGACACATAGACCGCCGGCTGCTTATTACTTGTTACTTGGCGAAGTGAGGTGAAGTATGACCTAACTTTCGCATCTGAGAATTTGGAATTGCCATTACCATTTTTGGAGAAATTGAAACAAACTACGCTCCAAAATTCGCTCCTTTATTATTTCTTGGCCTTTAACTCTAGTTTTGACTGGTTGCCTAATGACAATTTGTGTTGCAAAACACAATTGCATTAGAGTGTGTGTAGTGTAATGTCAATGAGCGTTTTGATGAATGTATCATAATTATAAGGCTTACATAAATAAATCAGCGCAAATAAAACTGATTGTTGGTTGTTATTCAACTTTCCTCCAATTTCAGTTGATCAGCACATATTTATGTAAGTCCATCAAATCTGGACTTTGAGAAATAAGGGTGCGTTAGGGTCTTCTTATAAAAATACTTTTCATTTTGTCGAACGGACATGTAAGAACTGAAGAGGCGTGTTGAAAACAAGCGGAGATTTGTGGTCAATCGCAACAACATTCTAAATTATTGGGCAGGTCAATTCAATTGTGGTTGTGGGATGGACAGCTATCAGACAAACAATTAAAAATGTACAGAACAGAAGAAGAATGAAATCCATCCCTTCGTTGTAAACCCTCCACTAATAATTATGAAAGGGAAAAGTGTGAAACCAGCATTTCACAATCTTGTTCAACTCTGTACGTACTCATTTACTTCATCTCATTTTTATACTTGTATACGCACAACACTTAACAAAGGGTCATTTGCATCAAATTCCAATTTTCAATTAACCCAAGTTCGCGATAAATACTAATTTATTTATCTTACATTGCTACAAAAATTATGTAATGAATAGAAAATGAACGACAATTTATCAATACAAATCCGTAGAACAAGTGCAACATCTGTATTGCAACCTATCATTTTTTAGTTTGTGACACAATGAGACACTATATTTTTGCATCAGGTACATAGTTTTCCCTACAATACTTTAGTGAAGCTTAATTAAATGCACAGCAAGGTTACCGGAAACAATTATACGACTGCGCCTCGCAATATAAATTCCTACTCAGCATGCAAAGTGTTTTTGTTGATCAAAATATTGCATGATTTTTGACGAATTATCGAACTCCCGAGTTAAATACGCGACTCGTAAACTTGAGCTGCAAGAAGCTGTTCGACCTTTATTATGGATTTGTTTTGGTTACATAACTGCACAATAAGTGCTGATTGTGATGGAGGCATGAAAATTAGTGGATGCACACAACTTGCCACGAATTGCAGCAGACATTTACTTACTTTGTCTCATTGCAGTGTTGTGGCTAGTTTTTGAGAAAACAATACGTTAGTAGAGCACATTGTTATTTCGAAGGGTGACGTAAACTTGCAGATTGGGAGGCGGATAACACGTCAGCCGATCATCTCTTTAAAACATGTACTCGTTTTCCCATTCCTGCAGTTGTTCATACTCAAACAATAGACAAATGTAGAACTCGAATGAGAAAAAGTGAGCTCGCTAGTTGAGACTCGTCGTGGTTTGTGAGGGTGTTAAATTGATTGGTTATATGTACCTGCAATTTATTCCGTAGCAAAATATGACAGCACAGCCTCGGTCAATTCATACTCAGAAGGTGATGTCATTCTCAAGTCAAGCCAAGCACTCAGGAGGCAGGAAGTTTTACTTTTTGCTGCATTGTTTGATTTATGTTCCAAGTTTTAGGAATTCTATTCAGTGTTCATCCGAAATAAAGTATTTCAGGTTTTGGCAAATTGTTTGCGATTCTTGCAAAATCCACGGTTTGTAACGAGTTGTAAATATGTATGCATACATAAATTCTAAAGGTCTGGTCGACATGCGATAATGTCGTAAGGCAATTACTTGATTCACTTGCTCTGTTAGACTGGACTGGAGTTTGCTGAACTGAATACTGCATATGTACTCGTCTGTATCAATCAACCAAACCCACGCCATTTTCATACGTATGAGCACAAGAGATGTCAATTACCACTAATAAGAAAACTTTATTTGCCAGCGTACAATCATAATAATTGAAATCTGCGCCAACAAAAAGTTCGTCTAAGCGATGACCATTTGCACCAATTGAAAGAAATATTCAATTTTCGAAGGGGAGCATTGACTTTCTCAGCGTTTCAGCCACATGCTTACGAAGGCAAGGCGTTGCATTGAACAAATATGCCCTCCATAATTAATAACGATTTGATGTCAGGCATGAACATAAGTATTTTGGGCACAATAATGCACTCCACTATGCATTATTCTGCAGCAGTATTACCACTGCAGCAAATTACTTGTTTGATGAGTTTTTCTCTACCAATCAGAGTTGAAAGAACTTTCATAACTCCATTTTTGGAAATGATTGGTAAAAACATAATGCCAACTGAAAGTCTTGTTTCATATTTTAAAGATGCATCTGCATACGTACATTCGTATGCATACTATCAGCACACTAACAATAATTTGTTTCTCAATGCTGACTCGTATCAAGAGGGGTCTCTTCAAATGGATTTCATTGTTGTACTATGAATGACTGGTGTAAATATGTCTTGAAATTAATGAGTGTTCATAATCTTGCATTATTTCCTTTGCGACTAAAGAAAATAGAGGATGCTAAAGATTGCTACAAACCTTTACGTAGGTACAATACAAGTAAATCTGATGATCTATATATCCATACTTTGCAGGGGTCATCGATGTCCTCACAATGACTTTAAGATTGACTATATCAAAGAACACCTTGTGTCCGGATCGCATGAAACGGGGAGTTCAGAAAGTCGGGAGCAGTATAAAACCTTTAGCCAAGTATGCTTATCCTTTAATAAATGCATTATTTTCTGGATCAGTAAATTTTTCATTGGTCGACCAGAGTAAATATTTATGAATAATGCAGGTGGAAAGAGGATCTGTGATTAAACGAGGTCAGACCACGTTACAACTGGAAGGTGAAATGGACCTCGTGTCATCTTACGGTGACGAATTTCAAAAGAAACAAGCAGAGCAAACCAAAAGGTAATGCCAACTCGTGTCATAGTTTTCAGTAATCAAAATCAGCCACACGTATGTAACTCCAAATACGTATGCACAGGTTTAAACATGATGGCAACCTGAGTCTAACAACATCAGGTGGCGACTACTCATCAATGACACATTTGGTCAGCGAAGTAGGCGGGCATCATGGGCAAGTGACCTCCAAGAGCGTTAATGAACAAATGCAGCAAAGTCTTTCAACCTCAACGTCTACTTCTACCGTCCAACAACAATCATCATCGTCCAAGCAGGAGATGAGCAGTTCCATGAAGGCTGAGACTAGTTCATCTGCTATGATGACCTCGTCTTCCTCGGATCAGCAGCAATTTAGCTCGTCCTCAATGACCACGGGGGGTGAACAGATGGAGTATTCTCTGGACAATGCTGCTTCATTGTCTCTGCAACGTGGCACCAAAACCCGGCTGCGTGGAGGAAAACTTGAGACTGTGCCGGATGAGTATTTGTACGCCAAAGGGATAAAAATTGTCTCCACGTCAGAAAGTCTTTCCGAGTTGGAGAAAAATCTGGCCAAGGGTCCGGATGGTGCCGTTGTTATCTCGTCCAGCAGTAAATCTGGAACTCAAGAAATGTCCAGCAGCTCTTCAGCCCATGCAATGGAAACCGTCCAACAAAGTAGTCGCAGTGAAATGATGTCCGACTCTAAAACAAGCACTGAAAGTAGTAGTTTTTACGTCACGGACCAACAACAATCAGACCTGAAGTCGTCAGATTCCACATTAATATCGAAAACCAATAAGTCACTGAACACAGTAGCTGGATTATCTTCAGATCAACGCTTACGATCTGAAGATTCCAGCTCCATGCGGAAACTTGTCCGTGGTCCAGGGACGACGAAGAGAATTCTTCGTGGGGGCAAAATGGAATCTGTCTTTGTCGAAGGCGATGTGCTCGGCTATGAGGATGAGCTTGCAACATTTCACCAATCACTGTATGGGGACTCCTCGTCCTCCAAAATGGTGACTGATAATGTCGACGTTAGTCAGTCCGGGTACACTTCCATGCAACAAAATATCTACTCCAGTGAATCCACCACCAATAACCAAGGCACTACCAAAAGCCGTTCCGAATTTGCCCAGTCTACATCCGAAGGTAGGCATGCTGGAGGCGATGGCGAAATTTTAACTAAATCCAAGACCGTTGTGTACGACAGTGGTGCTGGTCCAAGCCCATATTCAACGAGTCATACATCCAGAACTGTGCTACGAGGTGGAAAGGTTGTTAACGTTTCTGAAGACCATGTTTCCTCTGATGTTAGTGAAAGTCAGAGACTAATTCAACAGTCGAGTGACGATCTGAAGCAATTAGGACAATTCACAACCACATCAAAGACCAGCAAGTTATCAGGCCAGGAGACAACCAAACAGCAAAAATCATCCACTCAGACAAGCAAACTATCAGAGTCCATGATTCAATCCATGAGTGAAAATATTGACACCTCATCTTCCTCCATAATCACGGAACAAATTGCGAGACAACAGCAGCAGTTGGATTCAAATCGGATTCGTGGTGAGTATCGAGGCTCCAGAACTGAAACCGTGACTGGGGGCACGACGCATGACTTTGGAGATGTCAAAGGTCTCACAGTCGTTACCCATTCGAAGTCATCCATGGAGCAAACTGAAGACCAAAAGTTGGCTCAAGCTCAACTCCAATCTTTGACCCAGTCCTCGTCAGTCTACGGAGTAAACATTGAATCGTCACTGCGAGGTGCGAGAGTCAAAGAAATTCAGGAGAGAGAAATTTCACGTGGAATCGTTCGACTGAGTGATCTTGGGCTGGAGACGACAGAAAACGTGGAGAAATCCATTACAGAAATCAAATCTGCAAAAGTCTCCGACACTGTCGAAATTGATGAGAGAATCGAAAGTAAGACAACTTCATCAGATATCCAAACTTTCCGTTACGAAGAAATGTCAGAGTCAGAGCGAAGAAATGCACTCATTATGAGAAATCAAAGGAATCGAGTCACTGGTTCAGCAATGATTGAGGACACGTACGATGTTTCAACAAAATTCGACAGCCGAGACAAATATGACAAGATTACCACCGCCGTGGAAGATGAACGTCACGCTGCTACCACCTTTTTGGAGCAAGTAGACAATAAAAACCAGGTTCTTGACACGACTTACATTGTGTATCCTCGCCAGACTCCCATCAGGCGAGAAGACAATTTAAGGGTGGAGGACTCGACCAGTTCCACCAACTACCTTAGCACCAATCGGAGTGATTATGACGAAAAGAGGTCTTCCACCACGAGAGGAATTCGACGCAACACGTTCACAAAGACTGAGGGTGACATGAGCTTTGAAACCACGGCGAAAAGTGAGTACTATGAAAAAAGCAGTCCTGGGGAGAGACCAACGATGCAGAGACAAAACACGTGGACCAAGATGGAGGGAGACATGCAAACCACGACGACGAGTAAGGAACAGTTCAGAACTGTGAAGGGGGAGAGGTCCACGCCCATTCTTCACAAGGATAATCTGCATCCTGAAGGACCTTTTTATGGGAAGGTGAGGGAAGAAGCACCAAAAGCCGACAGGGTCAAACCAATGAAATACGTGGACAACTTGAGACCAGAGGGTAAGTCGTGCAATGTAAATGCAGTATCAATTATGCCGCAGTTGAGTCAAAGCTTATCTAATCAGTCCTAAATTCACAACCAGTTTTTAATAAAGATTAAAATAAAGATTACAAAATTAAATGCACTAAATATTTTAGTTGTATAAGTAAATACCAATTATATGTACATAGCCAGTAAATTCGTACATAAAAGTGATGTGACAGCAAATTTCAGTGACACAAAAATCCATAGCTAATCGACAAAGTTTGTTGTTGCAGGCGAATTTTACAACCAAAGAAAAACCGAAATATGGCAAAAAGGTGAAAGGGCTGAACGAGTTGTGCATGAAGATAATATTCACATGGAAGGACAATTTGATAGCATCACCACATCGCAAACAGATTACACGGCTACAACTCGAGGCGATAGATACAGTATGAAGAAGCCCGTTGATAATTTAAAACAGGAAGGACCATTTTACAAGTCCCCAGAAAAAGAAGTACAATTTTTATTTTGAAACAATGAATACGATTTTGTGACTGAATTTTTTTTTGCAGATTCCAAAGGGAGAGAAACGTTCGCCCGTGAAACATCCAGATAATTTGAAAGTTGAAGGTTAGTTGGTTAAATGTTATGCACAAATTATGTATTGCGCATTATAACGTATCCTTTATTATTTTAACGGTTCATTCACCGCTTATCATACCGATAGTAGGTGACCGAGTCCTTAAGTCAAGTAATTGACAAGGTCAAATATATTACAGAAAAATAAAAACGAAAACAAAATAAAATAAATTTAAATCAAATATATCCTCCAGAAATATTTACTGAAAATTCGCAGTACTTCCAAATAAAGCTTACCAGATCAATTTTTACTAACCCGAAAGTAGATCAGTGAACACTTTTAATGAGGTCAGACTTTTTAAGCTCAAGGCCTGAGGACTGGTCACATGGGACAATAAATTGTCGTTATCGCAGGGCTTAAGAATAAATATGTATCAAACTCTGTAAAAATTTGGTGCAAACCAGATTACCTAACATCCGTCTGATGAGGATTTAAACTTTACATATTGTATCAAAAGTATTGAACATTGGCTGGTTTTGCATGTATGCTATTCTAATCCATAAACAACTGTTCAGGCGAGTTCTATAAACCTGTGAAAGCGTCCGTACAACCCGGTGAAAGACGACAACCTGCGAAAAAACCAGACAATTTACACCCAGAAGGTGAATTTTACCAACGCCCTGATCAAGGTGCTCCCCTAAGAGGAGATCGAGCCGATATTAAGAAACCGGTGGACAACTTAAGACCGGAAGGTAAACTTAAAATTTTAATTTTGACAATTATTCGAGCATAACGGCCATGATATTTTTAAAATTTATTATAGGTGAGTTTTATAAGCCTCTAAAGGAGTCCGTCCAACCTGGAGAGAAAGCAAAGCCTATTCGACAGTCCGATAATCTACACCCAGAAGGTGAGTTTTACCAACGCCCTGATCAAGGAGCTCCATTGAGAGGAGATAGAGCGGACGTGAAGAAACCCATTGACAACCTCAGACCTGAAGGTATAGTGCAAAATCTTGATGATGGCGTCAAGACCTTCGTAAAGTCTTAATAATAACAATCTCAATTATTCTACAGGCGAGTTCTATAAGCCGCCGAAGGATACCGTGCAACAAGGAGAAAAAGCTAAGCCAATCAGACAGCTCGATAACTTACGCCCAGAAGGAGAATTTTATCAACGTCCGGAACAAGGCGCCCCTATCAGAGGAGATCGAGCCGATATTAAGAAGCCCGTGGACAATCTTAGGCCTGAAGGTTAGAAATCTAATTATCATGCTCAATGGACACATAAATTCACCGTGAAAGTCGTAATGCATTCGTTTCCAACTCCAATTTTCCAGGCGAATTTTATAAACCACTGAAAGAGTCCGTTCAACCTGGAGAGAAAGCAAAGCCTATTCGACAGTCCGATAATTTGTACCCTGAAGGCGAATTTTATCAGCGACCCGACCAAGGCGCCCCTCTTAAAGGGGATCGAGCCGATATCAAGAAACCTGTCGATAATCTCCGACCTGAGGGTATGGTTGCAAATGCTATGCTTAGTGATAGATACCATTTATTGTGAAGCTCGAAATAGTATAAATGCAATTAACTTAATATTTTAAAGGTGAATTTTACAAACCGCTGAAGGAAATAGTCCAATTAGGAGAGAAAGCTAAACCAATTCGACAGCTCGACAATTTACATCCAGAAGGAGAGTTCTACCAACGTCCTGAACAAGGAACGCCATTAAGAGGCGAAAGGGCGGATGTGAAGAAACCCATTGACAACCTCCGACCTGAAGGTACGGTTTACTAATGTTATGCTTAGTTATTTAGTGAAAGCTACCATTAATTGTGAAAGTCGAAATAGTGTAACTCTAATAACTGTTTCACAGGCGAATTTTATAAACCACTGAAGGAATCGATTCAACCTGGAGAAAAAGCAAAGCCTATCCGACAGGCCGATAATTTGTACCCTGAAGGAGAATTTTACCAACGTCCTGAACATGGAGCTCCCCTTAGAGGAGAACGAGCTGATGTTAAGAAACCCGTGGATAATCTCAGACTCGAAGGTATGATCTAAACCTGAGAGCTCTCGTTCACTACCAGAACAAAATTGTGATAAAAAATATCAATTTTTGCAGGCGAATTTTATAAACCTCTGAAAGAGTCCGTTAAACCGGGAGAGAAGGCAAAACCAATTCGACAACTCGATAACCTTCATCCAGAAGGTGACTTTTACCAACGCCCTGAACAAGGAGCTCCCCTCAAAGGGGATCGAGCGGATATTAAGAAACCGGTTGATAACTTAAGGCCGGAAGGTAAATTTAATAACTGCATTTTAACAATTAGCCGCACACAATAAGCACAAGTTTGTTTTCATTAGGTGAGTTTTACAAGCCGCTGAAGGAGTCTGTCCAGCCTGGAGAGAAGGCAAAGCCTATTCGACAGTCCGATAATTTGTACCCTGAAGGAGAATTTTATCAAAGACCTGAACAAGGGACCCCCCTAAAAGGTGATCGAGCTGATATTAAGAAACCCGTCGATAACCTCAGACCCGAAGGTACGAAGTTAAATTATTATGTGCCAGGAAAATATGAATTCACCGTAAAAGGGGAGTTGTTAATTGTTCACTGCGAAATCCAATTTTCCAGGCGAGTTTTATAAGCCACTCAAAGAGTCTGTACAACCAGGAGAGAAAGCAAAGCCTATTAGACAAGCCGATAATTTGTACCCTGAAGGAGAGTTTTACCAGAGACCCGACCAAGGCGCCCCTCTCAAAGGAGATCGAGCCGATATTAAGAAACCTGTCGATAACCTGAAGCCCGAAGGTATGTCGCAAAATGCGTTTGGAGATTTTAAGAATTAAGCGGAGCGGTAAGGTATTATTTGGTATTGTAGGTGAATTTTATAAGCCACTGAAGGAATCTGTTCAAACTGGAGAGAAGGCAAAGCCTATTAGACAATCGGATAATTTGTACCCGGAAGGAGAATTTTACCAACGCCCAGAACAAGGAGCTCCGTTAAGAGGGGAAAGAGCGGATGTGAAGAAACCCATCGATAATCTGAAACCTGAAGGTAGATTAAATAATTTCATCTTAGCAATTAATAACGCACGATAAGTGTTACAATTTTGTAATTTCAGGTGAGTTTTATAAGCCACGTAAGGAGTCTGTCCAACCTGGAGAAAAGGCAAAGCCTATTAGACAGTCGGATAATTTATACCCTGAAGGTGACTTTTACCAGAGACCCGACCAAGGGGCCCCTCTCAGAGGGGAACGAGCTGACGTGAAGAAACCCGTCGATAATCTCCGACCTGAGGGTAAGTAAAACATGAATTTTGAAATTTTGAAAATAGGCCCCACAAATGAGCAATTGCATGGAATTGTAGGCGAATTTTATAAACCACCGAAAGAGTCGATTAAACCGGGTGAGAAAGCCAAACCAATTCGACAGCTTGACAATTTGCATCCAGAAGGTGAATTTTACCAACGTCCTGAACAAGGAGCTCCCCTTAGAGGAGATCGAGCCGATATTAAGAAACCAGTGGACAACTTAAGACCTGAAGGTAGATTGAAAAAGTAGCATTTTAATAATTAGCCGCACATAATAAGCATGACAGTTTTTTCTTTATTACAGGTGAGTTCTACAAGCCGCTGAAGGAGTCTGTGCAACCAGGAGAAAAAGCCAAGCCTATCCGACAGGCCGATAATTTGTACCCCGAAGGCGAATTTTATCAACGTCAGGAACAAGGCGCCCCTCTCAAGGGGGATCGAGCAGATGTAAAGAGACCCATCGATAATCTTCGACCTGAGGGTATGGGCTCAAAATATTACGCTTAACGTTATGTGTTTCATTTATTGTGAAGGTCTGAACTGTACCAGCCTAATGTTAATTTATTTAATACTTTCCAGGCGAATTTTATAAACCGCTGAAGGAATCTGTCCAACCCGGAGAGAAAGCCAAACCAATTCGACAGCCTGACAATCTGCATCCAGAAGGTGAATTTTATCAACGTCCTGAACAAGGAGCACCCCTCAGAGGAGATCGAGCAGATGTGAAGAGACCAGTGGATAATCTGCACCCTGAAGGAGAATTTGTGCAGCGTGAAAAAACAGACCAATGGGTTCGAGGAGTCCGAGCAGATAAAGTAATTCACGAAGATAATATCCGCATGGAGGGTAGCATCCAGAACATCACTTCCTCCATGGTGGATTATCAGCACGTTCGCTCAGAGAAGAGTGAAGCTATTCGGCATGCTGACAATTTGGTCATCGAAGGTAACACTTGGCTTCCGCTAACACGAGATTTTTAAAATTTGAGTATAAAATTTCCCAACGCAATAGGTGAATTTTACAAGAAACCAAAGGAACAGTTGCAACCTGGCGAAAGACGGCAACCTGTGAAACAGCCTGACAACCTACGCCCAGAAGGTGACTTTTATCAACGCCCTGAACAAGGAGCTCCCCTCAGAGGAGATCGAGCCGATATTAAGAAACCCGTCGATAACTTAAGACCTGAAGGTAGATTGAAAAATAGCATTTTAATAATTAGCCGCACATAATAAGCATGACATTTTTTTCTTTATTACAGGTGAGTTCTACAAGCCGCTGAAGGAGTCTGTGCAACCAGGGGAAAAAGCCAAACCTATTCGACAGGCCGATAATTTGTACCCTGAAGGAGAATTTTACCAACGCCCTGAACAAGGAACGCCATTAAGAGGTGAAAGGGCGGATGTGAAGAAACCCATTGATAACCTCAGACCTGAAGGTATGGTTGGCTATGGCTAATGTTACGATTAGTTAATAAAACCTACCATTCATTGGAAAGTCGTAACGGCAACAGTGCAACTCAAATTAATGTTCCACAGGCGAATTTTATAAACCACTCAAAGAGTCTGTACAACCAGGAGAGAAAGCAAAGCCTATTCGACAGGCCGATAATTTGTACCCTGAAGGAGAATTTTATCAACGTCCTGAACAAGGCGCCCCTCTCAAAGGAGATCGAGCCGATATTAAGAAACCCGTCGATAACCTCAGACCCGAAGGTACGAAGTTCATGTGCCAGGGAAATATGAATTCACTGTAAAAGTTGAGACGCTAATTATGCATTGGGAACTCCAATTTTCTAGGCGAATTTTATAAGCCAGTTAAAGAGTCTGTACAACCAGGAGAGAAAGCAAAGCCTATTAAACAACTCGACAATTTATACCCTGAAGGAGAGTTTTATAAGCCGCTGAAGGAGTCTGTCCAATCAGGGGAGAAAGCGAAGCCTATTAAACAACTCGACAATTTATACCCTGAAGGAGAGTTTTACCAGAGACCCGACCAAGGTGCCCCTCTCAAGGGGGACCGAGCCGATATTAGGAAACCCGTCGATAATCTCAAGCCTGAGGGTAAGTAAAAAATGGACTTGAAAGTTTAAAAATTAATGGCGCATAAAATCAATTATTTGGCATTGTAGGCGAATTTTATAAGCCACTGAAGGAATCCGTTAAACCAGGAGAGAAGGCAAAACCAATTCGACAACTCGATAACCTTCATCCAGAAGGTGACTTTTACCAACGGCCTGAACAAGGAGCTCCGTTAAGAGGGGAAAGAGCAGATGTGAAGAAACCCGTCGATAATCTTAAACCGGAGGGTAAATTAAAGGCTGATGTTTGACTGATCGTAATTTAATACTAATCTCAACCATAATAAGTACTTTTGCAGAAATATTTCTTTACTCTTAAAAAGTATTTCATTTGCCATAAGTACTCTATTTTGCAAGAAGTCGTAAGATAAGTTCAGATCGCCCTAAAATGTAAAATTCAAAAACCTTAACTAATTTTATCGATTCGTAGCCAACCACAAATGGAAGCTTTAGCTGGTCAACAACAAATAAGTTTGCGTTTCTCTCAAGAAATGATTGTTTCTCAATTATGGTCAACTTGGATTAGAGGAAGTATTACCGAAAAAAGTATTAATTATTGTCGCAAAAAGTATTAAATTATTATCGGTTAAATAGGACTCGTAAATTAAATAATTGAGTTTTGGAAGTAACGGCATATAAGCTTGACACTTATTTTTCGGCATCATGATAGGTGAATTTTATAAACCACTGAAGGAATCGATTCAACCTGGAGAAAAAGCAAAGCCTATCCGACAGGCCGATAATTTGTACCCTGAAGGAGAATTTTACCAACGTCCTGAACATGGAGCTCCCCTTAGAGGAGAACGAGCTGATGTTAAGAAACCCGTGGATAATCTCAGACCCGAAGGTATGATCTAAACCTGAGAGCTCTCGTTCACTACCAGAACAAAATTGTGATAAAAAATATCAATTTTTGCAGGCGAATTTTATAAACCTCTGAAAGAGTCCGTTAAACCGGGAGAGAAGGCAAAACCAATTCGACAAGTCGACAATCTTCATCCAGAAGGTGACTTTTACCAACGCCCTGAACAAGGAGCTCCCCTCAAAGGGGATCGAGCGGATATTAAGAAACCGGTTGATAACTTAAGGCCGGAAGGTAAATTTAATAACTGCATTTTAACAATTAGCCGCACACAATAAGCACAAGTTTGTTTTCATTAGGTGAGTTTTACAAGCCGCTGAAGGAGCCTGTCCAGCCTGGAGAGAAGGCAAAGCCTATCCGACAGGCCGATAATTTGTACCCCGAAGGCGAATTTTATCAACGTCAGGAACAAGGCGCCCCTCTCAAGGGGGATCGAGCAGATGTAAAGAGACCCATCGATAATCTTCGACCTGAGGGTATGGGCTCAAAATATTACGCTTAACGTTATGTGTTTCATTTATTGTGAAGGTCTGAACTGTACCAGCCTAATGTTAATTTATTTAATACTTTCCAGGCGAATTTTATAAACCGCTGAAGGAATCTGTCCAACCCGGAGAGAAAGCCAAACCAATTCGACAGCCTGACAATCTGCATCCAGAAGGTGAATTTTATCAACGTCCTGAACAAGGAGCACCCCTCAGAGGAGATCGAGCAGATGTGAAGAGACCAGTGGATAATCTGCACCCTGAAGGAGAATTTGTGCAGCGTGAAAAAACAGACCAATGGGTTCGAGGAGTCCGAGCAGATAAAGTAATTCACGAAGATAATATCCGCATGGAGGGTAGCATCCAGAACATCACTTCCTCCATGGTGGATTATCAGCACGTTCGCTCAGAGAAGAGTGAAGCTATTCGGCATGCTGACAATTTGGTCATCGAAGGTAACACTTGGCTTCCGCTAACACGAGATTTTTAAAATTTGAGTATAAAATTTCCCAACGCAATAGGTGAATTTTACAAGAAACCAAAGGAACAGTTGCAACCTGGCGAAAGACGGCAACCTGTGAAACAGCCTGACAACCTACGCCCAGAAGGTGACTTTTATCAACGCCCTGAACAAGGAGCTCCCCTTAGAGGAGATCGAGCCGATATTAAGAAACCCGTCGATAACCTTAGACCTGAGGGTAAGTAGTTCAATGAAATATAAATTCACCGTGAAAGTTGTAAATTGGAACTTGTAATATTCATTTCTCACTCCAATTTTGCAGGTGAATTTTATAAACCACTCAAAGAGTCTGTCCAACCAGGAGAGAAAGCAAAGCCTGTTAGACAACTTGATAATTTGTTCCCTGAAGGAGAATTCTACCAGAGGCCCGACCAGGGGGCCCCTCTTAAGGGGGAACGGGCTGATGTGAAGAAACCCGTCGATAATCTCCGACCTGAGGGTACGGTTTGCCAACGTTATAATTAGTGATACGTAATATTCTTTGTGAAAGTCGCACCGATGCAACTGAAATTAATATTTTTCAGGCGAATTTTATAAACCACCAAAGGGATCGGTCCAACCTGGAGAGAAAGCCAAACCTATTAGACAGCTGGACAATTTGCATCCAGAAGGTGACTTTTATCAACGCCCTGAACAAGGAGCTCCCCTCAGAGGAGATCGAGCCGATATTAAGAAACCCGTCGATAACTTAAGACCTGAAGGTTGATTGAAAAATAGCATTTTAATACTTAGCCGCACATAATAAGCATAACATTTTTTTCTTTATTATAGGTGAGTTTTACAAGCCGCTGAAGGAGTCTGTCCAGCCTGGAGAGAAGGCCAAACCTATTCGACAGGCCGACAATTTGTACCCTGAAGGAGAATTTTACCAACGACCTGAACAAGGAACGCCATTAAGAGGTGAAAGGGCGGATGTGAAGAAACCCGTGGATAACCTCAGACCTGAAGGTACAAAGTTCAATTACTATGCGCAAGGAAACTATGAATTCAGTGTAAAAGTTGATATGTTAATTATTTATTCGAAATCCAATTTTGCAGGCGAATTTTATAAGCCACTCAAAGAGTCTGTCCAGCTAGGGGAAAAAGCAAAGCCTATTAGACAACTAGACAATTTGTTCCCTGAAGGAGAATTTTACCAGAGACCCGACCAAGGTGCCCCTCTCAAGGGGGACCGAGCCGATATTAGGAAACCCGTCGATAATCTCAAGCCTGAGGGTAAGTAAAAAATGCATTTGAAATTTTAAGAATTGAATGCATTTGAATTTTAGTGGTGCATAAAGTCAATTGTTTGTCATTGTAGGCGAATTTTACAAGCCACTGAAGGAGTCCGTCAAACCTGGAGAGAAAGCAAAACCAATTCGACAACTCGATAACCTTCATCCAGAAGGTGACTTTTACCAACGTCCTGAACAAGGAACGCCATTGAGAGGTGAAAGGGCGGATGTGAAGAAACCCGTCGATAATCTCAAACCCGAAGGTAACTTAAATAATTGAATTTTGAAATTGAACGGACATGAAAAGGATGAAACTTATTTTTCTGCATCATAGGAGAATTTTACAAACCGCTGAAGGAATCTGTCCAACCTGGAGAGAAGGCAAAACCGATTAAGCATGGAGACAATTTGTTTCCGGAAGGAGAGTTCTATCAACGACCAGAGCAGGGAGGTCCACTTAAGGGCGATCGGGCAGATGTTAAACGTCCGTTGGATAATCTCAAGATGGAAGGTGGTTTTTGTTTACTGCAAGTTTGATATTTAGGGCCATTAACACTTAAATATATATTTTTTTCAGTAGTTTTAAAAGTTTTATTTTTATTAAAAATCTTTCTACACCAATATTAACACCACCCTAAAGTCACACAAATAGTTTTTCATGGTTGTGGGTATCGTTGACGTTAAGTTGCACACCTTGCTTGTGCACGTACATCAGTTACAACTTGATAGTATGGACTAAGCTGGACGACACCTTTATCTCTGCCTGGTATTTAATATACAACATTGGACTTGAACGCTTTGTAATACGTGTACCTCCGTTGTCGCCTTCGTTCTTTTTAATGTAACGTTGTGTTTCGGTTATGTATTTTATTGTTGCAATGCTTCATGTTTCCAGCATCTTACTTTCTCCATTTAATTTAATGTTTGAATTTTCTTAGGTAAAATGTACACTGATACGAGAAAAACTACCATTATCCGTGGTGAACGGGCTGAAATCAAGAGACATCAAGACAACCTCAAAGTAGAAGGTAAAACTTTCCCCATTTTCTGTTTTGGTACGTATTTATAATACTATTTGGAATCTGACATAGATGGTTCGATCGGGTTAAAAAATCTTTGCTGTTGTTTTCAATGTATTGTCCGCATTTCTAATTGTATTTGCCTAACTGATAACCTCGTTTATTCGTACTAACTTTGAAAGCTTTGCCATAACCGCTCTGCCTTTCTTCATTCTGCAGATTCTGAAGATATGTATTTTCCCGTGAGTACAAACGATATTCGATTCACGAAGGGAGAACGCTACGACCCAAAGAAGCATGCATCAACTTTAAGGCTTGAGGGTGACCTAGACTTTTCTAATAACAAGAAATTCTACTCTAGCCCGTTCATCTCATCTCCATTAATTGAACGGAGAACGTTGATAAAACCAAAGGATAACTTGGCCGTTGCTCCTCTTATCAGATATGAAAATCGGACATTTTCACCAATCATTTTTAGCAGACAGTCCCCCACTTTCTCAGATTACTCAGATTCATTGTCTCCCTTCAATGACGGGGTCACATCTCAGTTTGAGCACATGGAAAGATTTTACGGCGATGCAAACAACCTTGATCTTGGTGACGGTAATGAATGGGAAAGTAAGTTGCCCGAGGATCATAGCATGCCTGATATGAGTCGATTGGACTCTATGAGATTTAAGGATCATCTGTATCTAGTGGGACGAATTTCCCCCCAAGACGAAGACTTGCAACTGAATTCTATAGGCGATTATGGGAGACAGCAACAACTCTTTCCTCCAATCAATCAAAAAAATATTACAGAAGACTTACAAAACAACAACTTGGGTCAACACCGTAAACGTGACAAGAGAAGCTTGGACTATAGAGGTTGTACTTTTAATTCCGAGCAGCAGCACTATCAAATCACGTCTCACCTTAAGCAACTGCATGTGTTGTTTGTTCTCAATCTGCATGTTCGACCGCACTTACTTTTTGCACCATAGTCTACGCTTACTATAGTATATATGTAGCAATATTACTGTAGATTCGTCTTTACTTTGGGGTTAATTTCTTGCACCAGCACAATGTGTCGTTAGTAGAATACTGTTTAATAAATTTTGATTCATATTTCAGGTGAATTTACTAGTCGAGTTATCGGTACCGTACCAAAGGGTGAAAGGAGGGCGCCTATAAAACCTGAAGACACATTACACCCAGAAGGTATGCATCCAGTGATTGCCGTATTGTGAACTATTAACCACTTACCAATTGGTCACGTGTGTGCATGTTTTCAGGGAGCTTCTATGACAGACCCAAGGAGAATATTCCGCTCAAAGGCGACCGCTCTCCAATTAAAATTCCTAAAGATAATTTAAAAATGACCGGCGACTTTTACTCTCCAAAGAAAGATCAAGTGGTCCCTAAAGGTGAAAGATACGATGTGAAGAAGCACCAAGACAATTTGAAGATGGAAGGAAAAATTGATTTTGTCAATAAAAAAGCGACATTGACAAAGGGAGAACGAGCCCTCGTCGTGAAACGATCTGATAACTTGAAGGTCGGCGAAGGGGAAATGCAGCTCATGACGACACAAAAGTCATTACACCAGTCAAGTTCCGATACTCGCTTGTCGAAATTGACCAAAGAGAGCTCATCTGGAGTGGTCAGAAAGCAAACCAGTTCCCAGATTATACTAGGTGATGACATTGGTGATGCCAGATTTGAAAGGACTACGACTGCGAAACGCACAACCGTCGAAAATCGAAACCTTGAAAATGGTCACATGACTGTCAACAAATCCATAGAATCTCGTACAACAAATGCTGCAGAAACACGAGTATCATCCGATCGTTCCACTGAGCAGAAATTATTATCTCAATCAATGTCCGCCAAATCGGCATATGACCAGTCCATGGTTTTGAACGACGTTCAAAAGACTGGATCATCTGCAACACAAATTCAGACCTCCTCGAGTCAGGACAAGACAGTTGGGACTACCAGTAGCAGCACCCACCTAGCATCCTCTCAACAATCCTCCCAAATGACTTCGTCCCAACTTCGTGCCAATCAGAAGGGAACCAAAGAGGTGCAAGTTACCAGAGAGGTCACAGTGACCAAAAGAAATGACCCACACACCGGAGAAATAATCACGACAACTACGACCACTTCTACAAAAACCCCCACTTCTCAACGTACGAGTGAAATGTCGTCTATGAAAAGTTTAGAATCACAACAGCAGATAAGTTCCCAGCAGCGTCATCAACAAGAAATTACGAGCAGTTTAGCAAAATCAGAGCAAAGATCAACGACACAGCAGCAAGAAATTAGTTCTTCCTCTGCAGCAACAAGCAGTAAACAACAGCAGTTGTCCAGTAATGTTAAGTCTCAAGCCATATCTGAGTCTCGGTCGACACAGCAACTGACGGGCTCAACTTTAGGTCAGACAAAAGTGACCACTATCAATGGAACCGAGTCCGCAGCAGGGGCGGCCAGTGGTGGAGACGCTGTGACCAATACTGCGTTTGCGTCTAGCTTAAGAGCTACTTCTGGGAGCAACGTAAACCAAGCTTCTGGAACACAAAATCATAACCGAAGTCAAACATTGATAGGTCAAAGTGATTCCATCAACACAGAGCGTAGATTAGCATCATCCTCTTCAGCAGCATACGGGGCCACTTCTGGGCAATGCGCTGTCCATTCCCACGCGTCCAACAATTACGCAAATACTAGTAATAACAATACTCTTGCAAGTGCCAGAATGGTTTCGGGAAATCAGGGGTCAAGAAATGTCATATCCTCGCATGATGCTCAGCGATACTCCTACAGTCACAATCAACAGCAGTCGCAAATACAGTCAAATCAGTCTCGAAGTCAGGTTCAGTCTTCATCATCTTCATCTCAAGTTATCCAACACAACATTGGCTATTCGGGTGGAATGAGAGCCCAGAAAATTGTCCATTCGGACAACTTGACCCTAGGAAAAGGTTCTTTTGAGGGCCAAGCCTCTTCGAAAACCTATGGTCATTATCAAATCAAGGAGCGCGTCGTCCCAGTCCGTTCCACTCAGCAGTCCAGCATTTCTTTGGGCTCATTCTCAGCAGAGACTGGGAGTTCCAGTTATCAAAAACAGTACATCCAGCAGAAAATTACTCCGTGTCCTGCTGCGATGATCGAGTCTGCCAGGTCGCCTTATAAATTGGAACGCCAAACATCGTCGCATAAATTTTATATGCCCCGAGTTTCAGACTAACCTTCAGAGTTAATATTATTCCAGTGACTGTGGCATTTTTTAACATTTTTGAATGTGACCATTCCTAATATTAACCATTAACTTACTATGTCAGAAATCCACTCATTCCTTACTAACTAATGATTATAATTCAATGATGGTGATAAAAATTATAAACTTTACGTGCAGACGTGATATAGCCCGAGCCAATCATTTTCTCTGTCTTACAAAAGTGGCATTTTATTAGGTATCAATTTCCCCTGTAAAATTTTTACCTTTCCAATTGACTGCTAAAACCAGCATGACTCCTTGTACCATTGGACTCATCCTCAATTATACCCATTTTTATATCCAACTAAGTTTTGCGATTGACGCTTTAATGTTAATCGTAAGTTGGTCAAAATCGGTTCAGTGGTTGATCCTTTAAGTAGCGTATCGCATACTGTCCGTAATACGGAGTCCGTATTACGGACATGATTGGAAACTACTTGGTTCGGGCTAAAAACCACCTGTTCCTCATTAAATTTGTTTCATATTTGATTAACAATGCAGTTGCGATGTTGATTGTTGAGTAATTAACGCAAATAAAAATACATGTAAATCTACAAAAGTAATTTAAGCCTGCATGGCCCGCTTCTGGTTCATTGTATTATGTCTCATCACTACCTAAGTAACACCATAAATTCGTGGTACGGACCGGATAATTTTTGCTCAAAAACTTTTCAAACGGAAAAGATAGTGATTGAACTTATGGGAATTATACTCAACTTCAGGGCTGGATAAAATGATATCGTAATTGCGCCGGTTTTTCGAGTCTATTTTTATTTAATTGCTAATATGTTCAAGATTGAGAAGAGGCAAAAACGAAAAAACCGGCGCAATTACGATCCCACAACCACCCATACTTTTGCATCCATTTTTCATATTCGATCACTTTTTACTGATTTCCGGCACGTCTTGTTGCTAATGGTTATTATTGATATAGTTGGTATTGTTGATTTTTCTGAGGCGAGGTAAAGTAACCAAGGGATACCTTCACGACAGAAAAGCGCATGGACGGCGAAGCCTAAAGGTGCGTTTATGCTTCACGTTATCGTCACGCCCTCCTCCAAATCCGATTTTTTGATTGGCTGAGCGAAATTATCACTATGACAATTAAAAATTTTAACCAATCAAAAAATCGGATTTGGAGGAGATCGTGACGGTGACGTGAAGCATAAACAAAATATTTTCTTTTTGCAAAAAATTTGCAAAAATTTGCAACAATTAAAGTTTATAATTTTATAATTTTGCTTTTTATAGAAGCTTAAAAATTGTGATATATGTAGCTGAGCAAATAAAGGAAAGGCTAATTTGTTGAACAATTAAAGCATGCATATATTGCGAAAAAAATTCTACATATTGAATTTAAAAAATTGCATACACTGTTTTTTCAACTTGCAAAAATAAATACCGCAAATAAATTCGAAAAATGCGTAAAAATTGACTAGCACTGGTTATTTAACTTATTTTCGTGAAAAATGGCGAAGTTCAGTTTTTCCAAATTTTTGCAAATTTTTGCAAATTTTTGCAAATTTTTGCAAATTTTTTTCAAAAAGGAAATATTTTGTTGATCAGTTAACTTGATAAATTTTACTGAGTTTAAAGAAACGAAGAAATTCAAAATCTGCGAAAGTTTTCAGACTTTCGCAATTTGCAAAAAATTTGCGAATCTTTGCATCATTTTTTGCATATTCGTGATCGGGCTGATATTACGCGGACAGGTACAAATATAATTTATTAAGATTCTATAAAGTTCATTTCATCATTCGAAAGGCTGGTGGCTATGCTAAAAGCATTGGGGAAATGGCAGGTTTTGGTGCAGCTCTGGCCAAAGATTTCGCGAAAACGCGATTTTGCACCGCATGTTCTATGACAAAGTTTTAGTTTCACTAAATTATCTGTCGATTAAGGCCATTTGGAAGGAAATCGAGAGGGGTCTTTTATTTTTATGTTGGGGGTCTGATAGACCCCCAACAAATGTTTGGGTCCTGTAGACACCCAACAAATGTTGGGGTCTGATAGACCCCCAACAAATGTTCGGGTCCTGTAGACCCCCAACAAATGTTGGGGTCTGATGGACCCCCAAGAAATGTTGGGGTCCTGTAGACCCCCAACAAATGTTGGGGTCCTGTAGACCCCCAACAAATGTTGGGGTCCTGTAGACCCCCAACAAATGTTGGGGTCTGATAGACCCCCAAGAAATGTTGGGGTCCTGTAGACCCCCAACAAATGTAGGGGTCTGATAGACCCCCAAGAAATGTTGGGGTCTGATAGACCCCCAACAAATGTTGGGGTCTGATAGACCCCCAACAAATGTTGGGGTCTGATAGACCCCTAACAAATGTTGGGGTCTGATAGACCCCCAACAAATGTTGGGGTCTGATAGACCCCCAATAAATGTTGGGGTCTGATAGACCCCCAACAAATGTTGGGGTCCTGTAGACCCCCAAGAAATGTTGGGGTCTAATAGACCCCCAACAAATGTTGGGGACTGATAGACCCCCAACAAATGATGGGGTCCTGTAGACCCCCAACAAATGTTGGGGTCTGATAGACCCCCACCAAATGTTGGGGCCCTGTAGCCCCCAACAAATGTTGGGGTCTGATAGACCCCCAACAAATGTTGGGGTCTGATAGACCCCAACAAATGTTGGGGTCTGATAGACCCCCAAGAAATGTTGGGGTCCTGTAGACCCCCAACAAATGTTGGGGTCTGATAGACCCCCAAGAAATGTTGGGGTCCTGTAGACCCCCAACAAATGTAGGGTCTGATAGACCCCCAAAATGTTGGGGTCTGATAGACCCCCAACAAATGTTGGGTCTGTAGACCCCAACAATGTTGGGGTCTGATAGACCCCCAACAAATGTTGGGGTCCTGTAGACCCCAACAAATGTTGGGGTCTGATAGACCCCCAACAAATGTTGGGGTCTGATAGACCCCCAACAAATGTTGGGGTCTGATAGACCCCCAACAAATGTTGGGGTCTGATAGACCCCCAACAAATGTTGGGGTCTGATAGACCCCCAACAAATGTTGGGGTCTGATAGACCCCCAACAAATGTTGGGGTCTGATAGACCCCAACAAATGTTGGGGTCTGATAGACCCCCAACAAATGTTGGGGTCCTGTAGACCCCCAACAAATGTTGGGGTCTGATAGACCCCCAAGAAATGTTGGGGTTGTAGACCCCCAACAAATGTTGAGGTCTGATAGACCCCCAACAAATGTTGGGGTCTGATAGACCCCCAACAAATGTTGGGGTCTGATAGACCCCCAACAAATGTGGGGTCTGTAGACCCCCAACAAATGTTGGGGTCTGATAGACCCCCAACAAATGTTGGGTCTGATAGACCCCCAACAAATGTTGGGGTCTGATAGACCCCCAACAAATGTTGGGGTCCTGTAGACCCCCAACAAATGTTGGGGTCCTGTAGACCCCCAACAAATGTTGGGGTCTGATAGACCCCCAACAAATGTTGGGGTCCTGTAGACCCCAACAAATGTTGGGGTCTGATAGACCCCCAACAAATGTTGGGGTCTGATAGAGCCCCAAGAAATGTTGGGGTCTGATAGACCCCCAACAAATGTTGGGGTCTGATAGACCCCCAACAAATGTTGGGGTCTGATAGACCCCCAACAAATGTTGGGGTCTGCTAGACCCCCAACAAATGTTGGGGTCTGATAGACCCCCAACAAATGTTGGGGTCTGATAGACCCCCAACAAATGTTGGGGTCTGATAGACCCCCAACAAATGTTGGGGTCTGATAGACCCCCAACAAATGTTGGGGTCTGATAGACCCCCAACAAATGTTGCGGTCTGATAGATCCCCAACAAATCTTGGGGTCCTGTAGACCCCCAACAAATCTTGGGGTCTGATAGACCCCCAAGAAATCTTGGGGTCTGATAGATCCCCAACAAATCTTGGGGTCTGATAGACCCCCAACAAATCTTGGGGTCTGATAGACCCCCAACAAATGTTGGGGTCTGATAGACCCCCAAGAAATCTTGGGGTCTGATAGACCCCCAACAAATGTTGGGGTCTGATAGACCCCCAAGAAATCTTGGGGTCTGATAGACCCCCAACAAATGTTGGGGTCTGATAGACCCCCAACAAATCTTGGGGTCTGATAGATCCCCAACAAATCTTGGGGTCCTGTAGACCCCCAACAAATCTTGGGGTCTGATAGACCCCCAAGAAATCTTGGGGTCTGATAGACCCCCAACAAATGTTGGGGTCTGATAGACCCCAAAATTTGGGGTCTGATAGACCCCCAACAAATCTTGGGGTCTGATAGACCCCCAACAAATCTTGGGGTCTGATAGACCCCAACAAATGTTGGGTCTGATAGACCCCCAACAAATCTTGGGGTCTGATAGACCCCCAACAAATGTTGGGGTCTGATAGACCCCCAACAAATCTTGGGGTCTGATAGACCCCCAACAAATGTTGGGGTCTGATAGACCCCCAACAAATGTTGGGGTCTGATAGACCCCCAACAAATGTTGGGGTCTGATAGACCCCCAACAAATGTTGGGGTCTGATAGACCCCCAACAAATGTTGGGGTCTGATAGACCCCCAACAAATGTTGGGGTCTGATAGACCCCCAACAAATGTTGGGGTCTGATAGACCCCCAACAAATGTTGGGGTCTGATAGACCCCCAACAAATGTTGGGGTCTGATAGACCCCCAACAAATGTTGGGGTCTGATAGACCCCCAACAAATGTTGGGGTCTGATAGACCCCCAACAAATGTTGGGGTCTGATAGACCCCCAACAAATGTTGGGGTCTGATAGACCCCCAACAAATGTTGGGGTCTGATAGACCCCCAACAAATGTTGGGGTCTGATAGACCCCCAACAAATTTTGGGGTCTGATAGACCCCCAACAAATGTTGGGGTCTGATAGACCCCCAACAAATGTTGGGGTCTGATAGACCCCCAACAAATGTTGGGGTCTGATAGACCCCCAACAAATGTTGGGGTCTGATAGACCCCCAACAAATGTTGGGGTCTGATAGACCCCCAACAAATGTTGGGGTCTGATAGATCCCCAACAAATGTTGGGGTCTGATAGACCCCCAACAAATGTTGGGGTCTGATAGTCCCCCAACAAATGTTGGGGTCCTGTAGACCCCCAACAAATGTTGGGGTCCTGTAGACCCCCAACAAATGTTGGGGTCCTGATAGACCCCCAACAAATGTTGGGGTCTGATAGACCCCCAACAAATGTTGGGGTCCTGTAGACCCCAACAAATGTTGGGGTCCTGTAGACCCCCAACAAATGTTGGGGTCTGATAGACCCCCAACAAATGTTGGGGTCTGTAGACCCCCAACAAATGTTGGGGTCCTGTAGACCCCCAACAAATGTTGGGTCCTGTAGACCCCCAACAAATGTTGGGTCTGTAGACCCCAACAAATGTTGGGGTCCTGATAGACCCCCAACAATGTTGGGGTCCTGTAGCCCCCAACAAATGTTGGGGTCTGATAGACCCCCAACAAATGTTGGGGTCTGATAGACCCCCAACAAATGTTGGGGTCTGATAGACCCCCAACAAATGTTGGGGTCTGTAGACCCCAACAAATGTTGGGGTCTATAGACCCCCAACAAATGTTGGGGTCTGATAGACCCCAACAAATGTTGGGGTCTGTAGACCCCCAACAAATGTTGGGGTCTGATAGACCCCCAACAAATGTTGGGTCTGATAGACCCCCAACAAATGTTGGGGTCTGTAGACCCCCAACAAATGTTGGGGTCTGATGACCCCCAAACAAA